GACTCAGCAAAAAATGTGTCTTGCAAATTCTTTCATCTCTCATAATGAAACATGACAAAATACATTTGGCTGTTTTGGGTGGTCTTTCCTCATAGCTTATACCAATAGACTAAATAAAAGAATAAAATCACACTCATGGTTTGCCAGTTTTTCTTTGTACCCAATGCTCACTAAATCACTTGAATAAATAAACATTCACTGTCCTTTAATTGTCCTCTCCTGGGTAATTTATTGGCTATCCAACCAAGAAATGCAACTCAATGCGTTTTAATGTTCCCTGACATTGTTTAGGTTCCCAGAAAACAGCCTCTGTGAGACACCTTTACGAAGCAGTGAGTTAGGTGGCGTGTGTGGTGTGGCTCTCTCAGGAGTTGATGAAAACCAAACAGAGCTAAAAGAGAGTGAATATTGGATTTTCATTCATTGCGTCTCCTGAAGCACATCTCCAAATCAATGCTAAAGTTTTGTGTTAGCTAGACAATAGTCAACTCCTGAAATGTTTACCCAATCAACTTTAGAAGCGGAGTAGATGTCAACGTTGTGTTTACAGCTTGTTCTGCCGCAGCCATAAAATCAATTAACACAGGTGTAACGTTCAAAAACCTCAATAATCTTTAATCAGCTATGTATAACCCACTTTTACACCAAGCAGTAAATACGTTATTATATATTTAACAAGTTATAAATATAAGAAACATGCAGCAGAGAAATCTATGCATACACAGGGAACTTTAGCACGATGATGTAATAACAATTTAGACATCTCTTAAACATCTATTCAACAAATTTTGATCATTAAAAACCTACAGCCACATTTCTCTAAGGACTATTGATTGACTGTGAATAGTGAACCACGTATACAAACTCCAGAGAACAGGCAGCGAAAAGTGTCATGTTTGTCATTGTTTGTGTAGAGTCATGTTACGCCATGTTCTCCAAGAATTAGAGGATATATGTTTTTCATTGCAGCACTTCGCCTGTGCTCTGGTGCAGCCTCGACTGTAGCGGCTACAGAGCAGCACAGCCTCAGGCACTGTCAAACTCTGGCCTCGGATCAACTTACCATCCCTTGTCTGCACCTCATCCCCGGAGAGACTGAGAAATACAAAGTTGCCCCATAGCTTAAGGGCAGCCTGGAGTAACAGTAATGGTGTAGCAAGTTTGGTTTGACAGAGAGATTCAGTTCTCTGAGCCGCAATGGGGATTATACTGCGGTAGATAGAGTATAGCCCCGAGTGTGTAGTTGACCTATACTCATATACAAAGTACATCATTTTTACTGTCTACACCGCAGTGCACTTGTGGATGTTGCAAGCTCACAAAAAGATTTGAGTATGTTGATGATGACTTCAGGATGGCAACAATAAATAATCTGAGCATGAGATGGAATGTGTCAGCTTGGCACTGAAATAATCGCACACCTCACGTCGCAGCCGCTGCTGAGTGCGAGAATCCTAAATCTTAAATCCCCCTAAGCACGAGAGCCCACATGACAGCCCTGTTTAATATTCATACTGTATTTTGGAGCCTCTCACCAAAGCACAGCGAGCAGGAGGAGAGAGCAGTTTGTATCCTCCCTGTGGAGCTCTCTCTCTTCCTCTGAGCCGGAGGTCTCAGGTTGTCTTCTCTTCCTCACCCACAGATGGTGGTGTCACATCCCTGACAAGTGTCTCCTATGAAGAGGTGGTCTGAGCCTGTGTTAGCTATCATTTTAGTTCCCAAACAGCCCAGTCCACTGCTCTTAAAGCTGCTCTAACCAACGTTTTTGCACGAACACTGACAAATGCAGCCAAACTGAACAACTTGCTGGTGAACATAGTGAAGCATTTAACAGTTTTAGACCCAGGCATTTTTCTTTAGAAGTTGTTGGTGAGTAAAATAGAGCCACAAGGATAGAGTGAATATTGGTCTTACATTTCCCATAATTCCAGGTGTCCATTACAAATATATGTGAATGCTGTGGCTGCTGGAAACGATTTGCTAAAACATTTGCCATATTATCTTTACATGGCGATAAAATATCAATGTTATGTTAACAGCTTTTTGCGCTGTCCTCAAAGGGACAATAAATCTGTTTAATTGCAGACAAATTGTTGTCACTGACCTCAGACATTTGTAAACTATTTATTTCTTGAAGGGAATTTAAGTGTAAAAAATTTGTCCGACTACTTTTAAGATCGTCTAAATTATTCTGCATTTGAAAGAAGAAAGAAATGTTTATGGAGAAATCACAGCATCTGTTACAAACTAGCAGATATTAACAAAACATCTATTTTTAATCAGCACCTCCACATCAACTGCACACTTTAATCAACAAGTTTAATCCAAACTTTGGGTGAAAGAAGTTCATGTTTATGTCCATATCACACTGCTAAAACTGTAAAATAAATTCCTAAAATTGTTTCACTTAATTGTACTGAATCTTTAAGACCAGTAAAAGACTAAAACCCTAGACGATATCTCTCATATTATTCTATTAATAATTCATCAATATATCTTCCAAGTCTAATGCACCGAAGTAATAAATTAAGTGCAAAAAAAGTTGTGAAGGCTAAAAGAGAAACTAGATGATAAGATGTTGATGCCGCTGAAGTTGCTCCAATTCAATTTCTCCTTTACTTTGAAGAGATCAGAGACCACATACTGTATGCTGTGCTGTGTAATTGCAATTTTGTGGAGCTACTAAAAATGGGACACTGTGAATCTCCTGAAATCTTTAGTTGAAGCACCAACCTTCATGTGCCCCATAAATCCAAACGTCCACGTCAAATAGCCCATAGGTGTTGGAGCGGGGAGAGATGAATGACTCAGGAACGCGTTCTGATTACCATCTGTCTTTCCATGATCATCACTGCCACCATGGGCTGACGAGGCGTTCTTTAAGACGATGTTTACTCTGTGATCCCACAACTCCCTCTCTCTTTCTCTCTCTCTCTCACACACACACACACATACACACAGAATATGAATGTTACAACATGCATTATAGATCTGAGATCACAACTCCGGCAAACCCCAACTGTGATTAAAAAGAGGCTGTTTTGTTTTATCAGCCCTCTCCGCTTCCCTTATCAGCTCATTTGCATAATTAACAGTGGCTGACGCTGTCCTCGCAAGCAACTGCCACTGTGATTTCTCCTGCTTGGAATTCTGTCCTACTTCACAGCGTCAGTGCTGTGATTAATGCAGCGCCAGGTGTACTGTACCGCATTCAGGGTTGTATATATACACACACTCACTACACACTATACACACAGCTATTTAAAGGAGCTATATTGAAGCTTAAACTACTGCCATATAGCCAGCTGTTTACTTTTACCAGTCTAGAAAAAATCTTGCAATTTGGGCGTCAAAGTTCATTCTTTCAATCACCAGGAGCTGTCTCCAGTGGTGGAAAGCAACTCTTTTGTTGTTATACTGAAGTTAGCATGCTAACCAGCTAGCCGCAGCCCGGCCGGCCCAATAATTGAGTTAGATACTAAAAAGCTTATCAACAATAATTCGACATTTAGCAAAAAAATGTTTGCTTTCTTGCTGATATTTAATGAATGAATACCTCTCTCACATCAGTCTGGTTAATATAAGGCAATAAAAACAAAGTAGTCTGGAATACCTGCTGTTTGTTTTTACACTTCAGTTTTTATATAGTTTAAACAAAGGAGATTTAAGGGTTTAATTATTGAGATCCGGACAGAGCCAGGATTGTTGTTTACCCCTGTTTCCACTCTTTCAGCAATAAAGCAACTAAAAAAAAAGTTGACCATGTTTGTGTGAAAGTATTCTGAGCAACATTTGATACCACTAACTTACAGGTTTAAACAAGGCGAGTTGAGGTTTAAAGAGGCTGCACAGTCCGTCCACACAGGTGTTGTCACTTATGTTACCTGATTAGACCTGTTGTCCAGACAGTGTGGAGCTTGACTAACTGCACCCTCACTCTATTGCACCATGGGCAGGACAGTTTACATCCTTATTATTGTTATCACCTATTTTTATCATGATATTAGTTGTTATTATACCAGTTTTTATTGTATTAGCTGTTATGAGTTTGGTAACACTGCATCATTTCAAACACAGCTCCACACAGCCTCAACCTGACTGGACTTATGAAGAACAGGTTCCAGCACCAAATAATTGCTTGAAAATGGTTAATTGTTCATATATTTAACGGTATCGAGACTATTAACATATGAATATTCCTTTAACTGTCCAACCTGCTGGTAAAGTAAAGTATTGTATGTAGTCATAATATGAGTATGCAATCACATTACAGGCTTTGCCTCACTGCTACAACCACCACTTTACTTTCCACATCATGACTTCTTTGTCATGATCTTTGTAGACAGCACATTTGGCTTGTGTCCACATCTACATATCCCAGATTAGACTTTGCTCATGCATTTTTAGAGCACACAAATAGGAAATTATCCTGTTCAGCAAGGTTCTCCTGTGTTCTCCTGGCCTCACTTTGATCAGAGATCATTTTAAAATGGACGATTTTTAATTGCAGCATCCTCAAGGAAAATCCAGTTAAGAAACATTCCTTTTCAGTTCCTTACCATTTTAATATAATTACTCAGCTGCAGTGTTAGCAGACTGCTTACATACAGGACATGCCTGTGCAATACTTTTCACAACACAGCACACGTGTGTGTTTGAGAGTGTCATGTATTGTGGATGTAATATGAAAGGGCACGTGAAGGTCGGCTGATGTAGCACAGCCCCAGTGATTTTATTTTTTTTACAGAGATTTTTAGAGAAATGCTCAGAGGAAGGTGACTTGTGCCGCTGTGTGATGAGTAATCTGACTCTCCCTTTGTTTTTCCCCTCTGCTGTAAAATGCTGTCCTTTGCTCTCTCTCTCTTTTCCTAACAGCCCACACACACACAAACACACACACACACAAACACACACACAAACTGCATGCTCTCCCTCTTACACCTACACAAACAATATGTGTGTCTCTCTCTCTCTCTCTCTCTCTCTCTGTGTCTCTGCAGGCTCGCTGACAGTGTCCATCACAGACATGCGTGCTCCAGTGGTGGGGGGCTCTGGGGGGGTCTACGCTCTGTGCTCAGCGCATCTGGCCAACGTCGTCATGGTAACTGCCATTATCGTCATCATCGCCTCCATTGTTACGTCTCAAAAACGGTTTTCAATAGAGAGGAAATGTCAGAGCCGGGCACATGGTGTGAGCAAGACAGACAGGGACCACCTCGTGCTCCCACCAACATCCCGGGCTTCACTGCTGTCTGTTGTTTCCCCAGCAGATGCTAGTTGGATGTTTTCCCTGCTGCAGTAGGATCACATCATTGTGATAAATACTTCATTGCCCAGCAGTTTTTGGAACAATGCCACCGAATATTCTCGAGACAATGTGACCTCTTATCTAGTCATCAGCAAAAATGAAGAAGCTTTTGCTGAAGGTTGTTGATGAGCAGCAGACCCCAAGGACCCTCTTCCAGTATCTCACACTGCTCAACCTTTCCTTTTTTTATTCACTGTTCTCGTCATCTGTATCAATGAATCTCATGTGAGCTGGTATTTCAGACTCTTCTATTAATTATTAAGACTGTGTTTATTTGTGTCCACTGAAAAAAAAAAACCAGGCAGTGAACTCCCTTGATGCTGTGTGTGTTTTCTGTCACGAGGTTTCTACGTGAAGTGCCTTCCACATTCTCTTCAACTCTCGGCGTTACATCTGACGAATCACTTTAACTGATGTCGCTGTTCACTGTGGGCACTGGAGATGCCAGCAGGGATAGAAATCAAAGTGCGCTGACGGGTTCAAAGCAAAGACTCTGTAAAACTGTGCGCTCGCAGCAGCTAACAGACAGTTTATTTGGTCTGTTACGCTTATTGTTGGGAAATCCTTTAAGGCACGTCTTAGTTCTGCTCTGATGAGTTTTTGTCTAGTTTGTGCTTTTTGAAGGAAATCTTGAAACATTGTCCGGTATCGACCCAGTAAATTCCTGGCCATCTGCCATCAGCCGTCAGCCTCCGGTTTGCCCAAAAGACATTTTCAGGTTCAGTGAGGTTGCGAGCGCTGCTGTGGACGTGACTCTGTAGAAGTCACACAGCTCCAGCGACATTGTCAGAACACATCTTGAAACTATGTAGTGCACAAACTAAACTTTGGACGTTACCCCTAAATCTTTTCTTTCATTTTTATTTTTTTATTGTTCCTTGACGGTCCTTGACCGAACAGCAAACGCTCTTTCTCTCCGTCTCTCAGTGATCCTCTGCACCTCACACACTCACGTCAGATTCCTTCAGCATTTCAAAGTCAGCAGTGTGATAACAAGATCTGTAACAGACAAAATGGATTGGCTGTCCTCTGGTTAAAGATTGCCCTTCTCCTCCTGTGAGTTTGGAGGCACGTCAGAGCAAATTGCCTCCCATGAGAGAGCAGCCACATCACATCGCACACAGCTCAGGCCTCCTCCTCTGCACTGCTGTGCCGACCTCTCCCCTTCCATCATATGAATCATTTATTTGTAGAGATATTGTGACATCAGGAGCACTCCTGGCTTGTTTTGAACGTATGGAACATTTCTCTTACATTTTGCATGGCACTCACCTTTTTGTTTTCTGCTTTGAGAGAAGACTAAAAACACTGGTGCTGGGTCATCCTCCCACAGCCAGGAACTTAAGGAGGGACATGATTGGTGCAATTATTCATCCTGGGGAGTGAATCTGTTATTCCAAGTGAGGATGCCATTGTTCTTTTTTTCCCTGAAGAATCACCAGAGCTATTTATTGGCCCATTCTCCCCCTCTGTTAAATTATCTTAGCCCTAATTAATAGAGTGCCACTGGGTTGGAACCAGTAAGTGGAGAGCAGCCAGGTGTATAATCACGTCTCTGTCTTGTGTAAGTGTTGCCTCCTCTCTCATATGGATATGGATTGTCTTTCTCTCTTGTCTAAATATGTCCAGAGGATAGAAAGTGAGGTGCTTCTTGCCAGGCTGTTAATATACTCATATTTGTAGTGGCTGTTTGTGTCGTGATTGTTTGCGCTGACGAGACACTTTTGCTCTGTGTTGCAGAACTGGGCCGGGATGCGCTGTCCTTACAAGCTGCTCCGCATGATCCTGGCGCTGGTTTGCAGTAAGTTCTCCAAATTTACTCTCAGCCCCACGCTCACGTTCCTGCTGTTGCTATTTATGTTGAATTCATAGTTTCGTCATTCAAAAAGCGGAGCGTGTATTACCCTTCATTTCCAGCATATTTAATGCCCGCACACCTGTTCTCAGTTCAACATAATAACAGAGTGTTTGTCACCTGAGTGGGGTTTAAAAGCCTCGTACAGCAGAGCAACAGACATGCTGCTTAAGTTGTCACAGTTAATGGCTCAGAGGAGAGAGAGGCTCCCTGATTGGACATGTTGCTTTGTTTTTGAACCATTTGAGTCACACCACTTGTCCTTTTTCTCCACACGCGGACTGATACACTGTGACTTTCATTAGTGTGCAATATGTTCCCTCCATCTGTCCCGAGCCTGCCGCCGCTGAACTGAGAGAGCAGCGACTCTCTGCAGGAATGTTGTATCTCTCCTCAGTGTTTTTGCAAACAGGGGATACAGCGTTTCACAATAAAATACGACACACCGCTTCTGTGAGCTACTGTGAAGATTGAATTAACATTTGGTCTGGTTTTATGTTATCAGTGCTGAATATTTATTCAGCTAAAGAGGCCTGAAAAAACAACTGCATATAACATTTGAAAGCAATTTTTCAAGTAAAGATCCGTTTAAATCATGTTGTGACCTTTCTTTGGCTGTAGAGGCAGACTATGATAAAAACACTTATACACAGTAGGCTGCAGCTCATCTTTAGGCACTGACATGAAGTCAACTCCAATCTAGGCCCTTTTCTTCATAAGAGGTCAGGGCCTTTATTTCAAAATAAAAGCACACTGCTATTCAAGATAATTTTGTCTCAGATTCACAAATTCTCTAAATTGGTTTTAAGCACCATGTCATCTGGGTGACAATGTGTTAATTGGCAAGTTTACAGGTGGTGTAGGTGGGTCATATGCTAAGCTAAGCCAACTAGCTGCTTCATAATTAAAGTGCAGACATGAGAATGGTATCAGTGTTCACATCTAACTCTCCTCCAGAAAGCAAATAAGAGGATTTGTCAGAATGTCAGACTATTCCTATAAGCCGCTATGGAAAATCTGGATCCTAGTCTGGCCTGAATTCTTCACAGCTCCTAAACAAGAAAGAAATTTTTCCACAATGATTCTGCCTCTTTTCTCGCTTCTCCTCTCCGCAGTGAGTTCAGAGGTGGGCCGTGCAGTCTGGCTCCGTTTCTCACCACCGCTGCCGTCCTCGGGGCCCCAGCCCAGCTTCATGGCGCACCTGTCGGGGGCCGTGGTCGGCATCAGCATGGGGCTGCTGATCCTGCGCAGCTACGAGGAGAGTCTGCAGAAACAGTGCTCCTGGTGGGTCATCGTCTTCTCCTTCATCACCTTCCTCCTCTTCGCCATCTTCTGGAACATCTTCGCGTATGAGCTCCTGGGGGTGCAGATCCCACCTCCTCCCTGATGATGTGCCCCCACCCCCCCACCCACCCCCACCCCCGGCCCTCCTCCACGTACGCACTGACTCCAACCCTGCTCCAAACAAAGCTTCCCCCTTTGACCATTGTTCACTTTCCCATTTCCTCTCAAGTTAGACCCAAATGAAATGACATGAGATCATTCAAACTAAAATCGACCAAGAATCCTTTTTTACAGATACTTTGCAAATCAAAGAAATATGTCTCTTTTATTAAAGAGGGATTACAGTAGCAACAAGTACAGGTGAAAGTTCCTCAGATCCATTTTGAGGAACAATATATCTTTTTATATACGTTGAAATCTCATCCACATTACCAGCGCTAACCTTTCAGTGAGCATTGGGCCACTGTGCTTTATTTTTTTTTGTTCAGAGGCTTTTTTGAAAAGCAGTTTCATCAGTCGTGTTTTTTTTTTGAGTAAATCTAAAGACCTCAAGTAAGAAGAATCTGAGTTCATGACATGTGCCTCTGATGAAGAGGACTTAAAGGAAGCAGAGTAGTAGGAATATGTGCTGTTGCTGGCAAAATGCTTGGAGAAATTTTTCTGTCTTTCATAAAGGTCAGAGATGAGGAGCAGCTGCAGCAATGCCCCTTAAACTAGTAGAGTTTCAGTGTTTTGCTTAAAGGCGCTAAAGCAGATTCTGTCGACTGTGCTGCAGGGGAAGATCTAAAGAAGAATTTCAGGATGAGCACATTTATCTCCAGGGGCAGCAATAAACAAAAAACATAGAAGCACCAATGAAATATGATTGTTGATATGAATTTTCTGATTTCAGGTCCCTGCTGTAACTTGCAGGGGTCACTGCGGTTTTTTGCAGAATTCCTGGAACACTAACCGACGTAAAAAAAAAACCAAACAACTAACAAAACGTTTTCTTCAAACTGAGCTGCTGAGTAGTCAAATCAGTCAAAAACCTCAAGTGTAAACGGACGAAGAAAATTCCTAAACCAGAGCAGGTGCAGGAAGAACCTGAGGTAGAAGTTTTAAATGCAAAATTGAGGTAAGAGGCGTCACTGTCATTTTCACTCCATGGGGTCTTTAAAAATAAAAGGACATCAGTTTTTCTCTATCATTTCCATGATAATATACCTACACTGTGGACACAGAAACATAGTTCACACAACACAGACAAGATGTGAAGATGGGAAATCAAAGTGACCGTATGACAGGGGAGGAAAGAGATAAAATAACAGTCGAAGTTTCCTGGATGGTCATTACTGCAGCGAGTGAACTCCTCCTGTTGCTGTGTCAAACGTTAACCACCAACTTGCTAGGCGCACCGTGTAAAATATGCCATGTCATGCTCTGTGGCTCTCAGCGAGACAAGGACACACACATACACACACATGCACACACACACACACTCACACACACACACACACTCTGTCTCTTCTCCTCTTTGTCTTTGAGAGCGGCCACTGCCTGAATCTGTAGGTCAACATGGACAAACCGAAGAGAAAAACACCACACACACACACACACACACACACACACACACACACACACACACACACAAAACACACATACTGGCCTCTGCCTGTTCTCGCTCTGACAGACTGAACTGGGGAGGGCGCGGATGTGTCATCATCTGACCTCTGACCTTCGTGTCCCAGAGGGCATTGGGGTCTCTCTGTCAGGCCCAGTCTATACCTCAGTTTCTCATTCTTAGGGACTGTATACTTTTGTAAAGGAATGTACCTATAAAGAAAAAAAAAGAGTGTTATTAAGTTGTCCCCGTTTTTCATTTGATAGTGGATGTGTATATTGTATGTTCATAACCAAGAGTATATTTATTTGTATTTTTTCCTCTTCGAGGGGAAAAGAGAAAAGTTTCAAATGGTGCAAAATTAATGCTATGATTGTTGTTATTCTGATAACTCCTGTATGGCTTTGATGATCCTCTGAAAAATAGTCTATGAGGCAAAATCCCCTGGTTTGTTCGGTGACCACCAACGACTCAAGCTCACTTGATTTTATAAATCTTTAGTGCTTTAGAAAATAAGCCATAGAAAGAACTAAGTAGAGAGGGCAAAAGCATAGGAAAAAAAGGTGTTTTTGGTTTGAAACCTGCTGATTGGTAGCTTCAGTTCGACTTTATTTTTTTTTTTTTGTGGGATCCAAAATCACGTCTCCATTGCGAATGTTCAACAGGTGAAGTGGAAGAAAACAAACTGAGCAACTCTGGACTGTTTGAGATAATTTTCATGTAGCTGGACTCATTTCTGCAGCTTGTTCACCAACTGGTTTGTAATCGATGCAGCTTCATTTTCGCGACGGCCCCACATCTGCAGTGTGCGGACGCCTCGCTGCGGCTCTTCTTTTGCGAATAACAAATTACGGACAGGGCTTCCGTCATAGATTATCTTCAGTGTGATCCAGGCTTTTGGAAAAATGAGGCCAGGATAGCAATTACATTTACTCATGCTACGTTCCATTTTTCAGCCTTTCAATCAATAATTCATTTGAATGACCACTGGCTGCCTGGGGGGAAAAAAATTTATGCATTTGCCAATTTTGATAGTTTGTCATAAATACAATCCTCAGCATTTGCTTCCTCGTGAAACTGTCAGTATTAACAGAACACTCCTTGTTAAATGAGGGAATGAGTATGAAATAGTCAGAATAAGCCATTTTCAAATACATTAAAAACAGAAAAGATCAGCCAACATGCGGTATTAATGTATCCTTGATGGAAACTCTTGTGTAAACTAGGAAATATTATTGCTTGAAATAGCAAAAATACATTGATGAATAATGCATACATATCCTGTTAGCCTATAATGAAGATAAAGGGGATGCCTGAGAGGAGGTTAATGTGCCTCTTTAACTTAAGATTCATAGGAACCCAGACGGGTTGTAAAAAGGGCTAGTAAATGGCTATGCTTTTGTAGAACACATTAACTGTGAATATTACCCCATCCTGGAAATACATGCAGGACTAAAATCAAAGGCTTGTGGATTCTTTTTGCCCCTGAACCTCAAAAGAAATGATACTCAACTGAGTTCTCCTCATGCAAAGTGAAACGTCCAGTGTTTCATTTGTCATCAACGGCTCTTCTTGCAGAGACTTGCAGAAAAAGCTGTCAAGAGAACATAGTATAAGAAGTATCTTAAACAACCAGTTGAGGGGGAAAAGTTTTCAGGAGTAGTTTATCACTTTTCTGTGAGCCAGATCTCCTGGCCCTGAGCCTGAGCCTGAGCCAACCACAGCACCTTCACACCTTCAAAAAAACAAGTCATCTCCTGTCTGAGAAAAGCCTCTCCTGCACCCAGACAGCAGCTCATCTTAAAGGAGAAGAGTGATAGAGGCCTGACTCTCATCCTCTGGCTGACAGCATGTGACAGTTTTGGTTTGTGAGGGATGGAGGGACAGCAGACGCAACAGACAACAGTGCCGGCACTCTTCGCATTAAAACCTCTATGTGCTTCCCCATCCTGTCGCGCTCATGTCACAACACCCCCAGTGTCAGGATGATGCATGGCTGTTGTGAGGATACACCAGAGCCCAAAGCTAGACCGTAAAACAGGATATCTTCCTTTAATAAGTGGATCTGACAGGTTGCATGATGTTTAATTTAATTGCTGTCTTTGGGTGACATATTTGTTTTCTACAGTATAAGGAAGGCTTGGTGAGGGATGACATGAGCTGAATAGGAGCAGCCTATCAATAACATGTGATCCATCACTTTGGGCAGTCCACATCCTCCCTTCTACTGGTTTCGGTACAAGATGATGTTTAAAGGTTAGTGCCAACCATGAGCAAAACTCATTGATACATGGACTCTTGTTGATGTGACTTAAAGCTGAAATATTGCTCATTTCTGTGCTTGTCTCATTCAAAAATGCAGCATAACTTTACAGCAGAATACTTGACATTTCTCTGACTGCTGCTTCTTAGTTCCTGTTCCTACATCTCATCATAAGTGGGCTTTTTTGCACTTATTATATTGTTGTTAACTGACATGTTGTCATGTGCCATATTCTCTACTGCCATAATCATTCTTTGATGCTTTTGTACCTCCCTATGCCAATCCATTGTGCTGTTATGCCCAATGCCTTGTTATATCTAAGCCCAAGACTGAGCACCAGGCAGAAAGGCCGCTTTGCTGTTCGCTGTACGATTTATTCCACATGTTCATGCACAGGATCCACAAGAGAAAGAAGTCGCCGCAGTCCAAACAACTGTACATCCAGTAGCTGCTCTGAACTGCTGCTTGCCAACAAGCCGGCCAGGTTGCCTTTTCTCAGTGTTCAGTGCTACTTAGAAATGGGTCACTGTCACTGCAGGACTGTGCAGGTAAAGCAGGCAACTGTAGCTCCAGAGATGGAACTGTACTTACACCAAGAGTCATTGGATGCTAACCAGCGCATAAATTTACACTCCTAGTGTTTCAGTAAAGATGATGAAACCTGTAATTGCTGGTTTAGGGGTTATTACAGTTTCTTTGGCTTTAGTTCCCAAACTATCCTGGATATTGATACGTGAAAATGTGTAAAACAGGGTCAGGTTTTGAATTTGTGCAGATTTGACAGTAATATTAAGCAAACAAAACCGGCTTTGAAACCCAACAGCTGAGGATTGTCATAAATTTCCCAATCTATCCACTGTGCTAAAAGTCCTCAGTGTTTAACCTTTAAACGAGGAACATTTTCATGTGGATTAGTGAACACTGATTTTTTTCTGCCACAGCTGGAAACAAGGTTAGAAAAAGGTTTGTCTTCTAGTCTGTAATAAAAAAAAACAGATATACATCTCCACTGACGACAAACTGGTGAGAGTCAAAGACAGATTGTAAATGTTTTTTCTTTTCTGGAGATGAGTGTACATTTTCTGGTTTGTCACTCTGCTCGAGTCTTGGTTTCCCAGTTTCTAGCTTTGGTACAGATTCTTTTCATGTTCACAAATACTGAGCCTGAGCCACTCGAGTTCACACAGATATCACAGGTGGTTTCTTCAAATGCGACTCATTTCCCTCTGACAGTTTAGAATTTAAAAGTCATATCTGTGCTGCTGTGGTAGTTTTTCATGAGCTGCTTACTTGTATTGATAAAATGGTGCCAAGCTTACGAGGTTCAATCTCTCAGACCAGACAAGAGGTTGGACCAACACAGCGTTTACAAAAAGAAAAAGCAGAAGAACCTATTTTTCTCTCGGTCATGAGGAAACTAAAGGAAAACTAAATTTACATATGGATAATTTATATCAAAGTCCTCATTAATTATTTCACAATCTATTGTACTTTTTAAATGTTCTGAACGGAACCATTTTATATTGTATATATATGAATATATTTTGTTTTATTTTGTACTGTTCATTGTACTTTGCTTTAATTTAGAAACAATATAAATAAAGAACAATACTGTGGCAACATCCTACTGCTTTTTTTAAGTTTGTTTTAGCACAAGATCATCATCATCATTAGAGCTGAAACAAATAATCAATTTACAACAATTTTGACAATATTTCAGGCATTTTCAAGCAAAAATGGCTAAACTCACTGATGTCAACTTCTCAAATGTTATTTTCTTGTATTTTTAGTCTCAATAGTACGAATATCAAAAGATACAGTGCATTCAGAAAGTGCTCAGACCTCTGTTGCAGCCTTATGCTAAAATCCTTTCTTCCACCTTATGGCTTGGTTGTTGCTCTGATATGCATTACAAGCTGTGAGATCTTATATAGACAGATGTGTGCCTTTACAAATTATGTCCAAACGGTTGAATTTACGACAAGTGGGCTCCAATCAAGGTGCAGAAACATCTCAAAGATGATCAGGAGAAATGGGATACACCTGAGGGTCTGAATAGTTATGTCAGTGTGATATTTCAGTTTTTCCTTTTTAATACATTTGCAAAAGTTTCTAAAATTCTGTTTTTAGTTTGTCATTATGGGGCACTGAGTGTAGATTAATCAGGGAAAAAATGAATTCTTTTGATTTTAGTTTAAGGCTGCTACATAACAAAATGTTAACATGTAACTCAGGAATTTGTACTGTTCAATGACCTTCCATAGACCATATGATTAATCAATTTATTGACAAATTATGAAGTGAAAATAATCATTTGGTGTAGCCTTGATCATCATTGTCAATAACACCAAAAAAACTGCTCTGTGTTCTCTCTTTGGTGTAAAGTCTTTATTATTTTAGGAATGTACAAACACTGACAAACACTAAAGCAAATATAATGTAATGTATGTATGTATAAAAATGTAGAACAGTTGTCATCTTGTTTTGACCTTCTTTCTTGGTCTCTGGTCAGTGTCTGGGTCTGAGCACTTCTCCGCCGCACCATCCTTCACATCAACATCCTTTAAAAGCGGGAGCTGCTGCTGAGTGGCGATGGTCAACGCCCACAAACACAGCTCCAGCCTGTGGGGCGTCCAGTCCTGCTGGGGATCCGCTGAGGACGAGAGGGCAGGCCAGCAAATGGTATCAGCACAGAATATTAGGGCAAGTTTATTTATAAAGCATTATTCAATACAGTGACTGTCAACCCATTGGAAGTTATTGTCTCACAGTACATTTAATGTGGATTATTTAACACTGATAGAACAAGACCCTTCAAAGTGTCTTTTTCTGTTCATCACTGTCAAAAAATGACATTAAATCCCTTTTGATTCATTGTTGTAAAACATAACATGATAATTTCCATTTTTAAAGACAGTGCAAAAAACTAATAAATAGGATTTTTAATACAAAACAAATCCCAAAACAATTTTAATAAAACATAATATTTTAATAAGATAAAAGAAATCGGCTAAATTTGAACAAAATGGATTAACCAAGAGAATAAAAGTATAGTGCAAGATAAGAATGAATAAATGAATTTTAATTTAATATAAGGCAAAGGCAAACATGAAAGTTTTAAGCCTCAAATCAAAAGAGATAAGAGTTTTTTATTTGAGACGTGATGCATTCAAGCAGAATTCTGCTTCTTCGAGTTTTGTTTTGACTGAGGGGACAGCTGGTAGACCTGTCCCTGACCATCTAAGAGGTCTGGATGGTGCAGCAGATCAGAAATGTGTTTTGAGCTTAAACCGTTCTGTACTTTATAAATCAATCGTAGTATTTTATTTAGTAGTAGTAGGAGTTTCATATTTTGTGTGCTAAATCAATGATGCAGAAAACAGATGTACTATACCACAGTAACACCACAAAATACAACAAATGCCGACATAATTGTAACCGTCTTTGTGTCCCTCTCATTACCTTACCTTTGTTTAGTTTTTCAGTCCGCTCAACCATCTTTCCCAGGTACAGAGCGTAATGCTTGGCTGTGTACTGGATGGGCTTTAATCCCGGTACACTCTCCATGGCTTCATCAGACATGAATGCAGTCTGTTCTGGAGCTCCTGCTGCCAACACAGCTGGAACAAAATGGACAGTTAGTCAGCCCCAAGCCAAGCTGGATGTAGCCATGAAGTGCATTCAGACTAATTAAATGGAGAACAGGGAGTCCCGGTCACTCGGTCCACCGGTTTAAGCATTATTCTATAAACTTATTGAGAAGGCAGTCACTTTGTGCTTCAAGAGGATCACAGAGACATTTTATTGGGATGAATTCTTAGACTTTTATCAATTTGTTGAAAGCAAGTTCCACACAGTGTCTTCAGAAACACAACACAGACGCTGTGCTAACCTGAAGCAGTGGCTGGGCCAACTCCTTTCAGAGAGCTGAGCTCTGCGATTGCTGCATGCACATCAGGCAGGAGGTTGAAGGCCTTTCTGGAACATTTCTCCACAGTATCCTCACCGTTGGACGCCACCAGCTGCTGCAGCCTAGGCCTGAACTTCCCTCTCTGCAGAAAAGCACAAAGAGTCGCTCAAGGACACAGCTGAGTGCTGTGAGGCTGTTAGTGCGCACCCACACAAAAGATATGGTGTGGGTGTGTTTACGTTTCTTGGGATTATTATGATTTAGTGTCTAGACTTTACTCACAGTGAGCTTCCACTCCATCAGTTTCACCAGCTCTGACAGAGTGACATGTTTGTCAGGTCGACTTGAAATGAGTGTGGGCAGCTCCGTCTGGTACCTTAGCAGATATACATGGATTAGAATTACCTATAACTCATAGATTTCAAATACAGGAAAAACCACACATATTCAGTACTGTGCCAAAAGTTTTAGGGACTAACATCAGGGAGGCGTCTGATCAAACCCATATTCCTTGTGCAGCTTGACAATTCGCCCAAACATACAGCCAGAGTCGTAAAGAACTATCTTATGAGTCTGGATTGTTTTGTTAAACTACAGTTTCCAAGTTCAAGTACCACTTGTCGAGGTTCAGCAGCTTTCCGGGTTTCTTAGCCTTAGCCTTGGCCTCCACTACATCCCAGTACTTCTCATACACACTCCTCCATGTGGCTGGCTCCTCACAGGCAAACAGAGCACTCATGGCAGCGGAGAGCTCACACCATCACCTATAAACAGTGCAAACATTATCTGAATGCACTGTCCGTTTGTAAGACATTCGTTTGACAGTAATGGACTCCAGTATTACGCCATTAAACATGTCGTATTTTCACACCTTAAACTTCCACGATTTGATCCAAAAAGTACCGCTTTCACCCTCTTTTGAACGACACCTGAAACAAAAACAAATCCACCAGTAAACTCCGAATGAACTGTAGTATCGTGATGCTTCCGTTATGAAACTCTGAATTCCCGCGAGATTGTGAAGCAAATCATTACATCCGGTATTGCAAGCTGGGAACAACAGTTTCACAAGGTTTGTGTCCTGAAACACTTTGGTATTTGCCTTGCTTGGACACTTTTACTTAACAGGATATATATATATTTTTTAAAGTGCTCTAATTGTGTGACAAACGTGTAAAACGCGTTTCGTCATTTTCGAAAACGTGCTCGGTAGCAAGGCTAGCCAGCTAGCATTAGCATCACATTCCTGTCATGTTTATGGTGCAGCTACTCTGAGGAGTGAGTTTAGCTATTGAACACCACTGACGGAGCTGGCGGATGCACGGAGCTGCAATTTAACCTTATTTTGGAGTAACATTAAGTGCAAGCAAAGCACGAAACCATGGGTGTAATGTTAGGTAGAGGAGGGTAAATGTGCCCACCTCTTTTAACGTGAATGGTGTTTGTGCACAAAGTTACATGAGTGAGTAGGCTATCTCACACTGTTGAGTTAGCTTGTTTTCCCCTCTAGTGTATCATCATATCCCCACGTGAGCTCTAAGCAGCTGTTAATCAATCACCACCAAGAGGTAGGTGGTAAAAAAAAAAAAAAACATACCTTCAGCCAAGCGGGATTTCACTGCGGTAGATGAGACAGAGCTGAACATTTTATAGAGAAAACATGATGTTTAATTGATATAATTAAATGTCTGAAGGTTGCAGCATAACTCCACATTGATCAATGTTTTAATATTATTGATAAATGTCCATATCTTTGTGATAAAGATTGCAGGTCATTTTGACTAATCCTGGTTTTCGCTAATATGAAATATCTGTCTTAACTATAAACCCAGATAGTATCACTCTGTTGCTCACATGCCAGTCTCTCACCAGAAACTAGCAAGTTGGCTCTCATGGGAGCACATGAGGAGGACTCTGTGCTGCTGCAGATATTGAAGAGGCCGGCACGTCTTCACCAAGTAAGTACTGCAACCATTTCATTGTCTGAAATATTAAAGTATGTACAATACTGTGCATTAATTGCTTTGTTACACACTGCCATCCCTCTTCTGCCCTAAACCAAGGACTATAAATTCTACTTTTTATTTTGCTACAGTGCCACCCACTGGTGGATTCTTGGACTGTCAGTTGCCTTTTAACAGCTGGCACTAGTGTAAAAGTAACCACAGCAACTAACATGTGAATGTGTGGTTTGCCTGATGGATATTCATCACTTTTATTGTCCCTGATTACAAGAAAAAATCACTGTTGTCTGCACCAGGAACATGGAGAAGATGTCACGGGTTACCACAGCTCTTGGCAGCAATGCCATCAGTGGCCGAACTATGTTCTGCCACTTGGACGCTCCTGCCAATGCCATCAGCGTGTGCCGTGACGCCACTCAAGTGGTGGTAGCTGGCCGCAACATCTTCAAGATCTACGCACTGGAGGAGGAGCAGTTTGTGGAGAAGTTGAATCTCCGCGTTGGTCGTAAACCCTCGCTCAACTTCAGCTGTGCAGATGTTATGTGGCACCAGATGGAGGAGAACCTGCTGGCCACTGCCGCCACCAATGGGGCGGTGGTTACCTGGAACCTGGGAAAACCCTCTCGTAACAAGCAGGACCAGCTGTTTACTGAGCACAAACGCACCGTCAACAAGGTGTGCTTCCACCCCACAGAGGTTTACATGCTGCTAAGTGGCTCGCAGGATGGCTTCATGAAGTGCTTCGATCTGCGCAAGAAGGAATCTGTCAGCACTTTTTCAGGTAGTGATATGAAACTGGTAATGTAAATCAGCTGAGGTTCATTTTCTTCATATATCCTCAAATCACAATGTAACAAAATCAGTAATACTTGGGTTAAAGAGGAGAATTTCTCTCCTAACAGAGGTTCAAAATAAGAGGCATGTCATTTTCAAAAAGTAAGCCAAGTAAATTTTTTCTTTGTAAGAAAAGAGTGATTTTAAAAAAAGAAATGTCTCCAGTGTCAGATTAATGACACAGAAGTAATGTCTTAAGTTCTTAGTGATCAGTTAAAGTACTGTAATATAGTCTTTCTCACTCCACATTCAGACAGCAGTAATAATACTTTATCATCCTCTAATATCCCTGTTGATTGTTTTTACACCCTTTCCTGTAGGTCAGTCTGAAAGTGTAAGGGACGTCCAGTTCAGCATGAAAGATTATTTCACATTTGCTGCATCCTTTGAGAACGGCAACGTCCAGCTGTGGGACATCAGACGGCCGGACCGCTATGAGCGAATGTTCACCGCCCACACTGGCCCCGTGTTCTGCTGCGACTGGCACCCCGATGACAGGTTAGAGATATTAAAAAGTACAGCTATACTTGTTGTTGGGTTGTTTTGCTGTTTAAGGAAGCAAATCACTTATTTGTCCAAGCATGTTTGTTTGTAATAGCTTTCCATCGCTTTTTTCTATCTTAGGGGGTGGCTGGCCACAGGAGGCCGAGACAAGATGGTGAAGGTCTGGGACATGACCACTAACAGGGCCAAAGAGATCTACTGTGTCCAGACGATCGCCTCAGTGGCACGAGTCAAGTGGCGGCCTGAGAGAAAGTTTCATCTGGCCACTTGCTCCATGATGGTGGACCACAACATCTATGTGTGGGACATTCGCAGACCTTTCATTCCCTTCGCCACCTTTGAGGAACACAAAGATGTGACCACGGGTATTGTGTGGCGCCACCAACATGACCCTCATTTTCTACTCTCTGGTTCTAAGGACAGTACGCTCTACCAGCATATGTTCAAAGACGCCACCCGTCCTGTGGATAAGGCCAACCCTGAGGGTCTGTGCTTTGGACTGTTTGGTGACTTGGCCTTTGCAGCCAAAGAGAGTCTGATCAGCAGTGACGCCAACAGAAAGCCGTACCCTGGAGGCGACCGCCGCTACCCCATCTTTTTCTTCAAGAAGCCAGACCCGACAGAACAGTTTGCTCATGTGTCCAGTGCTCTTAGCGTCTTTGAGACAGACTTGGACAGTAACCGCATGGACTGGTTTGTCAAGACAGCACAACTCTACCTCCTCAGTGGGAAGCCGTTTGCTGAGCTGTGTGATCACAATGCCAAGGTGGCCCGCGAGCTTAAAAGACCTCAGGTCAGAGAGATCAATGCATGAACACGTTTGTGCTCTGCTTTGGTTTTGATATTGTCAATTCTATTGCAAAACTAACACACAATGAACTGAATAATTAGTTCACGACTAACAAAAAGTAACAACCTTTTAGATCCGTAACTTTAATGTGATACCAAGACTGTAGCCATATTCTACTTTTTTCTTTAATTCAAAGGTTTCCACAACATGGACCATGCTGAGAATCATGTTCTCTGACCCAGCAAACCTCACAGCGCCTGGTCCAAACCACAACCTCAGTAAACTGGGAACCTTGCCTTTAATGAACAGGTAAATGAGCTTTTTAGTGCGCACCATTACAGAAAAGTAATGCAAGTTGTTTACAGCTTAAATTTGATGTTCATTATGATTTCAGTTTCAGCATGAAGGAAATGGGCTCAGGGTTGGGCACGGAGAGCAGACTGGAGCGCAGCAAAGGTGAGAGCCGGCAGGACAACATCCACCTGGAGCCTGGAAACTTGCACATCAGCAATAATAATGAAGGTGAGAGTGGTCCTTAAGAGTCTTAGGAGCCAAACTGAACATTGACAAGATCTTGATGTCCTTATGTTGTTTCTCCAATATTCATCCCGTGTGTAATTAACACACTCGTTCAATTTCAGAAAATGAGGAGACGGAGGGCAGTGAGGGTCAGGCTGAATATATGTTTGGTGATGCTGAGTTAGATGATGATGACCTCTATTCGATGGAGCATGACAACCCAACAGGTCAGTCACAGTCTCATATTCGAGGAAACTAAAAAGTTGCCTACGTCAGTACCTGCTATTTATATCTGCCTCTGTGCTCAGCTCTCTTTTGTCTAATATTATCTCTGCTCCTTTTGTCATAACAGAAGAGCAGGAGTACACGCTGCCCCAGGAGGCCTTCCAGCTGCGCCACGAGATCATGGATAACCCATCTGCTCCGGAGCACCTTCAGCAGGACAAGGCTGACTCCCCACATGTCAGCGGCAACGAGGCAGAGGTCACTTGTCTAACACCCATCGAGTCCTTTTCTCTCATCTCCATTTCCCAGCCACTGTTCTGCCCACATCTACCTGCCAGCTTCTTCTGTCCCATTGTGCGAGAGATGCTGAGCTACTACGCTGAACAGGGCGACGTGCAGATGGCCGTATCTGTGCTTATCGTCTTGGGGGACCGGATCCGTAAAGAGATTGATGACCTCACCCAGGTCAGACAGATTAAAACATTGGTGTCTTGCTCAGAGTTGTAAAAACTGCATTTTCAAGTCTTAAAATTAAATTACAACATTGCCCTTTGGAAATAGTAAGCAGACAAAATAGGAAACCCTCAGCAAGTTGTGTTTCCATTTCAGGAGCACTGGTACATGTCCTACATAGACCTGCTGCAGCGGTTTGAGTTGTGGAACGTGTCCAATGAGGTCATTAAGCTGAGTACGTGCAGCGCCATCACCTGCCTGAACCAAGCGTCTACAACACTGCACATCAACTGCAGCAACTGCAAGCGGCCAATGAGCAACAAGGGCTGGATCTGTGACAGGTATGAAAGCTGCATCACTATTTACTGTTAGAGAGAGATGTATACGTATGTGACTGGCAAGTTTACCGTCATACATTTGTATAATTACCATAAGGTGGTCTATCTTACATTTAAGATTAAGACCATATTTAATGTGAGCCCTGTTGCTTTAGTTTGAATACAGTAATTTCTTCTTCTTTTCTTAAACTCCATCCAATTTTGTTGAAATAAGTAGTTTTTGTTGTGTAACATGTAGAAATTTGAACATTAGTTTGACCATTTGGGAACGATGCTTATCCATTTTCTTGCAAAGAGTTAGATAAAAAGATTAACACCACACTCACATTTGTACGCTAAATATGAAGTTACTGCCAGCAGTTGGCTAATTAAGCTTAGCAGAAAGACTGGAAAGAGGGGAAAATAACTTGCCTCGCTTTGTCCAAACGTAACAAAATCAACCTACTAGCATTTCTAAAGGTCACTCTTTAACGTGTATTTTGTTTGTTTAATCTGTGTAAAAATAAGTAAGTGTAAAAATGACAAATCTTCCCAACCATTGGTGTAAATTGTCATTTTTACTCCCAGTATTTTGAGTGTAATTCCTGTGTATACTCCTGATTATGTGCATACTTTCAAAGGTCGTAACATAAACCAAAAAAAAAGAAATACTCCACTATTCATGAGAATGAGAAAGTATGGCTGTGATTCTTCCTCAGGCTGAGATTAGGGAGGTTTATCGATAATGATGTAGCTGGGTGACGTCCTTGGCTTTTGCACATGCACCACACAAAGGTCAAGTGTGAGGTGTGGTCTGCTTGACAAGAGCGTCGCCTGGGTGTCTAGGGTGAAAGAGAGAGAAGCAATGGGGAAATTAAAAAAATCATTCCTTTCCTTGCATGGCCCAGAATTGTTTGTAGTTACACTTGTTAACTGCACATGAATGGCAAGAAAGTGATTTCATTAATTGAATAACTATGTACATATGAATGTATTTGAACCAGCAAGCTACTGCAAAATGTAGTTAAACTTCTAGGTTAATTACATGTAGTTCACTACTCCTCAACACTGAATATTTATGTAATTCTGACATGAACCAAGCTCTGACAAGTGCACTGCATCTCTCCTTTAGGTGCCACCAGTGTGCCAGTGTATGTGCGGTGTGCCACCACGTGGTGAAGGGACTGTTTGTGTGGTGTCAGGGCTGCAGCCATGGTGGACATCTGGAACATATAATGAACTGGCTGAAAAGCAGCACTCACTGCCCTGCTGGCTGTGGTCACCTGTGTGAGTACACTTGAGACTACGACACCCACAATTCACACAGCTGGTCCTCTGTGGGAGTGGGAAACGGCCTTCACACAGGCCTGGATCATCACACACACCACAGACAAATGAGATGTCTTCATCCCTCTACGAGGGTCTTACTTGATTTATCAATGTGGAAAGAACGATGTCGGTGTATTTGAAGTGAGTCAAAGGTCTGATCTACCGAGTCTGAAGGAGGATTAGTTTTATATGTGCTCTCGTGGACAGTTCTTCACAAACAAACACAATCATTCGCATTGGCACTTGAATTGGTTTTTGAACCATTGGTGAATTTGTAAATGAGCAGATGTTACCATAGATATTCAAAGAATTTAACAATATATTTTTTGAATTCATATTTGCTGCATTTTACATTGTTTTTAAACCCCTCAGCAAAACGTTGAAGGCTGTACAGCAACAATTGTTTGCTCATCTTAAGTGAGCTGTTAATGGTTGCACATAATGCCTATAACTTATTTTAAATGACTGTAGATAATGTTGAGTGAATTTATATGAGAAATAGCTCTTTATTCAGGCAGTACATTAAAGCAATACCTATTGAATTGACATTTAAAATCGTCCTGGACCAGTAATGTCTGTTCTGTACCCTACATTCATCAGAAGAAGCTTCACTTTGCAGCGTTCACATCATCCACATGTATGGTAGTTCGGTACACCCGGCAGCTTCCCAGTGCACCCAGTCCCGGTGGAACAGTGTGGGTAAAACGTCTTGCTCGAGAGCAGCTTAGTGAGAAGAAGGAACACTACTTATTCATTTTCCTCAAGAAACACTCTACTCTCATGGGCCCAGAAATCCCAACTGGCAACCCACCAATATCTCTAGCCTGTAGTCCACCAGTTAGACACAATGTGTGCTGCTCGAAGCAACAGTCATTTGCTTGTCGTAGTGTGTATATCTCTCTGCTGGTGAGATACACAACAGACACGTGTAGAAGCCAACAGAGACAACTTCTGTCCTGATAAACCTCAACAGAACAGCTTTGTCCAGGGTGAAATTTGACTGTTACTACAGGATTCCCTGTTTCATCCAGTACTGTGCAGCCTGATGGCAAATGGTTGGAGGACTTTACAGTCTAGTTGTCAGCTTTACTGGCAGACTTTCATGAGATGAGTAAATTTTCACAGAGACGCAGAATATTTTATCAGCACAGTCCCGACTCTCAACACTGATGATGTTTATTTGGAAACATTTATATTCTGGAAGCTGCTCAGCATCACAAGTGTTGGTCTTCCACTCCCATCTGCCATCAAGTTTGTCGATCAGCGGAAGAACATCACTACAGGTGATAGCCCTCAGCTCCTTGACCTTATTTACTGAAAATTCAGCTTTGTTTCGGTGACATAAGCATCCTGGATTCTGGCACATCAAACAGAAAAGCTTTGGAATAGACCATAAAACAGCCCTGGAAATAAAAGATCAGGACCCAACACCATTTTTATGGCAGTTTAACATAACATTAGAGCAATAATCCATATTTCCCATTAACTAGTGTTGTAGTAAATTGATATTTCAGTTTCAGTCCATTACAAGGGCAGAGCAGTGATGTACAAGCTGGAAGCAGTCTGTGCTCATTATAAACCTGCAGGCTAGAAGCTGCTCTATCTGGATCAGCTGCTCAAGCCAAACTCAGCCAACATCCATATTGTGCCAAGGTTGTTACCGAGCAGCAACTGTCATCACATCGATTTACCGCCAAGGCCCTGGGCACAATAGAGGATTTTCAGATGTACTCCACATGAGGACATCCCAATAATCAGGGGGGGAATCCCCAACCCCCAGGCTCAGTCCACACAGAACTGCCCTGTAGTGTTAACAGATTAACTATTGACCAAATCATGCCAGACTGCTCCCAACCAGCTGATTATATCAAACATCTGGGCAGGTCAGGGGATAGGACTTGGAGTTTCACTATTCAGTGTTGGTTAAAGAGACAAACACTTAAAAAAAACATAAGTCTCATATTCCACAAATCTGCTTAAGTCTGATACAGAGTCCAGTGAGCACCATAATTCAAATTAAAAGGAGGAACAGAACAGAAATGCTGAAAAGAAAAGATAAGTGTGAAATATTAGTTACACAGACGTCCACACCTCATCCCAAACTTTAGGCAAGAGATTTTAATACTTTGTTCATGAATTTGAATTCGGAAGGCATGAAGTCATGAACAATTTTGCTGTTTTCAGCTGCTGTTTTCAAAGTTCCAAATTTAAAGTGTTGAAAAGTAATTAAGTATAGCAGATTAAAAGATATAGAAATCTTGTTTTCTTAACCACTACTGAAACAACTCTTTCCACTGTTATTTCTGTTGTCCTAATGCATGCTGTACATGGTCATAAAAATATGAAGCTAAGAAAAAATTCCACATAAGTTTACTTTCTTACGAGGATCTGCTTTAACATCTGATAACACCCTGAAATACATTTAAATAAAATGTTTGTTTAATTTGTGCGTAGTGTATCTGTCACGAGCAGACGATTGTTTGATACAGTTTTTAAAAAATTGCCCTCAACTTTCAGGCAACTGGGTTTTAATTTTAGTCCAATACAATCAAGACTCTCCAGCTTTTTAAAGAGTTGGGAGGATTTCAGGGTAAAACGGATCCTGTTCTAGAAGATACACAAGAAATCCACCAGATAGTACCTAACCTCCTGGTAGCACCACCGAGTAAAATCTGAAACTGAACTGTGTATTGTTTGTGTTTGAAAAAGAAAACTAAATCACTATTTTGCTGTAAAGATTTGTGTCTGTTTTGAAGTTTTATAATTTTACTCATAACTTATGTGTTGCGGGAACTGATTAAATGACAGGTCTTTTCAGGTTTCTTGTTATGATCTTCAGCTCCTCAAAATGCATTCAGCAGGACATATTCAAACAGCATACAAGTGAGTAGATTTCATTCAAATCATAAAGTATCACTCTGCAGAAATTATTTCAACTAAACAGATTACTCTAAGAACTTTTTAAGAACTGCACCCCTTCATCTGGTGGCATGAACATAATTTAAACCACATTTCATATAGGAAGAGAGTACAGTTTTGTATAAATGCTTCACAGTATTACAGCGTCTGATCCACGATCAGTCCTTCCTCCTCTCTGTGCATTTTTGCAACCCAGCTACTGGAGTCCAGTATTCACCAGCACAAGCGTGTGGGGGTCAGGTGCCCTTCCTGCCTGCTTGTCGTTTCCTTGCAGCAGCTGCTGTTGCCCTTGGCCTTGTCCACATCTGGCAAGCTCTGGTCCATCAGCCAATCCCAGAGGGGCAGCAGGTCGGCAGCTTCAAGTGCGGGAGGGCTGGCCTCATCTTTGACCTTCTCCCATTTCACTGAGATTGTTCGGGGTGGTTAAATCACCCTCCGTCGAATATTGGCAGTATCCCCTTCAGAAGTTCAAAAAAGCAAGTTATTTTCTTTTCTTTTCGCAGCCATAGAATTCATCCAGCACTTGCTGTGTTCATCCAGTAAGTACTCACCTGGAAAGGTTAAGGCCGTTCCCAGCTATCTGAGACTTTTTCAGGGGCACTCATTCGCCTCAGATTCTGCAGCACAGTCTGCAGGGTTGCCGCTGTTATGATAAAACAACTGGACATTAATTAAACTGCCCTGATGACACAAAAGCACTTTAATCACTGAAGCGTTACACCACCATACCCAGTTCTTCTTCATAGGAATCCAACTTCTTCATTAGCTCTACAACACTGGAGCATGTCAGGCCCTCCGCAACTACAAGGAGAGGTAAAATCACTTACTTTTCTTCTTTGTAAAATCACAAAATGTAACAGGTGTTATCCAGCACAGCACAATAACTCACCTTTGACACCTGTGTCATCTTTTGTTTTATTTTCCACATCAGTGAAAGAGATGCTATTGCCATCAGTAGGGAAGCAGGAGAGAAGTTCAGCACGGCAGGTCCTGGTCTTCGCTAGTGTGGCACTCATGTCCTGAGCCAGTCGGTGGTTCTCCACCAACTCGGTGTGCACCCTCCTCCACGCCATCTTGTCCTCCATCAGACACCCCTCCATCACTGTACGCAGCTCCTTCTCCTGAGACACCTGGCTCTGCAGGTTCTCCACCTCCTCACAGCGCTACAATAGGGAGTTAGTTAGTTAGTTAGATATGGGTAAAAGGTTTTCAGTTGAGTCAAGTCAGAAAGTATTTGTATGGCAGTTACAGTGAGTATTTCTTTTGTTAGTTACCTTGTGTAGCTGAATGGCCATCTCCTGCATCTCAGCCTCAAGCTGATCAGCATAAGCCTGTTCCAGAGCATCACTGGGTGGTCGAGCGCTGCTGTGCCACCTTGCAATAGCTGAGGTCATCTTACGTTTGGGTCCAAACAATCTGGTAAACGAGAGAATATATTATTCCATGCCAAAAGAAAAATACAAACATTTTATATTCGGGGTACATGTGAAAGAGGGGCCCGAGGACTCTTACGTGATCCCTATTTCTTTGAGATCATTTTCCGTCAGGGTGAGAAATATCCGCAGATCAATATCTTGCTCTTCAAGTATTGGGAGATACTTAGAGAAGCCGATCTGCTCCAAGAACTCTGCCAGATCCTACAGGAATAGGAGATTATAGGTCTAGTGAAGAACTAAAGACCCAAATAAACTGGCCATGAAGCACACACCATCTAGATCACATTATTAGTTGATTAAAAACTGTACAAACGCAGACATACCTTTGGACCGGTGTAGGAGGGCGGAGGAACAATATGTGAGCGTATGACACAGTTCCCTGCACCACTGGAGTGAGCTGCATCGTTGCTTCCATGGCGACTCTTTCCTTTTGAGTGATGACCCTTATTTACTCTGCGAGAGCTACTCTTCTTGCACGGGTCAGAGTCCTGGTGGACAAAGATGCATCTATCTGTGACTGCATATCAAAAAAATGTGTTGTTTCCCTCCATAACAGTGGGATTCCTGTGCTCTTATGTTCACCTCATTACTCTCCACAGAGCCTTCCCAGTTGAGGCCAATCACATGAGGCAGGCCTTCGCTGCTGCTGCTGCTGCTCCTCATGGTGGGCATGTCATTTTCAAAGAATGGACTATCATCTGCAGCAGTAACAGAGAAAATATTACAATTGCTTGGAAAGACAACCAGTACAACCAGTACAGCCAGTGCCAAAGGATTTCTAAACATGCCCCCTATGTTACTTCATTTTAATAACTGATCATAATAACTCTTAATTTATTTCATAGACACATGTAACTATTTCAGTTATGCATTTCAGGTAGTCTTTCACAGGTAGTCATATGCCTCTTGCCTCTGCTGCTGTTGCTCTGGCCATCCAGCTCGTTGATAGGCGAGGTCACATCACGGTAGCAGAGGCCCTCACTCTGTTCACCAATATCACGGACCGTCATGTAGCCTGGTGGCACAGCAGGAGGCTCTGTGAGGAGAAGAGCAACATTAAACTGCTGTCTCACCCACGACTATAATAATGAATGGCAGCATGCCACTGATTGAGACTTTCCTTTTTTGAAGTTGTGTAAATTTGACTTAACAAATAAAATCCTGGCAGAATGGGTATATTATGTGCAACAAGTATGACACTACCACACAGTTTGCTCGTGCCTCCTACTCGGAACTTTGCAATGGCCTGAGGCCCATCGTGGATGCTGATGCCTTTAGTTCGGTTTCTTGGCCTAATCCTCGGGGGTGGGCTGTCCGAGTCCTCAGAGGAGCTCAGGTCCTCAAAGTGTCCTGATAGGATGGATCAGAAAGTGAAAGACAAAAGAAAGAATTACAACTTATTTATCAAAAACAAACAATAACAAATTAAAGTGTTGAGACAAGTACCTGGCTTGATCCTTGGAGAACGTGAGTCAATGAGGCTGACGATCTTGGTATAGCCATACATCATTGCTAGGGCACGGGCAGTCTCTCCTTTAGCATTGCGATCTTCTACTTTAACTTTCTGTTTATTGGATAAAACAAACAGATGTCAGACGTCAACACCATAAGGGGCGAGTCAGCAGGACTGCTCCTTCTTTATGTTACTCCTTCATCACACATCCTATATGGCAGGTAAATCCTTCTGTTTACATTCTGGTGCTGCAGCTCAATATTTGACACAACAACAGCAAAGAGCATGTTTAGTGTATTAAGTAACTGTAACCTACTCACATGATCGAGCAGATACTGAACTATGATTTCATGTCCAGAAGCAGCAGCCTCCATCAGGGGAGTGAAACCAGACCCTGGCTCTCTGTGGATGAAAGAAAAGGTTGTGAAAAACTCGGTGTATGGATGAAGTGTTTGCAGAAGTATTGGGATGAATGAAGACACTCACTTGATGTTAGCATCAGCATTATTATCCAGCAAGAACTTGACCATCTGCTGGTGGCCTGTGCTAGTGCAGTGGAACAGAGCAGTCCAGCCCAGAGAGTCCTTCAGCTCCAACTCAGCACCTTGCTTTTGGGGTAAGAAAAACAAAGCTTTTCACTCTCTGAATAACACTGTTACAACATAGAATCTGTTGTTGGAAGCAGGTAAGCCAGTTGTGTTATTTTGCATAAATTAGACTTGGCCCTTTTTGTCAAAACATTTAAGGATGGTTAAACATCTGGCTTTTGGGCATCCAAACAGCAAACATTTGCATCACAAAACATTGATGTTGATGTTTGCTTATACTTTCCCTTCTGTGTTTGATTTTCCATCAACACAGTTAACAGATGCAACGCATCGCACAAACAAATCACATTGTATTCTTTCACTTTGTCCTGTGAAGTGTCCACATTGTGTGGTACTAGTCCATTCAAAAGGTAAAACTTGATTGAATATTGGGAACAGAACCATTTTGTACCTGAAGCAGGAAGTATGAAATACTTTCATTGCCACAGCTTGCTGCTAGCATCAACGGGGTTAGACCTTTGGCAGTGGTAGCATTTACATTCACACCGGCCTCCAGCAGAAGATTTGCAATGTTGTCATGTCCAATGTATGATGCATACATCAGTGGGGTCCATCCTCCAATGTTCTTGCCATCCAGGTTCACCTCACGCCTGAAAACAAACCAGATCATATATGTATAGGTTGTGGAGGAAAGGTACACATCTGGGGAGTGTCTGCGTACTTAGGAACTCACTTTTTGATGCACTCTGTCACCACGTCGTACTGGCCGATGGAGCAGGCGGTGTGGAGGTCCAGAGGAACATCCAGCTCCTCAGGTCGCATCACGGAGTCACCCAGCCACAGGGAGAGGCTGGCACCCAGCTGCTCTGATTCACTGGCCTCGTCGCTTAGCTCAGACATTTCCCACCTCTTCACACGTCCCCCCTGACACCTGAAAACAAGAGGTGGTCCTGCGACTGAGCTCCGCCATGATATGATCAAAACTACAAAACCCTGAATTCACACTTTAAAGACTCATTGTCTGAATATCAGACAGAAACAGTCGCTTAGTGTCGTGGGATTTAGTTTATAATAAACATACGGACAATACTGAATGATACTTGCTTATGACTTGCAGTTATTTTAAAGTTAATCTATGTCTTTACCAGCTCTAGCTAACTCTAAACTTTGTTCTTTTAGCTTGTGTAACGTTAGCTTAGCGAGACAACGACGACCCCGGTATAAACCTCTCCCCACCGTACATCTACACTACAACCAAACAACAACCTAAACTAACTAATACTTCACACTGTAAACAAATTAGTTCAAAACTTACAAGCAACAGGTCGTCTGTTTTCTCAGCGGTTCAAAGTTTTTTGTTTTGTGTGTCACACTCAATTGTGCTCGTGTTGAACCACACCCCGCCCTTTCCTGTCTGACGGAATTTATGTTATTATGTTACTTACTATGTTGACGCTGAACTTTTTGCGTTTTGTTGTCTTATCTAGTCTATGCTTAAACCAACAGCAGTGTCTGTTGGGGGAAAAAAAAGTTGGGTTTGTATGTTGTTTGGTTTAGTCTTAAACCCTCGCTGCCAACCTGGGGGGTGAGGAGCCCTCAAGGGATCCCAGGAAAAATCTGTGGGGTCAGCAGGAAAAAAAAGCGTCAATCTGAAATAATAGATACGTTCACCTCCGTGTGCCTTAAAATGAAATAATCCAAAAACAAAAAAAATAACACTTTTAGTTGGACTGCTCAGAACACCTGTCAACACTCAGACAAGTTCATTTTGAGGCCACAAGACAAAAAGACAGAACCAGTGTGTCAGGCAATGATGAAGTGGCACTATTTACAAAACATGTAGCTTTATTAACATTAACTAGCAAATGTATGTGATATGTCTATGATAAATTCAGCAATCACTAAAAACATCTTACATTACAACCTGTAGCAAAAACGAAAACTTCCCTGTGGATTGACCTGACCTCAATGTAGGTTCAAAAGGTTTAACTATAAAAATGTTGTGCAAGTATGGTACACAGATACCACAAATCATGCCTTACATTAAGGTTGTTATAATCTTACACATCCATAATAAATAAAAACAATGCAAACAAAAATACAAAGTTATTTATTTAGACACATAGTACAAGGAGCAATCAGTTGAAGCTTTTGAATATTAGCACTGTGATATAATCATTTTTTCTCCCTTTATCTCCAGTGCAGCCCCTTGTTTTATCTGCTTTACATTGTTTCTGTCTCAAAAAATGTCCAGCTCAGACCAGACTGTCCAAGCACAGTCCAACATAACCCATGGTGAAAAGTTTATCTTCAGGTTTGAAAAAAAAAAAAATCATAGAAAATTGAAGCGAAACTCATCCTTTGAAGGAGTAAAGACAAAAGCCGGTGTCTCCTCCTGAGTCTCTGGTATCAGGCCTGTATCCTGGGCTTCAGTTTCCTGCGGGTTCTCCTCTGAGTTTGGGATCTGGGTTTTGACTTTAGCTCTCTGGCAGAAAACAGACTTCTTTGGGGAATCTGACACAACTTTGACCTGAGCTGATGCAATTTCTGTTGGGAACAGAGAAACCCATCAATTCACTGCACTGCAACACTTTCACAGTTCAAAGGTAAACCTTTTTTTTTTTTTTACAAATTGCAATTTTTATTGTTCAGATGAGTCTACTGCTACAATCCACTCACCGCTCTGAATGAGCTTGAACTGTTTGTTCTTCTCCTCTTCCATTTTTTTCCTGTACTCTCCAGTCATGGCTCTCATCACCTGCCGTTTCTTGACCAGGGGAGCTTTGGAGCTACGTAGAGTCTTCAGGGCACGAGAGGCGTCCTCCTCTACCGGGAAAACATAATCAAGGTGTCACACCTCAAAGCAATTCAGTATCTATCACATTTAAGTAGTTTTATAGCTCTATTCAGGCCTAAATCCCATTTACACCCGGTATTAACAGATCATTTGTATCAGGATACTTTATCTGTATAATGACATCTAACCACAGGCCACTGCATTTATCTCTTTGTGTTTATAAGCTTTATCCTGCTATACTCATACTACACACAATACAAGCCCTATGCTGTGTAAGGTTAACGTCCCACTAACTCTGTTTCGGCGTGCCCTTCTGGGATCTCATTCCCAGTTCCAGTTGTTCGATGCACCAGTCCAGCTGTCTGTTCAGCTGCTCTTCTGCACTCTGAAACACACAGTCACATTCAGATCATCACATCATCATCATCAAATCAATGAATCAACCAGAAACCAACATGATTAGAGGAAAACATTTCACACTGACCAGCTGTGTGTCTTCATCTCCTTGACTCCCCTCAGCTGGCATCTGTTGTGCCTCGCTGCATTCTGAGGCGTTTTTCTTTCCAGATTTCCTCTTCTTCTTCTTTGTTTTGGTTTGCACTGACAGTTCAGGTGTAGAGTTATCCTCCTGCAGCAAGGAAGGCTTTTCCTCTTGGACGGTCCGTTGGCTTCCTTGAGAAGACGTGTCTGGGGTCTCTCCTGTCTCCATGTCTTCTACAGGTGTATCACCAGGGATTTGGAAATTGAAGGCAAAAGCAGATCCCTCTCCGGTAAAGGATATGTGGCTCCTTTCTGGCTCGGTTCTGTCTGATGGAGATGTTTTCTCCTCAAGTGCCGGAGAGCAGCCAGGGAGGAAGTTGAATCTGAAGGTGTTGTCACTACGAGTCCAGAGGCGTTTCTCAGCTCTGCCTCCAGCAGAAGCGGAGCTGTCTGAAGTCGGTTCAATATCTGTTGAATGAACAGACCCACAAACCTGACACCAACTTACTTTTGAGAGCATTGCATTGACTTTGACTTGCACTGACTATCTTAAGACTTACTCTCCCTTTAATTGTAAAAGCTACAGACAGATGTGCAACATAAAGAAAGGTGAATAAAAACATTTAAGGCCACTAATAAGTCGAGTTAATTTCAGTTAAATTAAACTGAGGACTATTTTAGACAAAGCGCGCCAACACTCAAGCGATTTATATCCACGTTTTGTTGCCAATAACGACCTATGATAGACCACAGGCTTGAGTGCACCGACATGTAAGACATGTAATTAAATTATTATGTACCTATGAACATCAGCCTTTGCTCGGCCACGCTGACTCCTCTAGTGTTGCAGGATTCCTCTTCGACTATTTACCTCGACGCCTCGGGAATAAAGACATTCTCCACGGAACTGGCACAAGTTTTAGCTAGCGTTTTTAAAATACGTCTGTTTTCTTAATCTCCATCAAATGGTGTTGTTCAGAACAACCAAAGATGTTTTCGGAAATGTTTTGTGACAACTTACCTCTGGTGCGTCTGAAGAATAGGTCCGTCTGGTAATATTTCCGTCCCGCCTGTCGTTCCGCTTAGTTACTATTTGACCCAGTTGGTCGGCTTCTCTGTTTGTATATAATTTATCTTTTATCACTGTGTTTAATCATGACATACTAAAACATACATAGGCAGACGTTACAGTGGATTAGCTTGCTAATAAATAAATAAAAAATGTATTTATAGCAGTAAAAAACATACTTTTACTACACACACATACAATCCTCTAAAGCGTTAGGTACAAGTTTGAATAAAAGCAAACACAATTCCTCCTATATGTAAGTCCTTCTGTGTATATTTTCTGGTGCTTTAGCACAATATTTGAAAAGCAAAGATCATGTTTTGTAGACAGTAACCTACTCACTTGATCAAGCAGGTACTGAATATGATGAATGAGTATATTTCATGTCCAGAAGCAGCAGCCTCCGTCAGGGGAGTGAAACCAGATCCTGGCTCCCTGTGGATGAAAGGAAAATCCATGAAAAACTCAGTGTGTGGATGGAGTGTTTGCAGAAGTAATGGGATGAATGAAGACATTCACTTGACATTAGCACCAGCATTATTATCCAGAAGGAACTTGACCATCTGCTGGTGGCCTGTGCTCCTGCTTTGGAGCAGAGCAGTCCAACCCAGAGAGTCCTTCAGCTCCAACTCAGCACCTTGCTTTTGTGGTAAGAAAAACAGAAAGCTTTTCACTCCCTGAATAACAGTGTTTCAACATAGAATCTGAATTTTTGATTGTACTTCATAGACAGCATTTTTGATTCATTGATTTTACAATATGAAAATCAACTTGCAGATATTTGAAACTTGTTGGAGGCAGGTAAACCAGTTGTTATTTTATGTAATAAGTGTAAAAGAAAAAAGTAGAACTTTCAACAAATTTGCACTAGTAAAAAGGCTGTAATCACTCTATGCTAATACAGCTGGCTTGAGAGTAAGGGGTAATTTTAACAACAAAGAAACAAACTGGATTTGTCACCAGGCTGTCTGCGTGATCTCTGTATCAGCTTCCTGCTGAACCCTCCTCTTTTAACACGGACACAAAGGATCAGATTGTTTGTGTCCTTTCTCTGTTGTCCGATGGTTGACCACATCTTAGGACTGTATGGGGTGTTACCCAAACAGATGTTGAGCTAGGAAAGCAATGGGGACACCATCCAGGTTCTGTCCGGAGAAGCATAATGCTGAATTTGTTGTAGTAACAACAAAGTTGTCTTCACACAATGACTTGTGGAAGTACAGTATTTATTGAGCTGTGTTTGCAGTGCTATTACACTATTACAAAATAAGAGGAATTTGACTTACTACCTTTTGTTAAAACAATTCTGTGATGAGTTTTGTTGTTGTTGTTGTTTTGTCTTGTCTTGTCTTGTCTTGTCTTGTTTTGTTTTGTTTTGTTTTGCTTTGTTTTGTTTTGTTTTGGTTTGTTTTTTTTTGTTTTGGGGGGCTCTATGTAAAGTTCTATCTTATATTATCTAGTTACTGCCAAAAATTATTATTTTGAAAGTGTGCATACAAACAGAATATCCCCTGTGATTTTAGGGTATGACTTGTCCCCTGTCCATCACCTGCCATGAACCAAGTTTTTTTCCCCTGGCATCAGCTAAAGGTAAGACACTTATTTCCACATAGAACACAGCCTATCTCTTGTTGAAAGGGGCGGCATTGTTACCTTTTGCTCCATTTAATTAAGAGAATTTGTATTTTAAGAGATGGTGTGGAAAGTCCTACGGATGAAGAACCAAAAGCTAATGGCAAAACTTTGCGGTGTAAGAAGAAGCAGTTTCAGGTTCATAAATGAATAAATAAACGTGTAGATAGTTCAATATAAAAGAAGGCACTTTTTCCCATTCTTTTTCAAAAGCAGTGGCGGCGATCCTAGTTTATTTCTCCACCAATCACATTCCGTCAGGGATTTCAGTCTAGACCAGTCCTATAGCTTCCGGGGCGGGACTTCATGCTCCGCTTCTCTCAAACTATAAATACCACCTCCTGCTCACCCCCCCGGTTATTGCCATTGCCCGACAAGCAAGGAGGACACGCTGCCTTCCCGGAAAATAAACACAAACGGTAACGTGAAGGGTATACTATTACTATATTGTTTTTGGATATTGATTGTTTATGGTGATCAAGTATATGGTTTACTTTGAATTCCAGGTTGTCAAAAAAACATTAAAACACGGTTGCTCTGGTGTTAATCGTCAGTCAGTTGACAAAAACCGAGCGCGCCTTAGCCAGTTGGCTAACTGTTAGCGCCATTAAGCTGCTATGTACAAACTTTGCTTATCGACAAACTTGTTTTTATCACAATCACAACTAAACCGCGAATAAGAATTTACTTCACTTGTGTGGTTATGTTTAAGTTGCTTTAGCGGGCAACGGTGTTTAAATTAATGTAAGCCTCTGTGGTAGCTGGCGCCATTTTGCAACCGTCTATGCTAGCGTTAAATTTGCTCGCTAACAACAGCAAAGAAACGTGTGTGTCTCCCATAGCTTAATGGTGGCGGAGCTTAAGAGCCGTTTTTTAATTAAAACCATTTATGCGTTATGGGAAGGTTATACTTGTGTATATGACTAATAGAGAGGCATCCCACTGCCAAACAACGAATTCCTTCTCTTAATGTTACTTAGCCTCGTTTCTATCTCTAGCTATAGCTTAAATTGAACGGCATATATTTATCTCCTTCGAAGGAGGCTGTGACTCGTGTGTCATCGGTAAAACTGCTTAGCGTGAACGTACTTTCCCTGAGGCGGAGACTCAGTCCAATGAAGGTTAAAGTATAACTATGCTGGCAGTGAATAAAATGTATTTGTTGTTCACCTCATCTATTGTTTGTTTTTCAGACCTGCAGGTGAAGTATGGCTCGTACAAAGCAGACCGCTCGTAAATCCACCGGAGGAAAGGCGCCTAGGAAGCAGCTGGCCACGAAAGCTGCCAGGAAAAGCGCGCCCTCCACCGGCGGAGTGAAGAAGCCCCACAGATACAGGTACACTTGTTAAGTGATCAAGTTTCTGTTGACTGTAAAAACTGATTGCTATTGCTACGAATGCACGTGAAAATTGATAAAAAGCAACCTTTTTAACTTTTCCAGCGTGTATTCTAACAAACTGGTAACCAGTGGGCATCATGTAGGGGTTTTTTCAGAATTGCATAAGTTTTGTAACAGTAGGTCATGAAGTTCCTGCTGTGGTTTTTGGAGTGGATATTTTGGATTTTGGTATAATTGTCAAAACATGTTTCTTGATGCATGGTTTGGGGTCGTAAAGGCAGCATGTCTCCTTGTCTTTGTAGGCCCGGCACTGTTGCCCTGCGTGAGATTCGTAGGTACCAGAAGTCCACTGAGCTCCTTATCAGGAAGCTGCCTTTCCAGCGTCTTGTCAGGGAAATCGCTCAGGATTTCAAGACAGATCTCCGTTTCCAGAGTGCAGCTATTGGAGCTCTCCAGGTGAGATGGCACTTCTTTCATTCTATTGTCATTTTTGATCACAAGTATGTACAGGTTATTTATCTGTTAAGTGTGATTCTGTGCAAGTAGGTGACAGTTATGTTTTTTGTTTTTTTTGGTTCTTGTATAGGAAGCAAGTGAGGCATACTTGGTTGGACTCTTTGAGGACACCAACCTGTGCGCTATCCATGCAAAGAGGGTTACCATCATGCCCAAGGATATTCAGCTGGCCAGGCGAATTAGAGGAGAGCGTGCATAAATGATGGATTTTATCTTTTTAGTGGGGATTGGGGGGTGGCAGGGACTGACTGGGGTTTGTTTTGTAAATCTTGAATTATTACCAGCATGTGTACCACTTAATTTGTCATTTGTAGTTTCAGGCATGTATTTCTTTTTCTTTTTTTGTATTTTTCATTTCACTCTTGACTTTCTTTCAATTGTCGTATTTACTGTAGAATAGAGCTGCATATCTGTAAATGCTGAAAAGCAAAATATTCCACTGCCTTTCTCAGGTTTGCAAATCTATTTTAGATTCTGGATCTTTAATCCTGTGTGTGCATGTCATAGGATTTCTTGTGCTGTAAATAAACTTTCCGCTACCTCAAATTGACCCGAATTTATTTTTTTGCTTTATCTAAATGTGTTTAGCTCCAAAAACATCCAACACCAGCCACAACGCAAATGTATCATGTTAGCTATCCCACTACAAACCCCAGCAAATGGTGTTAACCCTGATGTCACTACTGCATCAATGGCTAATCTAAGACTTGACAAAACTCCAACTAGTTCACTAAGACAGTCCCTCTAAGACAATCTCCTAAACAAATGTGCTTTGTCAAAGTTGAGAAGTAAAGATCATGCAGTTGAGGTCTGTCCCAATCCCATTTTGTTGAGGAATCTGACAAAACATCAGCAGGAAGTACTGCAATGGGTATTCATAGATTAGCATGTAGCTACAGTACAACAGGAAGGCAGACAAACCCAATTTGGGTGTTTTTTAAATTGAGGCATTTTTTTAATCCACATGTTCTGATCAACTGAAACAAAAGGCAATGTATGGTCTAACACAATCTTTCATTTTTCACTGAGAGAAAGTTTCCATGGTACAGGACGGCTTCACTGCTGCTACACCACCAATGTTGTCGGAACAATGAGTTGGTGCCACAGCCTGCATACTACAGATACATCTTGCAATAAATAAAACCTGAAATATATACATCTGAAGTCCCATGTTTGTCAACTTATTTTGTTACTTTATTTTGAGCTTGCTCCTCCGTTTCCTCTGAAAGCAGGCCAGGTAAATGCTCATACAGCTGCTTCTGCAGCTCTGAATCAATGTCCGTCTCCTCTCTCAGTACACACCACAACAGAAAGCCGATGGCTACCAGACTGACAGGAAGGACTTTCCACCAGGGCCGCTCAAACTGGCTCCCCATGGAGTGGTCGACCTTCCATGTCCTGTGACTGGCTTTACTTGTGGAGAACTTGATGGGCTCATTGTTCACTTCATCTGTGGGCCTCTGGGACCTCGCTGGCCTCCGAGAGCTTAGAGCTAGGGACCGCACACTGTTCAGTCTGCTGATGAAGAAGAAAAATAAGACATCAGTTAAGACTGGCTGATTTAGTGATGCAAAGTAACTAAGTACACTTCAAGTACTAATGTATAAGTTTGAACTACTTCACTTAAGTATTTCCATTTTGGTGACTTGACTTTACGGATTGTATTTTTACATAAACAATATCGTATTATAAAATTTTATACATTGTTATAGATTAAATGTTTTACAACAGTAAAATGCTACTTACATTACTGCAACAGTAATAATATATACAGTAATATACAAGTGCTTCTACTTTTTCTGTTAATACTTATTTTAACTAAGTCTTATTTGTAATGGAGTATTTTTTACATGGCTGTATTCTAACTTAAAAGTGAATTTGCACAGGATAAAAACAAGTAATTTTGAGAGTAGATAAATCAGTTGTGCCTGTACACAGACCAATAATATCTTTTGCAAGATATACTGGTATCTCTGTGCAGCACATATCAGCCAATAAAAAATCATAGCACAGAAAAGGGAAATGTGTTTGAGGTAAATTAGTGTGTCTCTCCATATCTTAATCACAATTCTTTAAGAATGACATTTGAAGGAATAAATAACACATTGTCACCATTCTTTTCAAATGTTAATGTGGGTATCAGCCTCAAAGATTTTGTATTTCCAGGTGTCTATATTCTTTTAATATTATCCACCACTCATTTGTGTCTCCCCCTATAGTTGAACAAGATGTAGACAAAGGACACAGTGAGGATGTCATCTAGGGACAAATACTGCACATGCTCCATTAACTGAATTTTCAAGCAAGTGGGACACTGGTAGGACACACCTTCATTTGACAGTTTGTAAGTCAATGTACAATGAAAACTCATGAAATCTCAGTCACTATGTTAAGACAAGTGGAGCTATGTGTGTCAACTGATAACTTCATGGGTTCCTGAACTCTCGTGTGTAGGTGCTGATGTCACTGTGAGCTTTTACATGATGTGAGCTTTAGGTTGAATTAGCTCTTGATACAGAAAGATGGATTCTCAGAAAAACATCTCTAAATGCTGGAATGGGCTGTTTCTTTATACTGTAAATGAAGTACACCTTTAGTTTAGTGTTGCCTGAAAAAATTGAACATTGTCATTGAGCCACAGCCACCATTACAGAGTCAACATGCCTTTTATCAGCTGCCTCAGATTAACACTTACCTCACGTTTGAGTTATGAATTGAAATCCCTCGAGATAGCCGTGTCAGACCGCTGAAAACTCGTCCTGCTGTTGTAGACATCTCGGACAACTGGTCATCTTACTACACACAATTGTCAGGTCAACGAAACTAAAGGTTTTCTTACCAAACGCGCTTTGGGTAGGTCATGTAACACGACGTTGTGCAACCTTGAATTCCTTCCGGTGCAGCGTTTGAACGCTGGCTTGTCAGTTCCACTAAACTATAGATGGAAACCTGAAATCATTTTTTTATTTTTACGTTTGTCAAATATTATTATTATTATTTATACTATTATTATTATAATATGAAGAAGAAAAGTCTTTTTTCGAAAAAAACACGTCTTTTGACAAAACAATCTTAATGCTAAGTGGAGAACTTTCATCACATCACACAATATTCACAAGCAGAAGGTGTTTGTCATGGAATTTTCCCATGGTTGTCATGGAAATTTACCATAGGTTGAGATTGGTTTTGTCAACCTGCTTATTTCAGTAGATAATGTAGGTACGTAGATGATGCCCAGGCTACGTTACAGGTTACGTGATCAGCGAATGCCTTTGAATCGCTCACATCCTTCGACCAATCACAAAACAAAGAGAGATATCTGTCCAATCACATTTCACCTGGGCAACATCACTTCCTGGTTGAGTTCCCATGCTTGTTCTGTGCTTATCTAGTTGCTGCACGTTTCTTTCGGAGTTCAAGTAAGTTTTCATATAATCTATTTTATGAAAGAACAATGTGATGAAAGTAATGTTTGATTCAAGACGGATGTTTATGGTTTGCAAGTGAAATCGATCATATTCCTTTTTTAAATTCTTGTTCATGGCGGCTGATCGTCAGTAGTAGCTGGATAAGTGAAACCAATTTAAATACTTATATACAGTTGTACTGGAGGTCAATATGTTCGTCTGTTTCTCAGGGTTAGTGTAATAAAATGTTTATCACAGCAAATTAAGTATGCATAAGCACTTATCCCTCTCTGTCTCTAAGGTTTATTTACTTTCCATTTATAACTTCATACAGCATGACTGTTTAGCTGTTTAATAACATGCACTTGTGTTTTTCTTTGTAGCAGTACAGAATCTCATGGCCAAAAATAAATCTTTGAAATCAGGATCAAGTCTTCCTAAGAGGAAAAAGTTGGGTTCAAATACTAGTGAGGTTCATCCAGAAGAAATGATGGATGCTGAAGTAAAAAAGAAAAGGAAAAAGATGGCGGTAGAGGTGAGTAGCACAGTGTCTTGTGCCTGTTTTAGATTACACAACCTGAAATCACTCACAAAATACTAAATCTGTTTATTTCACCCAGGATGCTCCAGTACAGATTCCTCAAGACACAATCACAGCAGATGATAAAAAACAGAAAAAGGACAAGAAACACAAAAAGAAACAAGTGACAGAGCCAACTAAGGTAAGAACATTAACTGCTGAAAATCTTGCCTTTAAATGATTTCATTATTTCATTTTGATAGTTTCTGTGAGTAGTCAGTTGAACTGTGATTGCTGATTTACAATGCAATACAATTTTGTATTATCTGAAGGTCTCAAGGAACTGAAAAACAGTTTAGAGCAGGGAAAGTTGTTCAGTGCATAGAGTTTTTTTTTGCATATTGAATTAAATGACAAAAAATGTTCTGATGTTAGATTCTAGATGGCATCAGAAATCTGAATTGTCATTTGACAAGACACCTTAAAAAAACAACTGATCCAAAATTTGCAATACATGGTGTATGTGAAGCTTAATTAACTGATTCAGCACAGGTTTCCACAACAGTTGGAATTCCTTATTTTTACATTAACCATGAATAACTGTCTTTAAACTCAAAACACAGGTTTGTGATGTGTTAATCTGCGCGACCTACCAAATGCAGCAGGTTTTCATTTGCAGAGACTATAACAGTGTGTGAGTGGATGTTACAACTTAAATGTGTGGCATGGCATGGTCTATTGCATGCTGCATGGCCGCATGTGTTTGCAGCTGGTAGATAGATGGATTTTCCTGAGGCTGACCTGTGAAGCTTGGCCCATCTGCTCCTCGCCTGGAGAAAAAGCTTCATTTTATCCTGGAAGGTCTTCCCAAGGAAGCTGTAGATGAGTGGATTCAGGCAGCTGTTAGAGAAGGCTGCCAGCCTGACAGTGTGACCTGTCAGGGGATAGTCCTGCCACAGTGTGCCACCGTCTGTGTCACCTCTCAGGAGGTGAACACTTACAAACACATTCTCTGGGAGCCAGCAGAGGAAGAAGACTAGGACAGCTGCTGAGATCATTCGCAGGGCTTTCTGCCTGTGAGGCCTCCGCTGTGGGCTGTCTTGTTCCCTCTGGCTGTGCTGGAGCACCTGTGCTATTCTCCAGTAGCACAGGCCCAGGATGCAGAAAGGCAGCAAAAAACCCAGCATCACCTCCAGCCACTGAATCTGGGTCACGTTGGCGAAGCAGAAAGTGAGTTCTCCAGCGTGCTGAGCTTGAGCTATAGCAAAAGGCAGCAGAGTGAGCAAGGAAGAGGACACCCAGATGAGGCAGCAGCTGAGGCGCGCACACACCATGCTGCGATACATGATGCCAGTCAGTGCAACGAACCGATCGAAGCTCATCCATGTTAAGAAGAAGACACTGCTGTACATGTTGACCTGCTGGAACAGGTTCATGAAGGTGCAGAGTCCAGCCTTGTCATAGTAGCCCTGCTTCAGGCTGAACACCTCGATCAGAGAGTCAGCCACAAGGATGAGGTCGGCCACAGCCAGGTTCACAAAGTAGAGGTCTGAGGCTGCCATGGGGCCCCTGTGGTCCAGGTTGACTACTAAGATAAGGATATTCCCGATTAAGCCAACAGGGAAGAGCAATATGATGTAGAGGCTGGAGAGGATGAGGCTGATAAGGTAACGCTGATGATTCTCCGTCTGCAGAAAATCTGAGACGACTGCCTGTGTGCCATTTAGGTATACAGTGAAGTTGTAGTCAGTGATGACTCTGTAGCCCATGTACATTGTCATGTCCCTATTAGACGTTTGTGTTGAGCTGTTGTTAGTAGTTTCTAACCATTAACTTTTCATAGTTCTTAGTTTTCCGAGGGTTTTTAGCCCCTGTGGAGTCCACGGTGCCATCTGTTTCTTCTTTCTGATCTTCTTGGATGTATAGTGGAGTTGATGCCCAGGATTTGGTCTAGACAGAGAGGAGAAGAGCAGTCATTCAACAGCTTGTTTCCAGTGTCTCAATTTTTAGATTTAATGTTGAAGAATTGACTTTCAATGGGCAGAAATTCTGTGCAGAGCACCAATAAATAACAATACATTTAACAACACTGGATATACATCACTGGGTGATCATTTTGGAAGTAATGTTAGGATCCTCTTGTGTCAAGACGGCTGATTATAACCACTCTAACAAAGTGTCATATGCTGTAGCATGACATTCAGACATAGTCAGATACAAACCTGTAAAGCTTATTATTGTAAAGCTTTTCATTGTCTGTTAGCTGTTTATGCTGGTGTGCTGCAGTTTTGAAAATGATTTCAAAATGTTGTAAAGTGAAGACATCCATTTTGAGCTGTGTAGCATTGTTTTTAGGATTATTTTAATTCATTATGAGGATATAAAATTGTAATACTGGTATGCCATGGTCATCTACAGGTTTAAAGTGCTGACCTTAAACTGCAGCGTACCCGATTTTTTATTTCTGTCTCTTGTTTCCTGACATCTCTTTAGTGTTTACAATCTAATACAGGGCTAAACATGCAAGAACTGCTTGAAATTGTAATAGCTGTTTCACTACATTTGCCTTAAAATAATGTTGGTCAAATCTATGCTACACGTGACAGAAACGATGCTTTTAATTTAAAAGCTATAAGACACTATGAGTCAGTTAGATTTGGCATAAACTCATTTGTGATGCACACTTTGGACATTAATATAAAAAAGCTTAAACTCACCTATGTTTCCTTGCACGGCACGCAGTCTCACTGTCCTTCGGTGGTGACCATGAAAGCTGATGTCAAAGTAAATCCAGAGCAGTGTTGTGGTGCCACCCACCACTTACAGCAAGAAGCACAAACACACAATACAGACACACACGCGCACACAAGCCGTATCTTGTTAGTCCAACATGAAAAGAATGTTTTTCATAACAGCTTCACTTTAGTTCTTTAACAAAACTTTAAATAGACATGTTCAGCATCCCCTATGTGTTCTTATATGGATGTATTTTATTGCATAAATAATTGGGTCATCTAACTTGGTCAACACTCACCATGAAGTGTGAACGCGACTGTGATCGTATAATGTTAAAATATATAAATATGGGCGTCGGGACTTTTAGCAAAGAGGGACTAATGACATATTTACACAAAACAAGATGAAGGGCAGGGAGGAATAGTTTTACATCATCAGCTCTTGCCTCTGGCTCCTTAAAACGCAAAAAGACAGTTTTTGTAGCTGACAGGCACCTGTTTGAGACTAGATCATTTCCCATATCAATGTTGTGAGGCATTGCATTTTGCATTTAAGGATTTTCTGATTTTCTTATAAGGAGTAATATATATTAGAAGTATTCCTACTGTGATCTTACTCAGTGTGAATTAGGTCTGACATTTCACATGACGTCAACTTATGCAACCTCACTCATGTATAAATTTTCCTACTGGTCCCTGGTTTTGTGCCACTCTTTGCTGGCACTGATGCAACATATGATCCATGCAGGTCAGTTATTCCCAGAACTGGTGCCCATCAGTTCCTTGAAAAGAGCTGGAAAGTTCATAGAGTACGGCTTGTCTGTTTTGTTTGCTCTTAAACAGATTTTTTTTGTTAATTACATGAAGAGTATTGACACCCCTGGCCAAAACTCAGCATCTGACTTTCATTTTCCAAGACTGCGTGTTTCCTATGTGGTATTCTGGGAATTGCAGAGGTTTTCCCATTTTGACTAAATGGGCTTTTGTGCACATCATGTTGATGCAAATGGAGTCTGTTTTTTAAGAAGAAGTTAATTGTTGTTGTTGTGGTCAATTGTCTTATTCATAGTTTTTGATTCATAACGACTATGTAAACATTGTTATTATGGCAATAGTAAGAACTGTGCAAATATGGTGTGCAATTCTGAGGATGTTTAGCAAAACATTTATTTTTTGTAAAATACAAATGTACAAAACAAGAAAATGAAAATTGAAAAATAGCTTTACAAACTTTCAGCCACTGAAGACACTTAAAATGAGAATGCATGTACATAAAAACATTTACATAGTCAATTAAGAGAAAAACATGCATGCTAAAGCTTAGATTAAGAAAATGTCTAATACATCAGATCTCAGAAGTCTTCGATGTGATGCATCAGTAGAGTTCCGTCCTCAAACTGGAGACTTTTTGTCCTCTATGACTCTATGTCCTGCAGGGTGTCTGTGATCTCGATGTGTGGAGCAATGATGTTTCTGTTGGGCTGCGTGTGCCCTGGGCTTCGACAGCAGTCCCTCAGCTGCCTCAACACTCCGTGGAGACTTTCTCGACACGGCCTGTGCATGAGCAGCACCAGCAGCAGGCTGGCACTGCTCCCAGAGAACAGTACAAACTCCGCCACGCTCAGAAACGCTTGCTCATGATTGCTCAGCCCCACCTCCCTCTGTATTTGTGCTCCTCTCACCAGCGCCACACTGTAGAACAGCAGGCACACAAACATGACTACGGTGACTGTCAGGAACATGGGACCCTCCTCAGAGCCGGAGAGGAAACGTCCTTTGGATTTCCACTGCCGGACACAGCCACCAATCAGAAGAACTAATTGGAGGATGTAGGGAATCATAAAAGCCAGGCATAGCTTAGCCACTGCATACGAAACACCAGCTTTGGCTGGATCCATGTAACAGTTGCACGTTTCCTGCAGACCCTCCCTGGGTCCACGAATCCCAGCCAGCAGCAGAGCGATCAGGACAGAAGTCACGCTTACCAGACCTGCACAGACCCCAGGCTTCCTCAGCAGGGCGTGGGATGGTGGATCAAGGGTTAGCACATAAGCCATGAGCACTAATACCAACAGGCCGCACAGAGAAGCTGTATTAATGAAGAAGGAGAGAACAGCACAGCCCAGAGCCGTGGTCTTCAGGTAGTCAGGTCTATAGGCCACAGCATGGAGAGAGAGGAGCAGGAGCAGCAGCTGGAAGCCACAAAAAACCCAGAGCAGACCATCGAGCCAAGCCAGCCGTTTGTGGGCTCTGTAGGTCTGGATGAAGCTGTAGAGCAGGAAGCAGCCGGCCACGAAGCCCAGACCTGCAAAGAAACTGTAGACATAGTTCGCTCTGGAGGTTATGTCGCTGGCTGCAATTTCGTCTAACACAGAGGAGATGGTGGTGGAGGTAGTGGAGGTGTCCGTGTTGGTGAAGCTGATGTCTGTGATTGTAGAACTGTTGGAAAATGGAGGTGAGGTGCTCCTCACAGTGATGAACAAGTCCACACTTTGATTAGACTGGAAAAAGAAAAGAGAAAACACCCACTGATGAAATCTTGTCCTTTTCAGCATCACTGTCCTCTTTAATCACTTTTTTTAGTCACATTAATTCGATAGTCGCAGTGAGAGACAGACAGGAAAGCCAGGGAGGAAGGGGGGGGTGATATGCAGCAAAGGGCTGTGGGTCGGATTTGAACCTGGGCCGCTGCGGTAAGAACTAAGCCTTCGTGGTACACGCTCTACTAGGTGAGCCACCAGGGTGCCCATTATCAGCTGTTTTTAATGCAGTTTCAACAGTGTTTACTATTATTCAGTCTATGATTCATTTTCCACAGGAACATACTCTTTCATCATATGGTACATTTCCTTCCTAAATTACTTCAAGCTTGAATTAAAAATTTAACCTTTTAACTAAATTTAACTAAATCATAGATCTCTAAATATATACATATATATGGTGCTAACTAAAAGTAATAGCAGCTTAGTTTGTCTTTTTAAATATTTTGCACAGCTGCATGTTCCCGTTGGCCAGTCTTTGTCTGTTCGTCTTTGAGGAACTGCTCAGTAAAACACACATGTTTCCACTTACCATTTCGCTGTCGTCACCCACTCTCGTCTCCTGTTTTGTATCCACCAGCCAGACGCTGTGTATCGACTCAAAGCTCTGAAAATGATGCTTGCTGCATGGACGCGAACGCTCACAGTGAAGGGCTGTTATATTTCTGTGGGCAATACCCCACCAGCATACTTTTAGAGTGACTTCGTGCACATGTGATCAAAATCTTTTCCTCCCCTCCCTCTTTTTTTTTTTTTTTTTCATCACTGTGCTGACTGAGTCCGTTAAATCAGAGGGCATACTGTGTCCCTTGTTTAACTTCCCCTGAGAGTTAAATGCAGCCGTTTCTGGTTCCAGGAAGAAAATAGCATTAATAATAGCTTTAATTTGGCTCTTTATTTCTCTTTGGAGTAAGTTTTAAAAAGTCCTTTGCCAAGCATCAGTTATTCTGCAGACACACGGGGAGGTAGATACTCTGTTTCATCCTGTTACAAAAAGAAAATATTACATTTAGTTTTTCTCGTCTAGTTTCCCAGCAAAGAGTTTCTCTTTCATGAAACAGAAATGCAGTGTTGGTTTCATTTCAGAATTAAGTCACCCAACACCTGTTTGTTTACATGACTCCTCTCTATAATTTGGCAAGAAACTAACTAAACAGGTGGTTATTTTTAAACGGTGCAAGCATGTGCTGTGGACGAGGGTGTGGGCTTCGGATGCAGCACTGAGGGGATGTTGCAAACCACAGATAACCTCACAGTATAAATGTGTCTGATGCTGACCTCATGTGGAATTGGGGAAACGTCCCTCTGAGCTGCAGCACAACAGGAAGTGATCAAAACCCAAAAAGTGCATTCATCTTTCACTTGTCTTTACACCGCAGCACAACAAAATGTCACATTTATTTTAAACTCAGTAGAAATACAACTGGCAGGAAATGGCTGTTAATATACACAAAAAGTCAAATGATGTTGTTTTGAGTTTTCTTATCATTCAGCCATGGTGTGTTATTTATGGATGATTGTTAATGGTTTAACATAAACACAGACCGTAATTAAGGTCTGAAAAGGAAGGTCTGTTAATGTAGATAACTCCCAGGATCCTTTGTTTTGCCTTGGTGTGACAGATTTCAGATCCACCCAGTCGCCCTGAGGGGACACATGAGCCGGAGGGAGAGGAGGACTTGAGTCCTGAAGAGAGGCGGGTCCTGGAGAGGAAGATGAAGAAAATCCTGAAAAAGGAAGAGAAGAAGAGGCTGAAGGCGGAAGGAGAGACCTTACCGAAAACAGAAGCATCTGGACCCACCGCACCTCAGCAAGCCTTAGATTACCTCACCTGGTAAGAGTCGCTGATTTGGGTCCAGGACAGGTCAGTCAGCATGGTGGCCTCCTGCTGGTCATGTTGACACTTCTTACATAAGAAACCATAGGTCCAACCTCATATTTGTATAATTTGTAAGGAGTAGATGCCTGAAGAACACTGCACACATGCTGTATTTACTTGTCACGATATGCATCCAGATTTGATTTCTTTTTCTAACCTGCTTCTTGGAAGTTGCACAACTTCATGGAAGTGCAGTCCTAATTACTATACCAATACTTATTTTGCCCCACCCTTTGTTATGTATATGGGAGGACATTATAAAGCAAAAATCAACACCTCGATAATTCCTCAGCAGAAGTTGGACATTATAAGATTCAGAAATGTTGTCCTTGTTGAAGGTGTATTTATATCCGAGGTGTATGTGTTAATGATATTGTTTTCCACCCCTACACATACAGCAATTGTTTTTTAGCTGTGGTTAACTGATCTAATACTGCTGTGATTTTGTGTTTGCAGCTGGGCTGAGAGGCGCACAGAGTGGAAGTTCCAGAAGACCAGGCAGACGTGGTTACTGCAGCACATGTTTGACTCTGAAAAGGTAAAATTAACCAACATGATCATTTCACGAAGGGGAGGGGGATTTTTTCTCAGATGAGGGTTTGGAGTAAATGAGGTGTTGACCTCAGTGTCTTACAGCTCGATTAGTTTGTTACACCCACTACACCCACTAATCTCCTTTCAGAACGTCTCGTAGCACGGTTTGAACACTATTTTTTTGTGTGTATTTTGAGAAATGCATAAAGTGAGGAATAAATACGAATAATTGTGGAATTAATTAAACAATTTCACAAAATTTGTGTCGTCTTTGCACCGACAATATTTTTGAACTGTCTTAAAATACATTGAAAGGAGTTGCTCAGTCATATGCTGCCTTTCAAAATGACTTCATCTTAGTATTATTATATATATATATTCATTTATATTAATATATTCATTTATTTGTGAAGAATGACTAATATGTAATTAAAAATACTTGTTCTCAGATTCCAGATGGGAAGTTCTCCATGCTGCTCGAGTATCTGGAGGGGCTTCGTGGAGGGGCGAGGGACACTACAGTGCAGAAGGCCTTAGCCCTGGTTGAAGAGTCAGGACAAGCACCAGAGGACGTGGCTGTCCAGCAGAGGGCGCACAGAGCCAGAGAAGTTATCCAGCTGCTTTCCTGACCTACCACTGCTACAGGAAGTTATCACATTCACCAGAAAAAGAGACTGAACTCTGTTGATCAGTGGACTGAATGATTGGCCTGACCTCAGGCTCAGACTAAAACTGTTGCTTTATACATCTTATTTTTGTAATGGACCTCTGGGGAAAGAACAAATTTTGGTTAAATCACAAGTATTGCTTTGTAAATCTGAAGTCCTTTTAAGTTCATTTTTAATAAGTTATACTTAGGATGTATTAGTACCCTGGGGTGCAGTAGTTGATTGTTTTCACCCCAGATGTTAAGAATTAAGATAATGTCCAGTTTCACCAGTATGGACAAATGAGAGATGTAACCCCCCCACCCCCCCACAGATAAAACAGAAAGCTGAGACCTCTGGAGTTACAAGTCTCAGGAATGTTTGTAGTCAAGACATGTTTGTTCTTGTTGAGACCCATAATCAGTGAAGTCCCTGATGAGCATAACTTTTCTTACCCACTCTAGGTATAATCACAATGAGCATGTTTTGTTTTGACAAATCCATTGTAACAAAAACCTTATCCAGACCAGTAGTTCATGTTCCACACGAGCATTTGGGTTTTTTTTACTTATCTTATTTTTGTTATAAATGTAAAACCTTTTTCTTAAATTAAATCTTATACATCAAGTATGTGCTGCGATTACAATCAAATTTTTCATAATATCCACATAACCAAGCTGTGATCATGTCCACTATTCACATCTCCTCTATTCCCATAACAGACACACAGTAGGTATATGAGCATCTGCCAGCTCTGGCTGCAGTATCACAGACAGTGAAGGCTTCCTGCACTTCAAAGACACGTGGTTTGACTCTTAATTCATGTTGCAAACTTGTTACAGGAAGGAAAGTCTCTATATGTAGAGAAAGGGTGATGACCTGAACTCGCTTCCTGAATTTATAAAAAATACTCCCCAATACAGTGCACTTGACATTTAAATACTTTTCTGTCACTGAATCATGCCACACATATAACACAATCTGGTAACTGTCACACATGTGAAAAATACCAGTTATTTGATAAAATGTTTTATGTCTAGTCCATTTTCTTGAAGTCCAGTACAATTTGCAGACACACCCATGTAGATGCTGTACTCACTGTGGATATTTTCTGATAGTGTCCTCTACCTGGCACAAAACACATCCTCACCTGTAACAGGACTCACTTTTCTCTTGTAAACAGTTTGTTAACCTGCTCTAGACTTTCCCCTGTCAAAACTTTAAATTTTTTCTTAAAACCATTTTTATTTTCTCAACATGTTGCATGCTTACAGAATTTGAAGCATGTTAATGAGATGATTGTTTCTGTTGAACACCCTGGAGAGAGCCAGCTGAGTGTCCTAACCTCTCATAAAAAAAAAAAAGAAAAAAGAAAAGACAAGTTTGTAATCCGCAAATAAGTTCAGTTTCTCTCAGTGTCACTTGTTCAGACGAACGTTTAGTGCTGACACCAGTGACAGGAATATTGTCTGATGATGAGTGTCTCTGTCGCTCACATTGACCAACAAAATCCAGCCGGGTGCTTTCAAACAGAGGCCGTGACTTCCAGGAGATATTCAGTGCAGATCAATAAGGCCGGTGTCTCCCCTTAGGTGTTGATCCTTTACTGTCACACTTACTGTACCTTTTGCTTTACCTGTAACATATATAGATAACAAGTGATATTACTCATAAGACTAACTACATACTGTGTAAAACTTCAGTGAGTGCTGAGTTGAGTTTACTTACTTGGCTTTGAGTCAAAAGGAATATTGTGTTGAGTGAGGATAGCGCGCAGTCTCTCAATCTCCTCTCTCTGTTTTTGGAAGTCCTGCACAAAAATTTATTGCGATGATATAAGCAACCTCTTGTCATATATTCTAAGCAGTGATGTAATAATATTATACTCCATTCTATAAGGTATTATTTGGGAAAGTATTTAAATCTCTGTATAAATGCATGTACCTCTGTACATTTCTGTAAAGAGCTGTGCATTTCTGAATTGGCTGCAACCTCTGGCAGCTTGACCTTCACTCTCTCGCTCTTCAGGAGACCAGCATCTTCAAAGATGTCCTTCAAAAGATTATTGTATCCCTGCAGCAAACACACACTTTGTGTTAGTGTACAGGACCATTAGATGAATGACTAAAACTGGAATTAAATGGGAACCAAGTACTTTAAAAAAGAAAGGGCTGACATTTCAGAAATTGAGCTTGTAAAAAAATGTACAACTTTCAATGTAAACAGAATAAGAAATACATGCCTCTGTTTCAATCAGTGGGTATTTGATAGTAGTATGCAGGTACATTTTTTTTATCTTGCAAATGTCAGCGACAAGGATCAAACCAGTCATGCTTTGCCATCTCTCAGCCAAACTTCTCCTTACCTGCTCAGTAATGAGACCTTCGTAGAGAGCCTGCTCAGCTTCATCCCATTCCTTTTGCAGTGTGTCAGTCAGGGTCGGGTACACTAAAAAAAAGAGCACAGGAATGATAAGAAATAACTATTACCACTGACGTACCCTGCTCATTTATTCTGTAATATGGTTCTTTTGTCTTACCTAATAGAGAATGGGGATGGCAAACAAGTGGGGTCTCAAAGGTTAGCGAGTACACACAAGTACTGGGCTCTGAGACTTGAGCAAGCTTGCTGCTTGCACTACAGACAAATATCACCTACAGAACCAGGACAAACAACAGTTACACAACAAATTTGCTAGTGTTCATATTTAATCATGACAATGACTTTGAGTTGATGTGTTGATTGGATTGTCTGATTGACTGATACGTCTCTGGGGTGTGTGTGTCAAATTAAATGTTTAGACTTGTAGTTGATATTATTGAATATTAACTAAGTTTGCTGTTTAGGGCTTCACTCATTATCTCCTGAAGTGTTACTTGATTGGTCTTGTACTTAGGAAAAAACAATGAAAGAAGAGACTCTGAAAGAAGCCACTGGGAGCTCCTAAATTCTCTTAAATGACTACTAGAATATGTTTACATTTTTAAACCACACTACCTTTGTTTCTCTATTTCTGGTTGCACAAGTATCCCCGTCTCTCATCCACATTCCTGTGAACGTATTGTTTGCTATTTCCCACTCCTGCCAGATCCTGTGAGGAACACACAACACCCCAAACCCAATACTTACTGCCAAATATCATTCACACATTATTGTTTGCACTAAATGTAACTGTAAGTGAAGGTAAGGCAACAGCATCTTACCCCAGTATCCCACTGTAGGCATTCCACCTGAATGACTGCTCATGTTGTGTGATGTTGTGAAATGGACAGAATTCATATTTATACCTGCAAAGTGATCCAATTACATATGCTTGTTTTAGCAGACAGTCCAGTTTGATGTAAGTAGAGGGCCAGTGGAAACTTATCGGGGTATTAAAAACACAAATGTATAAATGTAGGGCTCACATGATATTTAAAATACTCACGTTGACTCTGTGTGACTGAAGCACTTTCCAGCAAGCCGATGAAGATGCACCGGGCCTTGAGGAGAACATTAATATTGCTATGATAAGTGAAGCCAGTGATTCAATGAAATGTAGTATTTAAATTAGGCCAAGCTATTTTACCAGATACTGGAGATGGGGTCACTTTGGGCTGTAGCCTGCTTCCCTGAGCAAGAAAAGGGTTGTTCAACCTGCACACAGAATCTCACGTCAGGTAGGAGCTGATGTCAATAAGGCACACACATGACAGACATTTTTTTTTCTTAACGTACCCAAATGTGTTTGGCTCCTCGACTATCTTCATTTTACCGGCGAATCCATGGTTTACTGTGTAGAAAAAGCTCGATATCAGACTCAATGAACCAGAGCAGCACAGCGCCGTGTGACACATCTGTTTCAGTAATGCTGTAATAAAACAAAATACGCTCAGCGGAGTATAGAAGTACTTACTGAAAAGAGACACGCAGACCACCCACAGCTTTATTAAACTGGATATTCCGTTACATAAACAGTACATGGCTTATTTCTGAGTGACTAAAATGTGATATCGGGTACTCTCTCGACTACACTTCCTACCCTGTTGGTCATTCGTCAGGTGACAAGTCACGTGATCAAAATAAGATGTGAACATGCGCAGTTTGCTTCTTGGACTTCGACGTGCTTTCCACGATACGAAGTAGCGAAATCAACTTAACTGTATTTCAAAAGTTATTAAAAGCAAAGAAGGATAAAGAGGGCAAGGACTAGTTGTTTGGTGATAGTGTCTATGAACTTGTAAAGGGTGTACGCAAGGATAAAATACAAAACGTTCACTTGCGAATTCGTTTTTCAGATGTGCTGGTGGTGTAGCTAGCTAGCTAATGTCAAAGCATGTAAACAGCTACTGGTTGGTTTTAACGCATGCTGTAATCTGACAAAAACTAAGTAGTTGCTCAACTGGTGCAACATGGGACGTAAGAAACAGGGCAAGTTTGTACGCCCTGACAAAGGCAAAGACAAACGGCACAAAATGAAAGGGAAGTCCTTAGAGGCCTTTACAGAAGAAATGCACACTGCTTTTGAAGGTAATGATTGCATTTTTCTAATCCAAAAAATATGTTACAACAGTTTTGTGCTTGTCTCTTATATGTTGGCTACAAGACCTAGATTTTACAAAGCACAATCGTTCCCCCGTTTAAAATGCTGACTGAAATATTATAGGAAAGGCACATTATAGTGATTGTACCCAAGTATCTAAAGTAGAAGTACAGTATTTACATGACATTACTGTCTTTTAGTCTGGGGACACAGGGCCTTGTTCAGCTTCCAATGTAATGATTTAATGTTTATTTTGATATTGGCTGTTCATGGCCTTTTCAAATGTGCTGATGTGAAATGTGATAGGTTCTTCTTCTGTCAACTTCTGTTATCTTTATATACAATAACTTAATGGCAATTAATTGGTAGAAGATCAGTGCAGTTAAGGGAAAGCTCAGAGAAATGAAAAACCTGATGATATAAACACCTTGTACTTGAGCGAGGTTCACATTATAATTTACCCTTTTGTTACTATCTTTTTTTCAGCAAGTCTTCATGTAGAGGAAGGAGCAGAAGCCCCTCAGGTGAAAATGCCTTGTCCACTTGCCATGTGGGAGTTGGGTCACTGTGATCCCAAACGTTGCACTGGCAGAAAGTTAGTACGCAAAGGGTTCGTACGCAACCTGCGCCTCAATCAGAGATTTAATGGACTCATACTGAGTCCAATGGGCACAAAGTATGTGACGCCAGCAGACAGGTGTGTTGAGTCTCCTACTGCATCTACTGAACTCGTTAAAATAACCTCTAGCCTATACAGAATCTGTACATATTATTATTATTATTATTATTATTATTATTATTATTATTATTATTATTACTATCATAACACATGAATGTGAATTATGAGATCTACAGCCAAGCTAGAATATAAGCACATGCATTTCATAATAAAATTGAGAAAACTGAGAAAACCATGTGTAGGCCAAGCCAATAAATAGTATTAGCAGCATAGTATTTTTTAGTAATTAATTTTATGGTTTGATAACTGACTATGGTTCATGATGATCAAAATGATTAATAACCTAATCAATGGAAAACTTCTTCAATGTGTCCACTTGTATGTGTATTTAAGTTGATTTTTTTCTTTATGATATCTGTATCTTTGATCAAATATTAATCACACAGTTTGTGATTATTAAAAAAATGTTTGCCTTTTATGCACAGAGCGATTGTGGCTCAAAATGGTTTAGCAGTGATTGATTGTTCCTGGGCCAAACTGGAGGAGACTCCCTTCAATAAGATGGTCGGAACTCATCCCAGGTTACTGCCCTACCTCGTAGCTGCAAACCCCGTCAACTATGGCAAGCCTTGCAAGTTATCTTGTGTTGAGGCTTTTGCTGCTACATTCTGTATTGTAGGTAAGGTTTTAGCTTTACTTATTCAGGAATTATGTACTGTATTCTCTTCATGACTGCTTTTTATATCCCATGATAAGTTGTGGCAGTGGAAGTCAAACACACTATCTGATTTTCCAGGTTTTGAAGAACTGGCAATGCTCTTATTGAAGAAATTCAAGTGGGGGACAGTGTTCCTGGAACTCAATAAGGTTCTGCTGGAACGCTATGCTGCATGCCAGTCAGAAGAAGAGCTGCTGTCTGTAGAAAAGGAGTTTCTCACGTCCAAACCAGAGGAGGAGGAATTTGGTAAAATGGGGGAGAAATGTATTGAGATCCCATCCATTGTTTTCCCTACATCTTTATGTAGCAGTGGTGGCTGGGTATCATTTTGGTTTTAGTCCTATATTTGTACTAGTGTTGTTTTGTCTTCATGTTGCCCTAAAATAGATCATTTTTATTTAACTTAATTATGGTGAATGCTTTCCTTCAGAAGAATTATGGTGGAATCGTGAGTAACTACATTTTAGGGAAACTGGACTAAAATGTAATAAGTTTATTCTATTTTGTAGTTGCTCCAACACTGGTTGTATTTTTTTTTCTATGGTGACTCCCCACTGCTAAATAATTATTGGGAAAACACTGGCGTCATTCCTTTTAGGGATGTGAAAATCATCAACATGTTGTAGTTCTTAAGGAACTGAATTACTTATGAGTAATATAATTAATCAAAAAATAAAGGTCACTGTGCGTTGTGACATCTGACCTATAATTCTGTAAACACTGATGTGAACGTTCCTTGTATTGTTTCCTAGACTGACCATCGTTACATAATAAGAGATAATTGCTATTTTGTTTCATTTGATTTAGATTCATTTGATTCTATTTGAATCACTGAACAAATCAGAAATGTGAGCAGTGATTCAGTAGTTTGGAACAAGGGTGATTGTTTCATGAATCTCTGGAAAATCCCCCCATATAGAGAGGGATGCATGCTGTTACGGAGTTATGACCTCTAATGTTGAAGCTATTTTTTTCTTAATGAAAGCTAATTACTGGTCTCATTCTCAGATCCTTTTGATGTTAATTCAGGAGTCGAATGTAGGAATCTCAACAGACATCATTGGTAAGCATTAAGTAATAAATTTATAACTTCTATCAAAGTGAGGTAATCCGACAGATGTACTGTTTTTTTGCACATCTTGTAGTGATACATGTGTTGATAAATTAATAATTAGTGCTGAACCTTTCATTTTACTGCTGACAGTTGTTTTTTTTCATAGTAGTATGTCACTTAATAAAGCTTTTAAATTTGCAACAGAAAGTGACCTGCTGTCAGCTAAAATAAAAAAAAACAAAAAACAATAACCTAATATTGCTGGGAAAGTACCAAATATTCTGAAAAACACATCTGAATGTCGATAGTTGTTTTTCCATGGGTGTGGTTACTAAGTTAATTAAACTGTCATTTCTGTATTAAGTGCACCTGAAGATGCTGATTCTGGTGAGGATTCGGACACCTCGGACGATAACGAAGATGAAGCAGAAGATGAGAAAACAGAAAGCAATGGCGAGTCAAGAACAGTCTCAGATCATGAAGAGGAAGAGACTGAATGAAAGTCATCACAATAAAGTGTATTTCAACTATGAATCCCTTTTATACAATAGCTGGCAAAACTTGTTTTAAGAAGTCATTACTTATAATGACTTTTTTGGGCTATTGAGTTTTGTATCAAAAATGAAAGCTTGATTGTGTGTTTTTAATGTAAATGCAGACAAAATAAATGAATATTTGGAACCTTCAGTAGATTTAAGTTGCATATTGGGATACGGGGTTTTCACAGATACCCACGGTTGGATGGATATAGAGATTATCGGTAAAACTAGGTTTGTGGGTTTTGTGAATTCGGGCTACCTCTACATAAACGTTGAGTTAAAATGGTATAAAAGACCTGTGGATAAATCTCTCTGCAGCGCATTTTTAAATCTGAAACAGACTGGCGCAAACACAGTTTTTAGGCCACGTCTACTGTGGTATTTGAATATCAACAACTGCTGCTGTTCGACTCCATCCCTATCAGTAGATGAAGTTCAGTCGGTTGTAAATGTGGCGAGGGGGGCGGACACAGCGGGACTCTCCTCTGCTGTCCTGCGCTAACATTGTTGTGGAACGACGTCACAGCTCGAAAATGAAGGCGCAGAGGCAGCCATTACTGGAGCTTCTCTAATTATTTTATTCCAAATAAATACTCGAGGAAAACTCCCATGGCAAGAGCTACAAGTCAGCTGGTAAGTGTTGCAACTTTAACATGAATAACAGCTCGAAGCCGGTGCTTAAAATGTACAGTGCGGCGGCTGTTTGACAACAAATAGTTAGGTCGGGCCTTCATCTGAAGAGCGGTGCTAGCCGCAAAACATCGTTTAACGTTACGACTCACTAGCTAGCAATGTTAGCTTGCTAATGTTGGCTAACACAACACCTAATGTTTGCTACGTTAATCGAGGTTGCCCAACACTTGTCTTGTTTCGTGATTAAAGCTCCTGGGAAATATTTGGTGCTGATTTAGCGTTAACACGCGCATGCTATTAGTTTTGTGGGTTGTAGAGCCGTTCCCGTGGTCAGTATATGTTGGCTAACGTTAGCTATACGGGTTCGCGCTTTCGAACGATGCTGCTACTTGCTAACCAGCTAACATTAGCTTTATTGCGTTCCACCTTTGGGTAGAAGATAGCATTTAAGGTTAACGTTATGTAGTTCGACTGTCAACCCATTAACTTTCAAATTTTGACATAAACGTCACCATACTAACTTTCATAATGACTAAATACCGTTACGTGAAAATAGCATTATGTTTTGAAGTTACTTATCTGTTACCTGGCTTGCTAACGTTAGCTAATTGCCTGACTGTTAGCGTTAAGTTTATAACTCGCTGTCAGCGATGGCCGGCATTATTTGACAAGGCAGCAGGAGCTAACGTTAGCCTGCTAGCTGACGTTAGTTAGCAAAGAAAGTTCGCACAGGCCTGTTGTTACCCGAGTACACAGGGTTAGGGTTAACGTTAGCTGCGGTTTTCTACCAACAATTATATGTTTGACTAATAGTAATGGATCAGTTGAATGTTATATGGCCAGTTGTCAACCATACAGTCAAGTCCGGATAAGGCAGCTAAATGGCCACACCTTGGTTTTGAATGAGAAGAAGCTAGGCCAACTGAAATAACTAACGTTAACTGAGGTGTAAGCTGAACAATATCACTACTGACTGCTATAGTAGTTCAGTAAGTCAAAAATAATAAACGTTGGTAGAAGCACCAAACTCTTTGTTGGAAAGCACAACCTGTCGCTGTAGGCTATGAGTCTTCAACAGTCATTTGGTGGATTTCTCGTCAGTGTTTGTTTGCGTTAGCTGCCTTGTCAACTTGATCGTTTAGATAGAAATTTGAGTTCCGTGCAGTCGTGGTAGTAAGTACACCTGTCACATGAAAGCAGTTACTTTGACATAGTTTTTACAACTTCAACACTGCAGGGTGGGACCACCAGGTTCCAAAGCGGCTTCTTCTAGTTGTTGTTAGTCCTTATCAAACAACTTCTAGACTTTGTTCCTCAAATGGTCTCACTTTAAATTATTTAAGTCACAATATCCTACCAAGAGTTTTAGCTACAGTAAATTTAAATTGTTGACCTTGGAGAGTGGGTCGACCCTATATGATCCAAATCCTCTAAATCTGATCTCTTCAAAAGTTATTTACACATTTTCTGGAATAGCTTGTTTTGTAGTACATTATAGTGTTTTCATTACAAAGTCTACTGCACCAGAAAATGCAACAAATTGGATATATTAATGTGGGCTATTTTAATTTATCAACTATTTAAATATGAATTGTGCTGCACTATAACCAACCAATTGCTAAATCTCACAGAATGAAGATCCCAATCCCAACTGAAATGACGGATCAAAATGCTAAACAGCAAACATGTCCTTTTCCATAAACACAATGTTTAAACAAACTGAAATTGGTAGCTGTCTTCACTGTTGTTGTTATTGTTATATTCTAATATTTACTCCTAGCATATGGTTGCTTGATAAACTTGCCAGCATATTCATTGCTGGTCACAGTGAATGGAAGAATCATATTTTCAGTCGTGGTATATTAGTGCATTAAAAGGTGTGTTTTGACAGTTTTAGAATAGAATGCAGAGTCACCTGTATTTCTCAAGTGAAGATACACTATTCAAATCACATATAGACAAGGTGTTGTGTGTGTTTGTTTTTTGACAGTAACTACAACCACATCACCCTGGTTGATATATCCTCAATGCTTCTTCTTTTGTTTCAGTATGATGTTGTGCCCATTCAGCCCAGTGTTGTCATCTGTTCCTGCTCGCATCCATCAATGGTAAGAAACCACCCTGACTCCTGCTCGCCACTTGCTATCCCAGGCGCAAGCAGTAGCCACTGTCCCAGCATGGAGGGCTCAGGCTCAGAGGCCCGTGCTGTAGGAGCGTCTGCCAGCAGCCAGGTCTCAGACCTCCGCACACAGCCGGCTGTCCAGACCCCTCAGCCCCGCAAGAAGAAGCCAGAGGACTTCAGATTTGGCAAGATCCTGGGAGAGGGCTCCTTCTCAACGGTATGTTACTTGCATTCCACTTAGTTCTGAATTATACTTGGGTAGATGTTGCTACATGCTAGCATTCTTTTGATTAATGTACTTGGATGAGTCATCCTCAGTTCACTTGAGGTGAAATGACAAAACAGGCCCTAAGAGTTACCAGATTTTCTCCTAAGTCTGACAAGATAGTAACATTCCATCTTATGTTTTTTCTGTTTTTTTATCCTAAGGTTGTTCTGGCAAGAGAGCAGGTAACAGGGAAAGAATATGCAAGTAAGTAATAACACAAAGACTTTTGGTGAATGCAGTGAATTACACTGTATTATCAAGAGAAAATTACTAGGTATATTTTTACTATTATTATATCCTGAAATTTTCTTTTCTCTCCTCCAGTTAAGATTTTAGAGAAACGCCATATTATGAAAGAGAACAAAGCGCAGTACGTCAAAAGAGAAAGGGATTTGATGTCAAATCTAGATCACCCATTCTTCGTCAAGCTCTACTTCACATTTCAAGATGATGAGAAGTTGTGTATCCTTCAACAAGTACAATTTGTCAAGACATCTTGTATATTAATTACTTACCAATTGTTTTAATTATTTTATTTTTTGAATTGTTGTATTTATTTTTTGTGATGAATAAAATCTTAGATGGTATGTTTTTACAATTGATTTCTGATAATCACAGTGATCCTTAACTAGCTGTTCCTAGATTTTGGTCTCAGCTACGCCAAGAATGGAGAGCTCCTGAAATACATTCGCAAAATTGGTTCATTTGATGAGACCTGTACTAGATTCTACTCAGCTGAAATAGTTTGTGCTCTAGAATACTTACACAATAAGGGGATAATACACAGGTAAGACTTTCTGGTTTCATCTGAAATGGTATTTCTGTATCTTTGTTGTTTACGTATAAAATTCTTCACACAACATTAAGTGTTTGTTTTACCCATCACTTATAACCTGTTCCTTTCAGAGATCTGAAACCAGAGAATATTCTTCTGAGTGAAGAGATGCACATCCAGATAACAGATTTTGGTACAGCAAAACAGTTATCATCAGACAGTAAACAAGGTATAACCACATTCCTGATTTTATTTGGGTCATGAATTTGGTTGTTTACTTTCTATGATCAATATCAACGTACTCATGTGTTTATTTAATTTTTTTTCTATATTTGGTAGCAAGAGCAAACTCCTTTGTTGGAACTGCACAGTATGTGTCTCCAGAGCTGCTAACAGAAAAATCAGCATGCAAGAGGTAACTTATACTTATATACTTGCGGATCACGGTTCTGTTTTTATGTTTGTCAGATAAGAATTTTAACACATCTGTAATGTTATGTCTTTTTTGTCTTATGTTTTTTTCAGCTCTGACCTTTGGGCTTTGGGATGTATTATCTATCAGCTGGTGGCTGGTTTACCACCGTTCAGAGCTGGGTAAGTACCAAAGGGATGTTGCTGTCACAGCTCAGTTGATTTTCATGAATCATTCTTCCTCATTTGTCAGTATTATTTAAAGTGCAACAAATGTTAGGTGTGAAAATAACCTTGCCCCAGTAATATTAATCTAGCAATATATTTATATAAATATTTCAATGGTGGCACACTTTCCAACTGTCTCCTTTTTATTTTCCTCTCGTGTTTCATATATTGTAGAAATGAGTACCTAATATTCCAGAAGATAATCAAGCTGGAGTATGAATTCCCAGAGAAATTCTTCCCCAAAGCCAAGGATCTTGTCAAACAGCTTTTGGTGAGTTATCAAATACCACAATCCATATATGTAAGATAGAACAAAGTGGTATTGATGTCTGCAGCAAAATTAAATGGGTATACTAGTTATTGGTGCTGGTATTGGTTATTTACAGAGCAATACTTTTCTACTGAATGAAAACACGTCGTATCCGTTTCTGTTTTCCCCTCAGTCACTGGACCCTTCCAAGAGGATTGGGTGTGAAGAGATAGGAGGGTACGACCCTTTGAAGCAGCACCCTTTCTTCGATACCATCTCCTGGAGTGACTTACACCTACAGACACCCCCCAAGCTCACCCCCTATCTGCCAGCCATGTCTGAGGATGATGAGGACTGCTATGGAAATGTAAAATATTTTATGACTCTGTAACAATCCAGACCTTTTGTTGTCCACTGTTTGCTTATTTGTGGGAAGATTTAGGTGTGATACCAGGTTGAAAGAATCCACCAAACCTTGAACAAATCACAAATCTTCAGTCATCCCTCACGGTACGTTTTTTCACGTGTGTCTTTCCAACCTCAGTACGATGATCTCCTGAGCCAGTTCAGCAACATGCAGGTGGCCCAGTCCAGCTCATCACACTCCCTGTCACCACATGAGTCCACACCCCCGCAGCGGTCCAGCAGCAACATTGAGCAGTACATCCACGACCTGGACAACAACTCCTTTGAGCTGGACCTGCAGTTCACTGAAGAGGAGAAGCAGCTATTGCTGGATAAACAGACCACTGGAAACCCCTGGTAAACCATTCTCTACATGTTTCACTCGTGTCAGCCTGTTGACATATCTGTATTAGAGTGCTCTTCATTCTTGATTCAAAGTCTAGCACGAGAAATGTGGAACAAAATTAATAAATATAATGTTCGTTTGTGGATAAGTGTTTGTTTAGCTATCACAACATACATTTGTTGAGGTGGAAAAATCTGCTGTTGCCTATTTACACAGGCACCAGTTTGTGGAGAATAACCTGATCCTGAAAATGGGCCCAGTGGATAAACGAAAGGTGAGTGAATTCAAGCCTTTATACCTGAAATTTTTATATTACTTTATTATATTGCCATATAGTTATTATATATTTAGAATTTCCAAGAAATGTAACTCTTTTTCAAGTACAATTTTTATTTTTATTTTTTTAGTAGCTATGTGTTTTCCAGAAATAGTTGGCCAGCATCAGTGAAGTCTGTTCCATGGCATTATTCTGCCTACTTGTGTATAGGAAATAAAGGGAATTCCCTGCTGTGGTGTGGAAAGTCTCTTAGGCCTAACAGCCCCCTCTGTTGGTCAAATAATGTCTTTAACTGTGTGGAATTCCATTGCAGGGTCTGTTTGCTCGACGGAGACAGCTGCTTCTCACTGAAGGACCACACCTGTACTACGTGGATCCTGTCAACAAGGTCCTGAAAGGGGAGATTCCTTGGTCCCTAGAGCTACGCCCTGAGGCGAAGAACTTCAAAACCTTCTTTGTTCACACGGTAAATAACAATTTCTGATGTCTGTCAAGCACATTTTCCTCCTGACATGTTGATACTTGTCTGCTGTTTAGAATCTCTTCTCACATGTAGTTCACCTTTTTTAAATATTTGTTTTCCTTTCCTGTGATTTTTGCAGCCTAACCGAACATACTATTTGATGGACCCCAGCGGAAATGCTGACAGATGGTGCAAGAAGATCCAGGAAGTGTGGAGAAAGATCTATCAAAGGCACCAAAACCCTGGCCTATAGGAGTACAGTTCCTCCTGTGGCCACTCCTCTTTAGCTCTGAGGCCAATCACTGAGCAGAGTAACACCCTCTTTAGTGCCCTTCATCACCGCAGTGTAAACAAACTCTTAGAGACGCTGGCATCTAGACCTTGTTTGTTTTCCTGAGTAGAACCATGGGAAAAATACAACTTTGGATTCAGGGTTGCTTTGCTTGTTCTTTGTGCTCTCTGTGAGGCTTCAATTGCATTTTTCCATGTATGGATGATAAGACTGCCACCATGCACATCTGCTTTTTGTACATTCTGCAGGGGGAATAAGAAGGGCAAGCTTGTCCTGTAGAGTGACACAAGCTTGGGTACCGCTAGGACTATCTCAAATGCAAGGACTGGTTTCCTGCTTCAATGATACCATAACACAAAATCTAGCTTTTGTGAACCAGAGCCTATCCTGATATCTTAATTAAACCATATCCTAATCCTACATCGTACGTGCAAGCTGTAGTCAGGCCCCACTTCTAGTGCATATACTCCATAGTTGTAACTGATACTGTAAGCTGATTCAGTCTCACACGTTTACCAAACTCAAATCCTATATATTTTTGTCAGAGCCCAAATGTCCCCACGGTATTTGAGTTGTTTTTTTAGTCTCTTGGTACTTGCTTATTGCAGTCCAGTTAAGGTCTCTATGTAACAAAGCAGAGTGCCGGTCTGCAGTGAGACATGGGTCTGAATCAGTCTCTGTATAAGTGTGAGCCTTCCATAGCCGTTACTGAGGATGTATTGCTAACAGGGGGTGGGTAAACATGCCACTAGCTTGTACTTCCTAATCATAACTTGCTTATCTTTCCTGCATGGCCAGTTTTGTAGCTCAGCCTTGTCCGCTTCCCTCTCCTAGGGCACTGGAGTTAAAGTTTATTCAAGTTTAAAGGTGGGTATTTTTGACTGCATTGGCAACCATAACGATTATTATTGGATGATTTGGCTGTTCTGTACCATTCACTGGCTATTTCTTTGTGGTGTGAATTCTTCAATTTCTTTTTCGGTGGGATAGTCGGTTCATCTTCTTCAGTATGTCCTATTGAAAACAAAATCTTATGTGCTGACCACCCCATGCTGACCAGAAAACTTACATCAACAGAGATACATACACATACTATCATTCTCGGAAGCAATCACAGTGAAGCTGTTGTCCCTGGACAAGATGGCAGAACTGCCTCATTGGGCTCATTAGCCCGTCATTTTTTTCATTTTTTTTTTCATTTTCATTCTGATGTTTGGCCCAATAGAAATTAAAGCGATTGATTTAACTTGTGCTCTTGTTTTAGCAATATGTATTATCATAATGCTTTTAATTTTTGACATATTACCTTAAGGTCCTTTCCAAAGGTCCTCTTCCTTCAGCTGAGTCTGTGTGTGCAGTGTGTGACTGGAGTATAGGTGAATAGGACCCTCTGGCCCTGGGGCCCGGGGCTCGATGTGGTTGGATGTCAGTTAAAGGATATCTATCTGATCCAAATAACCGATGAAATTGCTGTATCTGTCTATAAAGTTGAGAAAGCACTAGAGAAGTGTTTTCCTCTAGTAAGAAAAATTGTTTGAATCAAGTCGATGGCAGTCGGTTACATTGTGTATGGAATACTCTACCTGGCTTGTAACTGACTAGAACTGTGATGTACAGATGATGTATTATTAAAATCTGAAGCAAGTAATGCAATGATATTAGGATACAGTTTTTGTATTTTTATTCTTGTATAAGGTTATTTGATGGCTATTGTTTAGCCTCTAGTTCATTCTGTGTTATTTAAATTCTAATATATGAATCATATTTGGATTGAAGTCATGTTCAGGGGCCATGTTGTGTATGTATTGAGATGTAAAGCCTTTGAATGTGAATAATTATTGTAAACTATAATATTTTACAGCTTTTTTCTTACTATATCATACATTTTCTATTTGCTCAGTGATTTAATCATATTCTGATAATTTAATGAATCTGTTCATTCTCTCTCTGATTATTTGTGCGCTAGGTCAGTAGATGTTGAATGATGAATTTTCCACTTAATGCTTGGTAGTCCAGTAATTAAAGCATGTAGGGATTTAGGCATACAAATAAAGCCATGTGTCCTGTCTTCTGTTAACAACCACAGTCGTAACACAGTGAAAGCAGCAGCATTCAGTGGCAATGGCATCTCACATTTTTTCAGCATGTAAATAAAGTACCGGCCCATTATCAGTGTGTGTGTGTCGTGAAAATTACTTTAATTCACAATATATGCATACACCACAGGCGAAAGAAAATGCCCTGATTCGTCTTGCACACTGCAAAAGATCGTTTACGCGAAACACGTGAACAGGGTGTTTTTCACCCTCGCTCTTAAGATGTTTTTCATCTCCAGTATCTCAGCAGCGAGAGATCATTGCTCCACATTGAAGCACCAGTAGATCAATCTAGGGAGGACCTCTTTCCTCGGATAATTTATGCAAGTGTCTGTCTGTGCTGGTGGAGTGGGTTAGTAGGAGTGGCCGAGGAGCTGGCAGCCTGCTTTGCATGAATCGTGGACTCCAAGTTAGTGGCTGCAGCTTAGATATTTCCTGTCAGCCGCACAGACAGATCCGAAGCAAGGGCGGAGGAGACGAGGAGAGGGATGGCAGAGAACAGCTCCGAGACGAGCGGCTCCGTTCACCGGAGATGTTTGGCCCATTCTCCGGCAGAGAGAAACATTTCATCCGGTGTCGGGGCATCGAAGTGGATTCGACTAAACGTCGGGGGCACATACTTTTTAACAACGAGACAGACGCTGTGTCGAGATCCAAAATCATTTCTGTACAGACTGAGCCAAGCTGACCCCGAGCTCGACTCCGACAAGGTAAATGCTAAGCTAGTCCAGCTAGTTAGCACTATAGTTAGGAGCGTACTTAGTTAACTACATTTTATTTTCCACGAAAATAGCTTTTAATTGCTCACTGCATTGTTTAGCATGTAGTTTGAAGGTAGCTGCGCTTACCATCTTGCTTAATAAGATTACTAGCTTTGTGAAAATTGGTGTTTATTCAAAAACTCAGAGCTAACTCATTTTTGTTGCTAGCTAGCATTAGCTCGCTAAGCTAGCTAGATTCCGACAGTCACCACATGACATACGATCTTGCTGCTAGCCTGTGTGTAGCTCGCTCATTAGTGTCTTAATAATATAAGATGACAGATCTTGCGGTTTCCTTCGTGTTTCGTTTAAAGTGTCGACTTTTAGAAAAGTAAGTGTAGTGGATTTTTTTAAACATCTTTTTTTGTGAAAATAGTTAGTCCCCACAGTAGTTGCAAACTTTCCTCATCTAAAGCCGATGCATTGCATTGCACTCGTTGAGGTGTCATATAGCGAGCAAACCTATTTTTCTCATAACGTGGATAATGTTGACAAAAAAAACTAATTACAGCTACAGTTTCGACTTTGACCGGCGATGTAGACAATATAATCCAGGTTTGAATATGATGATAGTGGACTGAAATATTTAATCTAAACATTGGGTGGGTTATTTCACTCGGTGTTAACAGCCACGGGAATTGTATGGGTTAGCTTTAACTTTAATTTGAATAATATTCCAGTTACCAAATCTTTAACAACAAATTTCAATTTTTAATTATATCATGTTCAATTTGATACACTGTCCACCTATAGCTATTTCCCGGCGTTTTCACTGATGGCGGCGTCTCCAAGCGTTAGTCCTACAATTAACCAACCAAATCACCTACACATATAAGACTTTATTGCTCGATCAGTTTGTGTTTTTCCCTTCCTTTTTTGAGGTTAGTCTGTGTCTTGGCTCTGTCTGCCCTGCAGTAAGCCTATGTTCTGGTGGTGAGGCTCCCCTAATGAGTACATAAGTCATTGCCAAGTGGGGTGAGGTGCTGCTGTCAACTGAGCTGCGGGATGAAGTCATTCGTCTCCCGGAATGGCCTCAATGCTCCAGAAGCAGGCTTCTCTCTGTTTGTCCATCTGCCACTTTTAACAGCAGTGTGCGTGCTTTAAGGCCCAAGGCACGGTCAAAAACAATTTATTAGTGTCTGTGTACATAATGTAATGTGCTCTGTTTTCAACTGTTCATTTTACTGCCCTATTATTCATTGTTTTCATCTACTTGCACATTTTAATCTTCACCCCTGGCCCCCTTTATGCTAAGCTGAAACCAAGGCTCATCTCGTATTTTCATGCAAATATCTTAATCTCTGAATAATCAGCTTGCTTTTTTGTCAGTTTATCCTCCCATGAGCAACGGATCAGTCCATCTCAATCCCTTGTCTTAAGTATGTATCAGACTCTCAAGCCATTACTGTACCTTTCTCCTGCAGATTGTCTGGGTTAAGATAGCTACCAGTAAACGGCAGGTTCATTTTAGATATTACATTAATGGCCACCGTATCTTCCACTACATATGTTATGATTTTTTTTTTTTTATTGCAATGGAGCAAAGAAGGCTGTTTTTTTTTTTTTTGTTTTTTTTTTTGCATCACATCACACACAAGTGAATAGCAAGCCCAGCAGAGTGGCAGATAGGGGTAGAGCTCTGTTTTTGGGCGAATACAGTATTGTGTTTCCCAGCCAAGGAAATGAGTGGTTCAGCTCTCAGTCACGCAGGCTGACGTGCTTCAGCAGGACTCTTGAGGAGAACTGCATTATTCATGTTGTTGACTGAAGCCTGTTTTGCACATTGGGGTAGACCAGGGAGAAAGTGGAGGAAGTGCTGTCACATGCACAACCGTAACAACTTACTAGTTTTCTTTTTGAATTGGTTATCTTAGAATTAACAAATGCCACTCGTGCTGTCATGTTAGTGATATTGTATTGTTGTTAACAGGTTTTTAAGGTGCAAGTGACTTAATTCATGGTGAAAGATCATAAGATGGCACATCTGTCTAAAAATTGTCAATTGTCGAGTCCACGAGCTGAGAGATGCACATCAATCGGCATCTATCCCTTTGGCAGATGCCTCCTCCAACTACTCAGCTCAGGGCCACTCAAGTAGAGACCAAGCTTTCTAGCTTTGAGAGCTGCATCAATTTTTCAAACACCCCATCACAAAGGATTCTTGTTCCTTCAACATCTTATTCTTTTCATATTCATATCCATTTGCTGCCTGAACAACTTCTCTCCACAGCATGTGTGAGAGAAAATATGGCCACGTTTAATGCCAGATTCAGGTTGTATGTCATGCCTGAGCACACTGTGGGAGGCAACGTAAATATTTAACGGTGATATCGTCTCCTACTGCTCTATCTTCTTGCAGTAAGTGCTCAACATAGCACTGCAGAGTGCTATTGGCAATTGGGTGCGATTCAAGCCTTTATCATTCTAAAGCAACTTTATTCACAAAAGCCAGGCACCTACAATTGATCATTGTCTTGTGTTGCAATAAATTAAAATGCTGCCAGGTTGAATTTTATTTTGCATTAATCTCAGTCATCAGTGAGACCAATCTTTCACTTTTAGCATCTTTTTCTATTGCAGTTCATATTCCTTCTGCCTAGAGAAAGCTCCAGGTTGCAGTGATTTCCTGGCTTGCCAGCTTAGCCGTGGAGCTACTTAACTGCTTCTCATCATGACAGCAAAGCTTTTACGGGACTTTTACAAGGAGCTGTTCATTTAGTGCCTGAAACACTTTGCTGTCATAAATTGTTCTGCAAAACGCACTGATGGTGTTACCTTGCAGAGCTGAAAATGGTAGAATGGCGAGAAGTTCCTCCCAGCCTTGGTGAAAGGTCAAACATGCATTCAAATGACAGTGTTAAATATTTTGAAATATGAGATAGTTTCACATAATATAGCCCTGATGTGATGTTTGTATTATTTAAAAGATGAAGGCCTGTTTGACTATGCCATTACTGCTTCACTACTCCAGAGAGACTCCTGGCTCCCACTCTACAAGGATCAGACTTCCACTTGGCTAAGTAGTACAGTCATGTGACTTAGAAGATCTACTGCAACATCTTTAAGCGCTGTTTCTGCAGGGGGCTTGTGCTCCAGCTTGGCTGCAGCGAAGGCCGACTTCACACTTGATAATGCTTTCATTCTTTTTATTCTTGGCCTGAGCATAGTGGAAAGCCCTCACGTGATCGTGTTAATTGTTTTTGTATCATGTCTTGGTGTAGTTTGTTGGATAATTACTTTTAACCATCTGTCCTATTGAAAGAGAGACTGAAATTTTGCAGTGAATATGTGTGTTTAATGGTTCCATGCAAATTTCTTATGTACACCCTTTATTTTAATCAGGAGCAAGCATGCAGCGACTTGTAGATTTTGTTGAATTAAGACTCGACTGTCGGTGTTAATGTGTCTGCAGAAAGCCTTATTGGACATCATGTGCTTGAAGGGTGGGTCACCGTGGTATTTCCTGTGGGAGGATGTGTATTGTGTGTAAGAGAAGAATGATAATGTTAATACGCTACACTTCCCTCTGTTGTGAAGGCCACCCTTCTAATTGGCTTTTGTTTATCTAAGTTTTTAGTTGAGTTGTCCTCAGTTTGGATCCAGTCATGGTTAATCCTGATTTGTCTTGGTTGTAGTGACTGTGTGAATGGAAGGCTTTGCAGTTTGAATATTTCTGCAAGGCCAAACCACAAAATGCCATGTAGCACGCCTGACCTACACTGAACTGACCTATTTCTGGTGGTTATTGTAGGCTGTGTTGACACTTCGGTGTATTTGTTGATATCATCTGGTCTCTTCGGTTTGGCTTTGTCCCATGCAGGTCTAACATTTTTATTTCATTAATAACAAATCCTATGATTTATGAGATTTAGGGTCTTTCAAGATGGTTTGTTGGTGCATTTCACCATCAAGGTAGATACTATGTTCTCGTACTCTTCACAACCTTAATATTTGTAGATGCTGAGCTGGTTTTGATAATGGTCATTGTGTTACACAGAAATGGTGAACTTTCTCAGAATTTACTAATAGCTTTCTAATTCTTACTTTTCAGTTTGCCACCTCTGTCCTGCCTGTCTATAGTACATGCCAGCAGCAGCCCTCCTCCTATTCCCTCACTGTCCCCACCCCTCTGTTGCCCAGTGCTACCCAGCCTGGGCCCCCAGAGACACAGCCTTTTGTTTTTAATTAAAAACACTGTCCCCTTTGTGTACATGGGTCCACATCAGAGGCCATCTTTCTCTGAACTGGGGCACTGTCACCCCAAGTTCCCCGTAGATACATGTGCACCTAAAGGACCAGCCACAGGGTTGTCAGTACAACAGGTCAGGAAGTGGAAAGTTTACAGAAGTGTAGAGTACACACTCGGTAGCTTTGCGTGTTTGATCAGTGGGAGTGTTTTTGAGGCAGTATACAATAGTTTATTTGTGTAGTGCAATTGACCTTTTTCACAGCTGACATTTTGACTTAATATATTATTCTAGTAGGATGAGTACAGGTGTTCCTAATAACATTGATGATGTCTGTGTTATTTAAGTGTCCCTGTGAGCCAATATGCACAATACCAGGAACCCTGAAACCAAAGTGCTAACTGGAATTCAGCTGTAATTAATGTTGTTTACAACTGTCAAAATGTCTTGTGAGAAAAGGGCAAATACATTGTCTCATAGCACTTTTCAAACCCACATTCAAAATTCAATAGACAGACACAAAAAACAACCAGTTGCTGTTTTTCTTTGCATTGCCTCAGTGGATAGTGTAGAGCCAGGAGGAAGAGGGGTACGTTTGACAAACAAGTCTTAAATCAAACTGGAACAACTGGTAGTTGTGTAATAATTGGGCTTCTTGAGGGTCTGCTAAATAGTCTTAAGGTTTTACCATTTGCATTCCCTGGTTGCAGTACAGAAGCATATCAAACTCCAGAAACTGAATTAATTTCAAATGATTTCACCTTTTCAACCATAAATTATGATATTTTTTTCCTGGGCGTTGTCAGACACAGGTGTAAGCAATAATATTTTTAATTGTGCCAATGGAGCCATCATTAATGTTATTACTTACACCTGTGCTTTTCCTGTTATGACAGGTCAACAGGCCTGCTGTGAAAAAGGTCTCCATATCTGGTTCATTTGGCCTTGTAAAGTACAAGGTTGACAGATTTTTGACAGGGAACAACAGGAAAAGCAGTTGAGGCAGTCATATCCATAGTATGAAAAAACCTGTTTTGCTCTCAAGGTCATGCTATATTCATGTTTTTTTTAATATTTTGTCAATATAATTCTACTAGGCACAGTTGGTTCTGGTCTCCCCAGCACTGTCAGAAGTTAATAAGAAATAAAAGTTTTTGTGCTTCCAAAGGGTGAAAGAAAAAGTTAAGAACTGGAAATATGTGGAAATATGGTAAAGGTCTTGGCTCAATAAATACCTTTTTTATGAGCTCATTATATATTTTAAGTTGCATTCAATACCCACACAATGGTGGCTTTTCACAGAATGTTTGTAATACCTATTTTATCTTATTGTTGATAATCATTGGGTAACATTTTATATGAAATGATTATCAGTGGTTACAGGTGGCTATGTGGTAAAAAAATATATAAATAGTTGGTGCAGGGTGGCTTTTGTGATGCAAAGAGGAATAGATAGAGGCCAAGAATAGAAGCTTAACATTCAATGTGAAACTCAAGCGTCCTGTACAGTGTGGCTTGAATATGAGTTGTGCAGTCTGTTTCCTCCATTCAGGCCCACCTGTACTTGTGCTTAAACTTCTGTGACTATGAAAATGTAAAGAACTGACACAGGGCAATGAGACCAGAATAGAGCTCCACTGGGCTCCGGTGGGATATTTTTGCCTTGGAAAGGAGGTCAACCAACCAAGAGGGTTCAGAGATTCATTACAAAAGAAAATGCACTGGGACCTTTTCTCATTATTGGAAAGATTAATGGGTTTTGAGTTGAATCCATCTCAGGACTTGTGAAGAGGCGCTATGTAGCTATGTACATGTGCTTGCCAGTGAAGACTTAGCTGTATGTCTGATCTTGGTCATGGCCTGGAGTGTATGACAATATTTCTGTGTTCTTGGGTAAATAATGTCAGATGCTGCACCAGCCAGTGATGCTGCTAATTTGCACCTGAAGCCATATACTCAACTGATGCAAAGTCAAACATCCTGTAGTAAAATTTGCCGAAGGCCTTTCCTCTATACAGAGTATTTTACAAAATGTCATGCACGTTTGACTCACTAAATGTCACATCGTATTACACAACTTTTAGTAGTAAACTGAACAGCTGTCTAACTACTGCAGCCGACATCGAACTGACTTTCATATTAAGTGTGAGGCCAACTATGTGACAGACCAGACTCGGCTAATCGTCAGTTGTAAGCCAAGGTGCTTCCTCCCGGTCCCCTTGGTGGATTCAGCCTGCTGTTCCAAATCTTTTTCTGTTCTGCTCTAATTGTTTTAGCCTCCTCCTTCCCCGTGAGACAAAGACGGTCTAATCACAGTACTTAAAGAAATAGGGGAATACCCAGTGGTTGTGAAGGAATCGGGATCAAACCCAAGGCCTGTGGGAACAGTGAAGTGATATCCCAAAGCTGTTGCACGCGTGTGTGGCTGTGTGTGCGCATGTCTTATCAGCCCCTGTAGAGATTATCAGCACAGGAGCTGACCTCGTAATTCTCATCCCCCGAGTTTTATTCACTGATGCATAATGTTTGCCCCCCCCCCCCAGATTATGTTTCGGATTATGTTTAAAGCATGCACCTGCTCATTGGTTTGTCTTGAATCCTCTGAAATTTTCAGCAGGTGTCGGATGAGAGGATTGAAATCACTTTTTGTCTCTGTGTGTCTATACACTACTGGATCCACAAAATTAAATTGATGTCAGTGTTTTAAGTGTGGGAAATAAATGTTAGACTTTTATTTGTTTTTTAAATTGAAAACTGTGACAGTGAGTACAGTGTAATTGTATTAATCTCCTCTTCCTCCGTTTTGCTTTTCAGGATGAAACTGGTGCCTATCTCATAGACAGAGACCCTGCATACTTCGGGCCAGTGCTAAACTACTTGAGGCATGGCAAACTGGTGCTCAACAGGGACTTGGCAGAGGAAGGTAACGAAATATTTTCCAAATCAAAATACAGTCTACTATAGCACATTAAATGCATTGTAACGGTGTGAACATTTGTTTTCAACATTTCACTTCATTACTGTTGATTGCTGGTCGAAACGTTTTTAATATCTAAACAACAGCGATGATGATGATTGCAAGGGAATGACAGCAAAGAAGTTTGGGTATTTTTAACATTTCCATCTAAACTTTCCATCCACATTTCAGTTTTAACAGAACACAAGTGCAATGTGAATAATTTGGTTTAACAAATATAGATTTACATACGCTTTTTGTTGTAGCATCTCTGCAAAACATTAGATGCCATTGTTTACAGCTAAACCTAATTTTTAGTTTGTCGCAGCAGAATATGTTCCGGCATGAAAAACTTGAATTGTTTCTTTTTCACTGTTTTTAAGGTGTGTTAGAAGAAGCTGAATTCTACAACATCACATCATTAATAAAGCTCATCAAGGACAAGATCAGGGAACGTGACTGCAAAACATCACAGGTACATTCCTTGATGAATGTAACATTTCTGTTCCATTTATTTTGGGAATTATTTCTCCCTTTTCATCTAATTTCTCTCATGTGTTCATTCTTCCTCTCAGGTTCCGGTGAAGCATGTGTACCGGGTGCTGCAGTGCCAGGAAGAGGAGCTGACACAGATGGTGTCTACCATGTCCGACGGATGGAAGTTTGAACAGGTAAATCTCTTCTTGCAAGGTCACAGCAGCAATCCTCCTTTCATGTGCTTCACCCACCCCGCTATGCTCACATTGACCCAGAAAGTCCAATCCTCAATATTGGAAATGGCTAAAAAGCCAAACAGCAAATCACATCTTTCTCAATGTCCGCATACATGATCCGGGCATCCCTTCTGTGCTCTGATTGGTTGTTGCAGCTTGTCAGTATAGGTTACGGGCGGGCCCACCAGTCAGAGTTTCTGCTGATTGTGTCAAGGGAGGTGAAGGGAGAGGAGTCTGCTTTGCCAAACAACAGCGGAGAGGTGTGTCCCACAAATTTCTGTCCACGGGCTGGTCACTGCATGGTCCCAATGTTGTCCATACACACCCCGTTGGCCATTGTTTGTCCTTGGTAGACACTTAGCTGTTAGCTCATTTTTTTTTTTTGAGTTGATTATTTTCAGTGTTCATTTGTACTGCTTGCTCACCAGTGAGGCTAAAAGAAGATGACATCTTTTTTTTTTTTTTTGTCTGTGGTTTTGTTTTATTACATTTTTTTTTTTTTATTCATGCTGCATTCACAGTTTGTAAACTTGTCAACAGCTTTCTGTGTTCTGCTTTGATGTAGCCGCTCTGGGGGCTGTGCTGTAATATAGTTCTGGTTCTTTAGAGGTGAAACTCTAAAAATGTTGTTTCATCTTCAGCCAGGTAATGTATCTTGTGAGTAAGATTCAAACATTAAGAGTGAATAGCCCACATTTACATTAGAGCTTGTTTTTTTTTTTTGTTTTGTGTTTTTCTTTAAATGAGAGAACACGTTTGGGTGTAGAAAGTATTGGATGTGTGAATGAATTTCTCTGACACGAGGGATCATTGGATCTCCCATCAGAGCTCAAATCTCACTAATCTCTTTACACAGGTCAGATGGGAAACTCTTAGAAACACTCCTTATGCAAAGCTTAGCATGGTCATCAGCCCAGAAGAGTCTTTTGGGAAGAGCTTTAATGACCCACTGCCTTCTTTAAGACTCCATAAATATACATGTATAGATAAAATGTTTTTTTAGGAGTATTTTATGCTGAAAATTGTAGGATTTGGTGTGTGTTGAATTTCTAGCAGTGTGACAAGTGTAATCCAAGGTAGCTAGTTGAGATTATTTGGTCTTTTTTTTTTTTTTTTTTTGCTGTGTTGATGCCTAATGTAAGACTGATCGCTTAACAACAACAAGTCTCCGGCAGCAGCGGCTAATGAGGCGATGCCTGTCTGAACATGCACACCTGGGTACTGAGGGTATACATGTAGTCTGCAGTATGCACACACTTGACATTCAGCAATAGAAGCAGTTATACAAGAACAGGGATTGCTGTTTTTTCTCATGTTTTTCAAGGTGTGCTTGCAGTTTGTTTATAAAGATCTGAAAGGTCTCATCCCTTTATTTGTCCTCTTGTGTCCTCTGTCTCTTTTTATTTGGACTGATGTGACTGGGAACAGGAAGAGTAGAAGTTACCATGTTTATTTATCAGATGTATTTGAAGATGCCGTTAGTAGGATTTTCTTACACTAGTCCTTTTTGCTGTATGACATAATCTAATGTTTCAAGGGGAAAAGTTACCTGCTGTTACAAGCAGTAGCTTCACTGACATTTTCACTTGGTTGACTTTGGGTTGCCCCTAGTTCCCTGGACAGTCTTAAGTAAACCCTTGTGATAGAGTGGAAGCTGAACAGTAGTAGGTACACAACAAAATACAATTACAGACACAATATTAAAGAGTGCAGCTCCATGAATACCATGCTAATGGTATTGATCCCAAATGATTTGACACTGGAAGCATTGGAGAAAATCCTACACATGATGTCTGTGTTATGGTACCACTAACAGTCAACTCACATGTCAAGTCACAGAGCTAAAAAAAAAAAAGGGACTGAAACGATGGATGGGAGTGAGCTACTTTGTGGTTTGCTCCTTTTTTATTTGTTTTGTAGCGGATACTGTTGTTTTTAAAGCTTCAGTTTTACTCATTCACTTTAAACAAGCCCGGTCCTATCAAGTCAAATCCACCAGTTTCCATTTATTTTCAACCAGCATGTTTGCTTCCTGTGGTCACTGCACTTGTATTCTGTCAGTGATTATCTGCTGATCATGTTTTTTTTCTTTCTATAGTGTCTGCTCTTTTTTTCATGGTTATTACTTTATTTTTGTGGACCACTGGTTATTTTATTTCTGTATGATTTTACTTAGACAACTGTTTGAGTTTCTAATTAGGATTTCCATGCTGGCATGTCTGCAGGTCCTGAGAATGAATTGCATTCTTTATAAATGTACTGACAAATACTCAAAACAAATGGCAATTTAGCAATTAACTCTTTGGTATATCTGGTTTAAATTGCTTAAGTGGAGCTCCGTTGTGGCCTAGTGGTCTCAGTGTACCATGAAATTGTGCAACCATGACATCCTGGGTTTAAATCTGACCAAGAATCTTTGTCATGTTTCATTCCCACCCTGACCCACATCTTATGTCACTGGACATTGCTGTCGGTCTAATTACGGCCAAAAATGTGAGATAATTAATCCTAAAAACAAACTTCAAAGTGAGAGTTATACAGACAGTACTCAGATTGTTCTGTATGAACTGTTTTGAGCTAAGAAAAAAAAATTGAATATATTGAAAAGTATAAGTTGCAGGAACCTGTAGACTCTGTTTGGTCATCAACCTCTTTTACATTACTTTTAACATCTTCCTACCTCTGTTTTCCCCACCATGAGTAACCCAGTTTTTGCCTCTATTTCATCAGTCTAAGGCTAATTCTTCCCATGTGCTCTGCTCTCGTGTCTCTCTAGCTGGTCAGCATAGGCTCCTCTTACAACTACGGAAACGAAGACCAAGCCGAGTTCCTGTGTGTAGTCTCCAAGGAGCTGCACAATCAATCATACGGGACAAACAGTGAGCCCAGTGAGAAGGCTAAGGTAAGTGAGTGTGAGTGTGGAGAGGCCGGTAGAAAATACATCCATAGCAAACATCTGTGAATGATGGCCTGTGCTGGATGTTTTAAATGCACTGCATTTATGAACATGCCACCAGGGGACAGAGAGCACCTCTAGTTTATTGATGAGAAACCTCTATGAAGGCGAACATTGTGAATATTCAGTGCTTCAGTTAAAAACTAGACCGCCTGTACCGCAAGTGATAAAAAGAGAGAGGAAATGAGGAAGATAAGATTAAAGCAGAGCAGCCATTAATTTGGACATGTTCTTTTTCTTACCCAAACCTGCACAGGAGAGCATTGTTCGTTGATGAAAAACGTTCATTTTGATGTCAAGGATGGGGGGGTCACAAAATGGTGTTTCTAAATGCATTAACCCAGCATTTAGACTTTGGTCGTGTTAGATTTCACCTCAAATAAAAAAAAAAAAATCTCCAGTATAATCCATGCTAGGAGCATTAAGAAAGCCCAGGTCTGCAGATTAGCGGAGCAAGGTCTGTCATTCTCTCAAGGGTTTTTGCACGAAGCAGGAGGCACACCCTGAGGAATTCAAGCTCCCATCAGCTTGTGCCCACGGGGGCCCCACTCCTTGAAGACAGCTACACATGAAGAAGCACACCATTAAACCTATATTCATGCTGCTGTTTATTTAAATAGGAAGATGAAACGCTGCCAGTGCATCTTTCAAACAAATGTTGAGAAAGAGTAGAGACTTTGTTGCTATTGTTTCCGGGGGCACCTTGTCCAAACTTGTATTTTATAACAAAGAATTAAAATATAAAATCATCAGTCCAATGTATTGCAAGGATATGTTATTTGTGTAAAAGGCCAGATTTGCAGACATTTGTGACAAGTGAATTGAGTCCATTAGAAAGGTCTCCTCAGATAACATTTGAATGTGTTTTGTGTCTTTGAGTTCTGCATGAATGTACAGTAGTTGTTCATGTTAATCCCCTCTTAACATGAGCCATTAGTTTTTTGTTTTTTTTCTCCATGTTCTCCTTTCCTATATTTTACTCCTCCATTCATTTCCATTATTTTACAACATGCCTTTCTTGTCTTCTTCTGTGCTGTCTGCATGCTGCATGTTGCTCAGAGCGAGGACGAAGAGACAGATTATGAAATGAATGACTCTGATTAGGGTTGAGCACTTATGACTCACTGGTGAGCGCTCAACAGCTCGTAGTGCCTCCATCACACCTCCTGAGTTTGTTCTCCTCTTCCTTTCCCATGCATCCCTGATGCATTTTACACTACTGAAAAACTTCAGATACTTAAACCAGAGTAAAGTGACAGATTCAAGGTTGGAAATCAGCTTTGGTCTTCAGAGCCTACAAGCCAAAGCAAGATGAAAAGCCAGATGGTTCCTGCTAAGACAGGTCAAATACTTCTTTGCAGGCGAACCTCTTTGGAGCCAGATGGGATGAACTCAATTTGTTTCAGTAGTGTAAATAAGACCCTTGTAATTATTGCCATGCTCACAGCCTTGGTTAATGGAGGGCATGCTGAATCATCAGCTGCTGCAGTTTGACCATTGTCCTTCATTCAATGACATTGTAAAGGAAGGGAGGGGTACTCTACTCTCTCTGTTCATTTTCATTGTCAAAAATAGTAGTAGTTGTAGTTTTGCTTGCACAGCGCTGATAAAAATTGATGCAAAAATTTCATATTAATTTCATATTAACCCTTCAGTGTTAAATTCCAGTAAATGTTCTTTGCTCCTAGGCAACAGGTTAAGTTGCTCAGTGTAACAGCAAAATGCTACTAAACTAAATGTACTTGTTAAAATTTAGTTAACACCTGGACAAAAATATGCAGTCCTTACTTCTCAGTGACATTTATGTAGCTGTTACCACATTTTGAGCCGTCTTAACCCCTTTCAGCTGAACTACAAGAAGAGCGTTCCACATTTAGACCCTTGAGATTAAGCCTTTGCATGTGATGGCCCCAAAGTTCCAAAAGAGAGAAAAGATGCACCAGAAATGCGATTTAACAAGCAATTGGAAATGTTTGTTAATTGAAAAATGTTATAAAATACCATCTGCAGTGAAAACTAATTATGAAATATTACATTATGATTCCACTGCTGTTTCCTGGAAAAGGCTCTCATCTTGAATTTTGCCCCTCTTCATCTCTTTTTTTATTTTCATCTCTTTAAGTTCAGAGGCATTCGGGGCACTGTGGTAAGCTTCAGCAGCATGTAGAGTAGTTTCTAGCACTGCTTTTATTTTCTTCACTAGTGCAAGCATTTCCCTTTTTTCTCTGCTTCTTATTCACGTAGCACATAGAGTAAATGTATGAGCGCTTCTGGCTGGGAAACAATATGAGGCAGGCATGATTGCTTCGGTTTAAGAAAAAAAAAAAAATTGTTTGACTGCTGAAATACAGGGGGTTGTAGAGAGTCAGTACTAAATGACTCGTAGCATGTTGTACATTGAGATTTTGTTCATTATATCATGCTTTTGTCTCTGCAGATTCTTCAGGAAAGAGGTTCCCGGATGTGAAGAGGACTTAGTATTATGAGCTCCAGGTGTTATGATGCAAACATATCATCTTTGTGGAAGAACGTTTGGCACAATGGAGATTTAAAGGGGGGGTTGTGCATTTATTTTGTGTTTTCCCTCCATTTTTGTTTTTATTTCTTGATGTAAATAAGTCTGTTTACTGACAATTTGTGCCTGTACATTTAAACTGGACCTTTTTAAATTAGGGGCAAGTTTTTTTTTTTTTTTTTTTTTCTAATTGAAAGTAAGGATTTGCAATCTACAAATGTTTTATGCTATAAACTATGGCCGTCATCATATAAGGCCAATGATTCACTCAGGGTCATCTATTGAATTAATTATATCCTCCAACTCAAGGGTCTGGTAAGGGATCAGTATGGTCTTTATAACTCAAAAAAATCAACTCAAAATAATTGTTTAAAGATGTTAAGAAGGGAATTGTGCATTGATTAAGCACATGTTAAAGAGTTAGGCTATTAAATGTGAAATTTACCCCAAAAACAAATCGATAAAATGTTTTTTCCAAAGATTTCAAACCGTTATACTGAGATTTGTGATCATGAGGATCCCAACTATACATCACACGTTTTGTCAGATGTAGTTGAGGTGGCATTTTACTTTGATTCAAAATATTTTTCCAGTTACTATTCAAGGTCAAAAAAGGAACAAAATGTCACTGTGATTTGTCTGTGTAGGTTAAGGGGCATTACGTAATTTATCACTTACAGGGCTTTTATTGGTGATGGGGAAATGACCTGTAATGAAGAGAAGAAAGTCCCATTTCACAGCGACCCTGTTCAGACCTGGCATTACCATGCGTGCGTCTCAGATGATCCGATCACAAGAGGACAGCTCTAAGTGCAGGTGTGAAAGCACCCAAGTGCATTAAGGATGCATGTGAGATCAGATCACTCGAACCACATTTAGAGGTGGTCTGGATTGCATATGGCCTCATTCTTTTAAGAGTTTGAACGCAAATGTGTCCTGAACCACGTTGAAGGATCGCCTACTCAGATGTCGTCCTCTGCTACAGTCAGGTTTCAGTTTCATAATAACTCAAAAATATTTTTACACTTCTCACAGTGTTTCCCATACATCAGTTTATTTGTGGCGACCCGCCACAATATCAGTATTGACTGTCACATATTGATTTTCTACTTTTTGGGCTTTGCAAACAGAACATAAGTACGTGCTTATTTGTTTGTAGAGCAGGGAACTAGGATCCGATCACAAGTGATCACTCGAGATGCATGTTAATGCAAGGTCTGAACAGGGCCGTAGGCTAAGTAAGCTAACTTGAGAGACACGGCAGATATGGCAATGCAAGATACTTATTTTCATTCACGTTCTTGGCTTGAGAAGTATATGTGTTGCTACTGTAGCTGCTTGTGAGAACATATACTCTATCTTGGAACCTTAGTAATCCATTTACCCAGTGATTTGGTCATTGTGTGCTGTTAGGTCAAGTAATACACATTTTCAGGTCCTTTTACCTGTATTATAAGGATTTAACTTTTAAGTATTGGAGATACATTTAACCGCAAATGTTCATGCAAAATGTAGAATTTTATTAGTGTAAAGAACTAAAAATTTGCTCTCTAAATGTTGTAAAGTACAAGTTAATTTTAATGAACTTCTAGTTTAGTTTGAGACCTCATGTTCATAAATCTAAAGTTAACTGCCAAAAAAAAAAAAAAAAAAAAATCAAAGGTGTTTCAGATATGAATTTTGTTTTACAGTGATAATATTTTTTAAACATCAGTGTCCTCCAGTGATGTCCTGTTTCCTGTCAGGAAAAACATCATCTGAGACAGTGGCGTCTTTTTTTTTAACTTTTTCCCACTGACTTTTGAGTTTTCCTTAACTGGTTTACTTTGTATGTTTGAGGGAACATCTTGTTTAAGATCTTTTTGTGGGGAAGTATTTGTTTTGATTGAGGTTTGGGGACTGGAACTGATTGAAGGCAGTGGTGAAGGACTTTCAGTTCATATCCAGAGGATTTTTTTGATGTAAATAATCCAAATTCAATATTAATATTTAACTCTTTAAAAAAAACTGCACGTTTTGTACACTGTATAGAAAACACGACTTCAAATGGAAGTTGTTTATACTGGATCTTCAAAAATGAGAGAATCTTGACAATGTTAACTTCTGTTTTGCATTGTTTGTACAGGACGCTAGAGATTTCTGAGTTGGGGTTGAAACAGCTGAAGCTGAATAAGGTGTCTTTCACTGAGAACATGCCTGGAACATGTTTTGATAACCAATAACAAAGCTATACTTGGCTGGCTATGAAGTTGACTGTTACATTTGAAAACAAATGTATTTTTTCTTGCAGTGTGATAGATTCTTCTAAGCATTTTGGATTGTGTAGATTTCGTACACAGCATTACAAGCACTACAGTGGAAAAACAACACTGTGCACATTGCTTACAGCCTGTAATGTTGTTAATGTAAATACTGCATTTTAGAACACTTTTTTTTATAGAAAGTTGTTTTCAGGTTTGATGTGTGGTTTTTGATAGGTTGGATATTTCATTCACAATTAATCATTTAGTGTTGCCTTTTTCCCAATGACCAAAATTCAATGTCTTATGTGTATTGTACACATTGATCTTAGTGTCAGGGATGAGTAAACCTTTCTTAATGCTGGCACACTTTGTATATATAGAATTGTTAACGACACGCAAACCTCCATTTACTCACATGTACACGTATACACTTGACTAAAAAAAATTTTGTATTGTCGGGGAAAATGTATGGATGCATGATTTTGATAGACACACACACACAAAAACACACACAAGGGCTTTTAAAGTGCAAAATTTGAGATCTGCAAAGAGGTTCAATCAAAGTAGACTGGATTTCCTGCCAGAGCTAGGCTATGTTTACATTTGCTATAGTATTTTGAAGCCTTCCAATTATGTACTGTCTTGCACTCCCTCACACATGTTAACCATATGTCTGACTTGTGTGACTGCACCAGGGGCAACTAGCATTCCCCACTCCATATGAACTGATACTCACACAGACATTATAAGATACTCCATCCACTTCTGACAGCCTATGCTTGAGCGTTGCAGACAATCTTGCTTTCCGCCCTCTCTAATGGCAGAGTTGCTCACTTTTAACTGGATGAAACTTTACCTGTGTTGGATCAGAGCTAAGGTTTATCTGGGTCCTCTTTTGACTTTTTTTCTGCAATGAGATTTAAAGTGTTTTGTGTTTGATACGCTTGGTTCAGTTGTAACCTCATTTGATATACTCTGGTCTGAGGTGTTTAACCCCTCTTCTTTAGCAGCTACATTACCTTTAATGCCCTTCACAAACAGGTTGCCTGGTTGAGCATTTGGCATTGATAATCATTTCATGTGATGGACATACTTATCAAATCTGTAGCCTAATACTTTTAAGTGCCCAATTTTGTTTTGCATTCAAGTTATAAGCCACAGACCACAGTAATGCATGATTGAAGATGATCACACTTGTAATCAGAGGGAATGAATGTGTCATTTTTCCTCACTCTAACAGTTACATTGAATATGGTTCTCATATCACTACATAGATCACTTATATATGATCTTATGCAATGTTAAAAATGTAAAAACTAGGTATGAGGTTAAGGGGATAGATCTATATGGTCTTGCATAAGGTAAACACAATAAAAATGTTGTCATTCATATCTGTGTGTGTATTTATTTTTCCAGAGATGTTTTATTTGAATTATTTTAAATTATTTTATACACAATAGTAAACATGATTCGATTTTTTATGATTAACAGTAATTATATCAGACATGTACATCACAAAGTGTACATCGAAGTGTTGAGATTATTAATAGCGTCGTGACAACAAATTACAATTTTTTGATAAATCGCGACCTCTTGTGTCACTTTCTCAAAACTGGCTTCTATGTTATAGTTGCCTGGAAATGTGCCTGTTTAAATATAGACTAATTTCTTTTTGTTATTTCTTTTTTTTTCACACGGGACTATTTAACCTTGTTGGAAAATATGTCTTACAGCCAACAACTTCATGTCAGGTCTATCTCAGTTCTTTTGTAATTGTGTTCAAGAGGTTATTTGATATGTCAAAGGTAGTCGTCTGGGTTAACGGTCTTTAGTATGGGCAAAGATGTTGTATAAGAGAAGATAGAAATCGGTCTGTGCTTGCTCGAATGGGACAACGCGCCTTCCTGATGTATGAAATGGAATATTTGGTCTCACACATTTATAATAAATGTTAAAAAGAACAGCAGATAATCCAAATAACGAACATAATGTTGCTCTTATATGTTCCTAAAACGAGACTTTTGCTTGTTTAATTTTCCGAACAGGTAACTCAGACAGCCACAGGGCGCGTGCGCGAAGAGCAACAACTGCAAGCGGTGTATAGGTGCTTTTAATGAGCTGAGTGCTATTAGCAGAAGCTATGCTGCTCTAATGAAATGGAAACTAATAAACAAGTAACCAGAATAAATCTTTCGGTTGAATCCTTGGCGGTCATAGAGATACAGTCAGAAACCCAAACCGTTAAAAGATAAACGCGCAGTCTAATCTTCCTAGGGGTATTTAAGCCAAGACGGAAGTAAACGACGGATGACTGTTTCGCTTCGCTGTTTCTGTGTCTAGCTTGAGTCGGAGCGGGTGGTTTTTCAGGAGGGAAACTTTACAAGGTTTAACGGGATTTCAGCACGATTAATTCATTTCGCTCAATTACCAGAGCAAGTGCAGCCATACTGAAAGGTAGGAGTGCACCTTTATTATGGAACATGCCTTTTTTGTCGTGTATTATGATATTTTACCCGCTTCTGTTTGCGCCATTTTCGCTAGTTTGGTAATGCACAAATGTGCGCCTTTTAGCTCTGGCGTTCTTTGTCTCTATTCTTTAATGGGTTATGGTATGGTTTATTCCTGTACAATATTTCACATCCCTATTTGTCATTTCAGAATAGACATTAGTAAGCGCTAGAAGAAAGGCAGCAATCACTTTTTCTCATCCAAAATTGTGTCTAAATCAAGTGCAATTGCGCATTTTTGTGCTGCATCAGGCCGTGTCAGACGCTAACAGCGCCAGCGCCTGTTGGGATGTAGCACGATTCTGGCGCACATGAGTTAGCATATCAAGCTAACCGGCTAGCTTGCTAACCAAATAGCTTTGATACTCTGTGGACGTTTGTGTTGACAGCAAGTTTACACTAAAGCTCAACGGACATGAAACACTTAAAATGTTAATGATGTCGTTTCCTGGACCCCCTTTTAGTTTTAAAACACAAGGCGCGCAAAGAGTAGGGAAAGCGTTTTGTAGCATTGTATCACCAGCGGCTAACTTGGCTAGCTCTTAGCGTTCCAGACATGTCGATCTAAAGGATACTTTTAGTCGTAATACTTCTAAGGTTGATGAAAACTGCTTATTGTTACGTTGGATATATAATATGATGTAGAGTGTAACTACTGTTGTAAAGTTAGTAAATACTGAGTGGGCAATTACTAGTTGCTGCCAGGACCGTTTTGTTGCTTTTCCTCGCTGTCTTTACCTCCAAAGCATCGTTGCTATAGAGATCATTAGACATTCCAGTGGAGGGTCTAATTAGAGCTCCAAATTAGCACTGAATAGCACTGCTAACGCAGTGGTGTATAGCCGCCTATGTTATAGGACAAGTTAGTAAAAGTGAGGGTAGTCTAATAATCTCATGATGCGCCATGGAGAGGTTGAGTATTTTTGCTATAATTGATTTCAGGTGATGTAACTGATTATTACACCTTCATTTACAGAGGAGGGGCTAATTAATTATCTTGGGTAGAGAGAAATGTGTATTGGAAGTCCTTAACTGTGTACATAGACAACTGTAGCTTATCACTGGAGGTCACTACATGGATAATGTCATGGTTTCAACTACTAATACCATACTTTTACTACTTAAGATCATTTTACATAAGGTAGGGGCTTACCTTTTTCATTGGTAGTATTTGTATTCACTTTGCTGAATGCAGAAGGAAGAGCCAAATCCTTTATGTCTGAAAAGCTCTCCACAAATTAAAACTGGCCAAACTAAGCCAACATTATGTTTGTCTATAAGAACATGAATGCATGTACTTTGTTATGCTATAATATGAGACCACTTCAGAGTGCAGGAGTTTATGTCATTGTGTTTACAGTCACAGAAAGTGCCACAATAGGCCAAAATAATTAGGGCTGCAACTTGCAATTTATTTTGGTTATTTGCCAATTTGACATTTTTCCCCTTTTTTTTAATTATTTGATTTTAATGTTAGAAATGAGTAAATGTCAATTCCTAAAGCCCAGCATGCCATTTTTGAATTACTTGTTTTGTCAGACCAACAGTTCAAAACCCCAAGATCTTTAATTTACAATGATAGAAGCCAAAGAAAAGCAAAAAATCCTTACATTAATGGAAGCTGGGACCTACAAAGGTTTGGATTTTTTGCTTTATGAATTAATTGACTAGTGGTTTCATATAATTGACTTGGCATTCGCTTTTATTTCAGGAGTCCACAAATCATGTCAGGCATTGCTTTGAGCCGGCTTGCCCAGGAGCGCAAGGCATGGCGGAAGGACCATCCTTTTGTAAGTAGTGTCTTTTGAAGACGCACCATTTCTGACTTTTCTTTGGAAGCCTTTCTAGGCTTTCATTATGTCCAATCCTCCAATAAATAACACCGATGTCCTAACTGTTTGCACTCTCCTATTAAATTTTGCAGGGATTTGTTGCTGTACCAACTAAAAATCCAGATGGAACCATGAATCTCATGAATTGGGAATGCGCCATTCCTGGCAAGAAGGGGGTAATTTGTTTCAATCTTGTTTGCATACAGAACATCCTTGCTTTACCACTGCTAAATGGAATACAGTGAGCTTGATAAGATGACATTTCTGTGGTAGATGCAAAAGAACATGTATGGTTTTAAACAAGTTCTACTACATAATACAACTGTAGAGTTATGTCTTGCATTTCTTATTTTGTCAGCATAGGTAGTGAATAGCAACAAGAGTACTGAGCCAGATTTTCAACGAAAAGAAAGAGGTGTGAAATCCTAATAATTCATAGTAACAGCCTGAACAGTCAGCCTGTTTTTAAAATTAAACAGGCGACGATGATGATGATGATGATGATGATGATAATAAGGTTTTAAGAGTAATTTTTGGTGGGACTTGTGTTAATATATGACCTTCTGTTAAGAAGCTGATCTAATGATTGTGTGTCTCCTTAGACTCCGTGGGAAGGAGGCCTGTTCAAACTGCGCATGTTGTTCAAGGATGACTATCCTTCTTCACCTCCAAAATGTGAGTTACAGTTTCTGACTTGTATCTACCATAAACACGACTGTTATTGTGATTACTAGACATAGTAACTGTTATTTTGCTGCAGATGCTTGTAGAAAGCTGTCTCTTCTTCAGTCAGATGGGCTTAATAACAAACAATACACAATGAAATGCTTAATCTGGAATGTGAAACTAGGTGCACAGTACGATACATGTCTTCCTTCGAGGGACTTAAATTTGCAGGCATAATTTCTGTCCTGAAAGTGTGAAGAGTAACAGTCTGGCTTGTTTGAAATCTAACAGACAATTGCATTAATGAAAACAATCGAGTCTGATGTTTGATGAAATGGTTCAGATGAGGTCAAGAGCATAGGAGGCCCCCAACCCTCTCACCACAGAGGGGGCAACAAGCCTCTATTGTCTCTGTCAATGTCCCAACTACTTATGATGTCCTGTCATGCAGTCAGCATGTGGCCAAACTGAATCATAAATCTTTTCAAATATATCTAATAGTCTAAAAAGTTATTACAGTAATCTTAAGGTAACACTGCAGTTAAAATAGTAACCTGTGATCAAGATTTCTTACTAAAGTTGAGCAGGGTTGGACATGCTCGACACCTTATCCGTGATTGGTTGAATATCCTTGGATGTCCCTTTCACAGCAGGAGCAAACGCGTTAGAATTTTAGTTTGAAAGGCTTGTTAATAACTTCTTAACACAAAAGCAAAGGACAGTCTCACTAGTGCGTGGTACTCCTCAGGGGCTTGATATTCATTAATGGTAAGGGACCATTGTAATTTTATCCATCCATTGCTGTTCATGAGATGATCTGAATGTGAATTGGCAGCCCCAGCCAGTTGATGCTTTCACGCATGCATCCATTACTCTTAATTTTACAACGTGTGCCTAAATGATTTGAGTGCTGATACAGGAATGGTGCTAACCTGGTTGTGACAATTCGACAGCTCAAGACATTAAACGTTATGCCTAGTGTACAATACTGGCCACATTGTGAACAAAAGCATTACATTACCATTGTGGGTGCACACAATGCCAGGGCACTTTGACATAGTTTGTCTAATAACTGGCAACGAGGGACTTGGGTAGTAGTGATGGTGTCTGAATGTCACATTAAAATATTGTTAAGGTACTATTGGTGTGAACATCAGAAGCTGCTGCCTTTTTAGTGGAGGAGTTCAGTCAGTTTATGCTGTGAAAAAGCTTAGTGACATTTGTGGAGTTTGTTCATATTGTCTGGCGTTTGTGATGGATCCGATTTGTAAGTGCACTTAACATTTTATTGTGTTTCAGGTAAATTTGAGCCTCCACTCTTCCATCCAAATGTGTATCCATCAGGCACAGTATGCCTATCTATTCTAGAGGAGGACAAGGACTGGAGACCGGCCATCACAATAAAGCAGGTTTGGATTGCCATGCACAACTCATTTACGTTACTGGGCTTTTTCCAAAAGGTCTTTTTTAAATGGCTAAGGCCGGATGAAGTTATAGTAAATAAAAAGTTCTGTAGTTTTATTAATATTTAACTGATATTTGATTGACTCTTTAATTGAAAATAAGGTACATTTGTATTCATGCAATTGACATAGAGCTTTTGAGACCAACAAATATTTTAAGCAACCCTAGAAAAGAAATTCAGAACAGATGAATTGCTTATTACAAAGTCAGTTTGTCTCATTGCTTTATTTATCCTACAGATCTTATTAGGTATCCAGGAACTCCTAAATGAGCCAAATATCCAGGATCCAGCCCAAGCAGAGGCTTACACAATCTACTGGTAAGTGATACTGGATTTAATCTCTTTGGGTTCACAAAGTGAAGTGTCTGAAAAGGGCCAAGGAGATGAGAGGTCAATTGCTGATATCTTATCTACAGTTCCAAAATCTGTTTCTAGGTTGAAACTGATGAGTTATACTTGCACAACAATACCATAGACATCATGGCTTGTAGATCTCATTTTATCATTGCAGTGGGTTCATTTGTGCTTCACTGAAATAGTTTTCCCTCATTGCCATTGTATTCTTAACCACTCCAGTTAGCAATGGATCTCCTGCCTGTTAAGAACATATTGGTAAATGTGACTGCAAGACCAGGATGATTAGTGATCAATAAGACAGGCTTCTTACAAATCTTAAAACATGCACTTGAAGTATAAATGGTAATGATTGATGTAGAAACGTGTTCAGGGACCTAATGACCTTGGTGAATTTTTCTGTTACAATTGTGTGCATGTGTTTGCATACTGGAGGTCTTGATGTGCTCATCTGAATGAATGCATTTTATTTTAATCCACACTTGAACAATAAAGGCAGAAAAAATAATAGTTGACTGCAAGACAGTAAGTTCTCCAGCAGTCAGTTTGCTTCACATCTAAAACCTACAGAACCTGCAGGTCTGTCTGATCCTGACAATGGCATTGTTTTTAACTTGCGCACGCAAGATATTAATTTGTGTGTGTGTGTGTGCAAGAGTAAAATAACTTTTCAAGGGGCTCTGTTCAAAGTCTGTCTAAAAAAAGGTCCAGCTTTACAGCCTGAAATAAAATGACAAGATAAATCTGAGAGGATCCCTGGTTTCTTTCTTATTGGCCAAAATGCACATTTTTTTATTATTATTTATTTATTTATTTATTTATTTATTTATTTATTTACTTACTTACTTACTTACTTATTTAAAAAAAATAAAAATAAAAAAAATAAAAAATTTAAACATGGTTTTGAAAATACCTCTTGTTTCTGATTTGAGTAAGGGATCAGAACACCATGATAACTACTGCTGTTTTTGTTTTTTGTTTTTTTTTTAACCTCTTTGTAGCCAAAACAGAGTAGAATATGAAAAAAGAGTTCGAGCACAAGCCAAAAAATTCTCCCCCTCGTAAGGGCGAAGACTTGCTCCGCTGTGGCAGAAGGAATGGGTTTAACAAGAATCACCTCCCCGCTCAGTCTCTCAATGAATGTGCTCCTCTCACATCGGGACTTGCTTAAAGACTTCTATTTAAACTCCACACATTCTGTGCCATCCGCTCTCCTCTGACCTATCATTTTTTGTTCTTAATTGCCGGTTGGTGCATAATGCTGGGAGGGGATGGGTGCTTCAGCACCCTGGTTATTTCTTTTTAAACAATAATTGTCTTATGTGGTGCAAGGGACACAGCTCGGTACCAGTTTCATCAACTCAATGCAAGCTGGCTGTCATCAGTGTTCAAGGAAGAAAATGTCTTTTGTTTTTATTTTGCTCTTTCACAGGGTCTATTCCTTTGTTTTCCCCCTTTTTATTTTCCATAAAATTAATGTAAAATTAGCTTATTTCATTGTCAGTATTTCAACTGCTGTATAATGAATGGCACTTTTATACTGTTGTATCTCACTAGTGTCTCTAGATGGCTCTGTCTAATTCTCTTTCCCAGGTTTTCTATTCAGCATGCTGTAATATACGATAGAATCTGCTGCCTTGGCTGTCTTTTTGTTATTCAGAGTGTTTGCTATGGAATAAATAAAAATGGCCACAATGACTGAGGCAGGTAGGCTTTCTTCTGTATCAGACTTTAAGGTTATATGGTGCTTTGTTCATGTATGTGTTGGCGTAAATAAAACTTTCTACAAAACCTTTGCATTTTTTTTATTACATGAGTAAAGAAAATATACATCAAGATCAGAAGCAAAGCAAGCTACTCAGTTATGAAAAATGTCCTTTTTTCTTTTCTTTTTTTTTTCCTTAAGTCTGTCTGAGAACTATTGTTTGCAGGGCCATTGCACATTTGACGCAAGGAAAAGGTTATGCAATTATTTTGTATCATTTACATTTTGCATAATGCTGTGGAAACATTTTAGAAATGTAAGTGCCCTGGTTAATGTCATAATGGCTAAAAACCACTACTGCAAAAGCTTTGTTTTTACAGTAGCTGTTTGTAGCTTGAAGTAGTGGAGTGTTCAAAGGCATATTTCACTGTGTTGATGTGTGTAGTTGAGTTTTGGGCCCAAAATTATTTAGATTTTTAACTTTACAACATGTAAACATAATTTTATGCTTCCCCAATGGCAACCACTGTGACTGGACTAGTCTGCTGAAAGGCACTCAGGGTGCAGTACTCATTACAATACCAGGGAGAATCCTTGTCCAGGGACGTGTCACTGCAGAGCCAACACCCTGAGTCTCCTTCAGCAGGGCTGCCTGGCTGAGAGCTGAGGGTCAGACTCTTCAGCGAGTCCCCTGGAGCTGACAGTGCAGCCATGGTGCTCACAGCATAAGGGACGCCCAAGAGAGAAGAATCACAGACTGGGCCAATAATGTTACTGTATGCGCTGCCTTCCGTCAACAGGTGGTCAAACTGGGGCTGACAGTCTTCCTCTGGGACATCTTCACACTTGGTCAGGGTGTCGATTTGGAGTGATGCCTCCACTTTCAGCATGTCTGCCGTGTTTTCGTGTGTAATCACCCAGCTCTATAATAACAGTCATGGTTAAGGATGTTTGTGCGAGATAATTGCTAGTATTTTATGTGACTATCGTAACTTACCTTGAAATCTCCCTGGCAGTCACTGTACAGGGTGTGGAAATAGGGTGCTGGTGTTGGGATAAAGGCACTTTTCCTCCACCTGCAAGTGTGAGGAATATAAAGATAATATACCATATATATTGGCATTTGCAATATTGTGGTTTGGGATTTGGTGAAAAGCTGGAGGAGGAACCTACTTTTTAACAGGAGCGTAGCAGAATAGTAAGACCAGTGGCACGATCACACTTAAGGAGATGAACACCTTCTTACCCATTTCAGAAATCAATGTTTTTTTTGAGAGGTCTGTGCAGAGCAACACAGAGTTGAAGAAATTAAGAAGAGTAAAGTTGAAATGTTAAGGTTTAGTATACATATTTGCAAAAAAATAAGGGGGAAAACCTGCTTTTTCATCAGGTTTCTTCCCAGATGAAGATGCACTTTAGTAAACTTAGATTAGCTGTGTATATATTTTATAGGACTCACCATTCATGGCAGACTCCGTCCTCCAGTGAACCTCAGGGGACCAGTCACTCCACTGTCCTTTATAGAAAGCCAGATTAGGACTGGACCGTACTCTGGCAGCGTACTCAGTGGCTGACACAAATACCTGATCATCCACAGAATAGCTTGTTCTGTCTGTGTTAATATCATGTGACATCACCTGGAGGGAAAGATGAATAGAGTAGGATCAAATTAAACTTTGCAAAGGAGATAAATGTCCTGTATGGCGGCCCATTTGTGCCATTTAAAATTGAGGGAATGAGGTGGGGATTGGTGGCTAAAGGAATATATGATTGAATCAAGAATTTGGTTTTAAGAAAATAGAGTAAATTTTGATAATGACTATTTTCAGTTTTTCATTTGATTAAACAGATTATTTGTACACAATATCAACCAGGGCCAGTCCTGCATTATTACTTCATCTTCAGTGCCTGTTTTGTAGAGTCCAGTGTCAAAATCTAGTTGTAAGAGGTTTTTTTTATCTTAATTAAGAAGGACCTTTTTTTCAGTAGGATCCCGGCAGCAAACTTTAACCCCCTAACAAGTTAATCTGACCATGTTTACTGGGACGGAGTGGACCAGAGCAACAGAGACATCATTCAGTACTTATTTAAATGTGTCTTTTTCTTGCAATGACAAGTCAAAATGACTGCAGTGTGAAAGACCTATTGGTCAAGTAAAGTCAAAGTTTATTATCATCCACACTGTTGTAACTGATGAAGTCGCTGTGGTAGTTTCTAATTTTAAAAAAGCCGTCCTGGCAGCTCAGAGCGGCCATGAGTATAGAGTTGTTGTCGCAACTGAGTCATCTGACATCGTAGAAAGAAAACCAAATTAAAAGAATACCATTGTAGGGTCTCTGTAATGTGTGAAATTACTGAAATCAGTTTGGGTGCGTCCTCCTGGCACAGTGGTAAAAAAAACAGTTGTACTAGTAACACACGATTAGATTAAGTTCAATATTACTACTACAGAACTATTTCCCACTAAGAATGTTATTCTTATTCCCGCCAACAAAGTTTACCCCATTGTCGTCGTTATGTTTGTCTCCTCTTTTGAAGTAACGGAGCTGATACTTGAAGTTTTTGACCAGAGCGGTGAAAGGACCGCATTTCTCATAGGTGCTTTTCCAGGTGAAGTGGTGTTGACTTGAGTTGTGGCTAACTGTGAGGCAGCTCGGTGCGTTTGGTTTAACTGATGAGAGAAGCACAGGCAGATTGTTTTTAAAAAAAGGTAGTTAACTGTGAAAGTGTTCTGTGGTTCTGCGTATGAGAACAAGACAAAAATCATTATGTTCCTTACTGTTTGTCATAGGTGCATATTTGCCATCCAGCACCTTGCAGATATCAGGTCCATCATTTTGGTTGTGACAGAGTGAGATTTTAAAGGTTTCTATATCCGCAAAGGTCTCCAAATAATCATAATCATCCTCATTATCCATCGGATCAGATGTTTCAACAGAGCAGAAATAACCCTCATTGGTGTTTGTCAGCTTACACACAAATGTATTTCTGCATGATGAGGAGAGGAGAAACTAATTAGAAACAATATCATCACATTTAAGGTCATATTTCATTTGTATGTGTCAGTAAAAAGTGACTCACTGTTCGGTTTTTCTGGTCAAAGTCAGCCAGTAGGAGCTTTTGCTGTCTGAGGTGTTTTCTGTTGGTGCGAAGCGCAGGGTGCAGTTGATAGTTGACAGGTAATCATTCACACAGTGAAGACTGTGTTCACCTAAACAAATATACAGGTAATGTTTCACTTGGACCATCAGGAGTCAAAACAGATCTTACCAAAGTGTCACTTTGTGAGTGTACTGTATCCCTAAAATGACCTCAAATCAGACACTGACCTGGTTTATGGTTAATAAATCATCTGTTAATGCTTTAGAGATCAATAACAAGATGTTAGAATACACAATTTAGAAAAGTACTAACACATTTAAGTTAATGGTCCCGTTAGCTGGTGAATATCCTCTGTGTTGCTATTGGTTTTTTATTTTATAAATACAGACCCCTTTCATGGACTGTTTGACCCACCCAGTCCAAGAACCATTGTTGGTGACTAATAAACTTCTTACACTAAATGCTTTGTTGTTTATTAAACTTAAAACATTTAAACCTGGAGCTTTGAAGGACAGGTTCACATTTTTTGATGTATGGCTTAAAACAATAGTGGCATGCCCATATGTACATTGACAGTGTTTTTGTACCAAAGAAGGACACCCACTTGGTGCGTCATCTCTTATACTAAAATTGAAGAAAGTAGATTGAGATTCATTTTCAGGGTCATTACGGACTGGAGGAACAATTACGCGAACTAATAACTTTTAAAATGTATATATTATTATATCATCATTGTCATCTCCTCTGGTGTCTAGGAATACCTGGGAAAATGAACTTGGTACTGCCTTTTCAGCTGAGTGGTGAGTGGTGCTAGTCTGACACTGATTCAATTTAAGGTCTTACATAGGACACATCTATCCAAAGTTTAAAAACTTAAGTACAGTATTAGGGGTTGCTCTGAAAATTTTTTGTCAATTCTATGTCCTCTTTTAGAGAAGATTAACACAACCTACTAAATCATTTAACAGAGCAGTTGGAAGTATTTTCATAGGACAAGGTATGCAACTGGTCATGCAGCCCCAGGTACAACACACTCTGAAATTTCTAGAACCTCTTTTGAGTTCCTCCATATTTATGCTTTTTGGTTTGTTTTTCTGTTGTTTCGTTTGGTGTATGTGAGCACGGCTCTCATGTTGGGGAGGTGGGAGGGTTGGCTTGTATACTGTATTTTTGTGTGTTTATAATAATGTAAAACTGGGTGAAAAGTCCTATCTTGAATGTATCTTATGTATGGACAACCTAATAAAGATACATGGGGAAAAAAAGAAGTATATATTGGCATGTGAGTAACAATCTATTTCTGCCTTGATGCACAAAATGCTGTATGATTTGCAGCTCATTCACCCATGCACACTCTGATGGTAGCAGAGCTACAACTTGGGGTTCGCCCTGAATATCCTCTTTGTGTTTGCATGTTTCTTTGATTATAAAGAAAGGCCCCTTTCATGGACTGTTTGACTTTGTTCTGGAAGATGACATTACACCATCCAGGCCAAGATCCATTACTGATGACTCATTATTACTTAACATTTTTAACTGCAGATCTAAAACGGGTTGTTGGTTTATTATAAAATCTATAAAATATATATTATAAAATAAAAACCTTAATTAGTAATAACCTTAATAGATATAATTACTGATGACTTATTATTACTTCACATTTTTTTCTGCAAATCTAAAATGGGTTGTTGGTTGATTATAAAATAAAAACATTCATTAGTAGATTGCTATAGGCTTTTACACATTATAATATACAATGAACTCTCCAGTTATAAATACTGATAAAAAGACATCAATACATACTAAGTTTCCCCATAAGAAGAGCATGTTAGCCTACAGAGGTCAAAAAAAGGACAAAAAAAAGGCAATCTGGGCTGTCTAATTTATAGTGTGTGTTGTCTAATGTGTAGTTTATCTCTAGTCTATCAGATTTTTAAAAATACGGGCAGAGATACAACCTGCAATAGGATTTCCATGCAGACAGACGATGCTGGTAGACACGAGTAGAAACACATTCTGCAGCATCAGCTTCAGCCTCGGTTTAGAGCTCCAATCCATCACACCAGCTGGCCTGGACCTCGGCCCTGACACATCTCTATTAAGTCATGCTGCCCTAAGAACTGTCTTTGATGAAGACTGAGAGGGGGAGGTATCAGTCAGTCTTTTTCTCACTGATAGCTATCAATCACATGTTACTGGTGGGAGAGGATGTGCTTTTTTAAGAGAGCAGTTGTAAATGGAAAGTGTGTGAAGGGGGTAAGCCTCAGTTCAAATGTAGTTATGAGCCTCACAGAATAACCACATAGTCTATTGTACTGTGCACTGGGTTTGGTGTGTCGTTTTATAAAATGTGGATGAGCAATAGTGCATTTTACCATTAACAGACCATGTGTTAATTATTTTGAATAGCAATTAAAATATAAAATCTGAAATGCTCTGACTCTAGTTATGTTCTACTTAGATACCACATAGTAAATCTGAGGTGCATATAAATGCATTCTCTCAGTGAGATGTCTTCATTTATTTATGCTAATCTACCAAATATGCACATAGCTGGAACACATTCATAACAGCACACTGAGATTCATGTGGATCAGTTGATGAGCTGATAAGACACCAAAAATACACAATGCAATGATGAATTTAAGGTGTCACAATTACACTCAAATGTCCTACATATCACATTAAACATTAAAAATAAATGATTGTTGCTTTTTAACATAAAGATTTTACTTCACTAGTCAAGGGATGTCAACTTTGAATTGAATTTACTCATACTTAATGACAAACCAAAGTGAAGTATACTGAGAAATCCCAGCAGTGAATGCATTTTAGCTTAATATTTGTGGCTGTTGCACTGTGGTATCTGGAGAAATACATAGCATATATGCTAAGATTCACTTTATGCTGATGCACTTCTTTGATGACATCATCTGATTTAAGTCAAAATATGTAGGACAAGATATACCCTGAAACTAGAATATGTTATTTATTGTGCAACCTACAAGAGTGTTGTGCAACATGTAATGCACTGACAGGAGATCAGCTTAATGCTGCTTGTGTGTTGTAGTGATTCTTAAAAAGATAAGAGCTGACAGTGAAGTCCATGTCTTCCTCTGAGGTTTGTGATCTTGTTGCTTTAGAATTTGTAAACATACTAACTCTAAGCACTAAGCAAACTAACAGACTGAGACTCACTGTGTTAGATTGTAACTTGTGCAGTGAGTAATTTGGCAATAAATCAAGAGAAAGCCAACAGTATGCCAGTTCAGTTCAGTTCAGTTTTGTTCAGGCGTTTCAGTCTGATCAGGATAAACCATGAAATGCAGTTAAATTCATTTTGCAAGTCTCTCACTTGTGGTTCAAAGGGGTGAGGTATAGCTGATGGATGAGTGGCTCAATTTTTTTTTTTACATATAACTTGATGAGCCTAAAAGAATTTCAACAGGAAACAAGTAAACTCTCTATTTTTATCTCAATTAGATAACAGAGGTTTCAGGTTAGTTTGGGTTTTCGCTATCAAAAATATCTGTGCATTGCTGATCGATTTACTCTATTCACCACAGAGCTTAACAGAGGCCTATTTTTATTAGTCGAAACCAGAATGACTTTTTGTCACCCCATGTGAAACAGTGTGAACGTGCATTGACACCGTGCTTGAGATGAGCAATGAGGTTCTGGGGAGAAGGGAGTATTTTCAAGTCTTTGTATTGTGCAAGAGCAGACAGCCTGATATAACTGGCTCTATCTGCAATTTGTTGCAGTTCCTATGCATCTGATATGAATATTTTCAGTTTTTTAGTGCTGTGATAAAAACATTTCTCTTGATAAAGACTTTAAAATGATAGGAAACCATGAGAGATATCCCTTTTGGTTTGAAATGCCATGTAATCTGATGGATGAAAATCTAAGGGGAGGAGTGCAGCAGCATTAGGTTGTACTTTTTAGGGGTTTGGAAAAGTCAAATGCCAGTTAAGATTATTATTATATATATGTATAAAAAAGAAAATGTCAAAGAAAAAATTATAATATTAAAATTCACCAAGAAGACACAGAGGAATATGCTGTACGGTGCAAATTTTCTGTTTAAAAGAAATAACAATTTTTAGACGTGCAAAACTTGTAATATTATCATTTAATATTTCACTGGTAGTGTTTACACAGTTGTCCTCATTATTTTAATTGCATGAGTCCATTACACATCTGGCAAATATAAAAAGAGACACCATTAAATTAAATTGTACTATCTTAAATTACTTTGCTTACATGTTGATATAAAATCTGTGATAAAATAATACTGGACCTATAAAACAAGTCTCCTCTGAAATCTAAGTCTGTGGCATTTTGTCCATATTTAGTACATACATGGTGCTACAATGCACCAGGATACAAAACATGAAAATTATTCTGTGTAAAATGACGGGTATAGTTTTAACTTTCTATCTTGACCATGGGTCTAGTTATGCACTTGAAGCACACCAGCATGGGTCACTCACAGGCTAGTTTGCCATCAAAGGATGACAGGGTGATGGCAAATGCTTGCAGGGCACACATGGGGAAACTGTAATCCATGGAGAAGACGTCCTCTGCCACACGGCCAAACTGCATCACTATGTAATCGTCTGGAAAAGACAGCAGGGCGGCAGAAAGGGAGGATATGGATTATAGTCAAGACAAGACAGCCATTTATCTTGTGATTGTTCGAAAAGGAGAGAGACAATAAGTCGGTCATGTCTTACCGTTGTCAGGGTGGATGATCTGGAAGTTTTTGACAGAGGCCTGGGTGACACGCCCGTGGAAGTTAAGCACATAAGACTGAGTCTGTTCGTTCCAGCTGGGGGATTTGTTCACCAGGGTGACCAGTTTGTCTGCGTTGCCGTTTGCATGGCGGACCAGTAGAGTTTCAAGATCCTGAAAGAAAATTAAATTTAAGTTTATCTAAAATATTTCAAACTTACCCTGCGTCATTGCAGGTTTTATAAGCTTAGGAATTTTTTCCATCATACATTTTTTGGACGAATAGACACTCGTTCATCGTTCTCCAGCATGCCAGGGATGATCACTGTCATTTTCCTGGGACCCTTGAAGCCAAGAACATTTGTCTCCTGTAACATGGTAAATGATTGTGTTACAGATTTAATTTTTCTGTATACCATATATCGTGGGATGTTTATGTGGGATGTTAATTAGAACTCACATAGCAAATTGCTGCCAGCTCTTGCCGCACTGATTCACACTCTTTGATGAAGGGCTTTTTCTCTGGGTTTTCTCCTCCATCATAGACCGTGAACTTTGTACCCAGAACGTTGGACCTGAAACAGATTAATCTTACAAGATACATGATCTGAAATCATCTAACAAGTGTAGCTGAAAATGTCAATTCTGCCAAAATTAAGAATAACTTCCATATAAAAAAAAATGTGGAATCACCAAAATGCAGAGTAAGAAATGCCATAAATGAGTGAAAATTTTGTTCCAGTTCTGGTTTATTTGAAGCTATTGTTGTTACCTGTTTTTCTTCCTTATGAAACACTATATAAAGCTTGACAAGCATGAAATGCATCATAGAATTCACTGCAACATGAAATAAGTTATATGTATTAGAACAACTGACCACGCTGCAGAAATACAGATGATAGCTGTGGTTACAAATGTAAATTAAAGTTAGGTGTTTTGGTGCCGGGATTGTGTGTCTGGGCCAATGGCAGGGCTTACTGGGAAAGTCAAATGCAACACACACTTGATGTCCAGGTTTGAGAGTGACTGTTTAAGCTTGGTGACGGTGCATGTTTCTAAGGGGGGTTTTGAAAGAGTTTCAAGAGTTTGTCACAGTGTAATCCTTTATCTGGAGTGACAGCACAAAGAACACCATCAGTTTGTAGATTATGCCAGAAAGAAATCAGCATCACAAATGAACATTTTTCATAAAGTTGAAATAAAAGAGAGATATACCTTAGTTTTCCTATGTAGCAGTTTGTGTCTCTGGACAGATTTGTTGCATCAGTGGAGATGAGATAGTTGGATGTTTTACACTTCTTCCTTTTTCTGCCTGCCATTAGAAACACCTTGGTAGTGGCGGAGTGAAAAATTAATTGTAGAAGAAGGAGAGGAGACGTTTGATACAAATATGGCAGCTCAAGAAAGGAAGATCATGTTATTAGAGCTCAAATCTGCATGCACAGTGATTTGGTTCAAATTCTGAATGTACTAACTCTCTTTCCATCCTCTTTTTCCATGTGGAGGTAGTAAGTTGGGTAAATGCCCTTCTCCATGCCTCTCCTGTCCCTGGTGACCCTGCACTGGATCGTTACATCTTTGGGAGCAGGACGCAGAGCAAACTTCTCAAGATCCTCCACTGACACTGGCGATGTTGACTGAAATGAAAAAGAGTAAGAATGATTTCACCACACCACACCACTACACCGCTTTCTGTGACAAATCAAAATGAGGAACAATTGCTTTTGACAGTATACTAAACTGTTTCTTTTCTAAATAATGTCTCACTCTTTCATTAAATTCACTGCTTGAAGATGAACTCTCCCTGTAGTTGGAGTTAAGCGAAGCCAGACTCGGCGTAGATTTCTCTGCTTTGTTTTGCTTTGTCTTTTTTCCCTTATTCTCCTTTTCCTGGACCTCCTCGTCTTTGCTCTCCTCACTTATTTGGCACCTGGCTGTGGAGATAAAACACACAGCTTTGTTCTTTACCACAACTTTACAGTATTGTTGATCATAAAATGCATTGGGCCAGATGATTCCTCACATGTGTCGAGTTGTTTTTTCCTCTTTGGCGACTGAGGGACAGCCCTCTGGGACCTGTCTTCCTCTTCATCGTCCCTTTCATCACGTTTGTTCTTCTTTGGACTTGCCATCTCCATCGCTGACTCTGTCTCCAGACATGAAGGCTCCTGTAAGTCCATCTCTGCCAAAGAAGAGACGCTTAAATGCTGTGAAAGCTAAGTAACACAATGTAATGTAGAATACTGATAAGTGAGTCAGTAAAAATGTTTTTTCCTGATTGAACACTAGATACTGTACGTAATATATTACGCAGAGTGCTGGTGACTTAATAATGAATCCACATCACTGATGTTACTTTTACGCTCTTGTTTGGTTGTCTTGTTTGTCTTCTGTGTGTCTTCAGATTCTTTCACTTTGTCCTTCTTCTTTGTTTTTTTCTCCTTTTTCTCCTTGTCTCTGTCCTTTTCTTTCTCCTTTTCCTTGTTCTGTTCCACCTCTGAAAAAGCAATGAATTGCAGATGTATAATTTAGTAAACCAAAGTGTCTCCTAGCTTTGCGTTAGCATGCATGAAAAAACACATAAGCATGCACACACATTTGCAAAGTTCCAGACTATCTAGGTCCCAAAAATTACGAGTACATGGCTTACGTTTGGCTTTTTCTTTTTTCACATCTTTCTTCTTTGTCTTTTTTCCCTCCACCTGGGCATCATCCTCCACAACACATTTCACCTCAGGCTCTTTGTCAATGTCCAAGTTCATTTTCTTGGGAGTGAGTGGCTTCTCTGAAGGCATCTCCTCTAACGTCATACTTGCTGTCATATCACATTCACCCAGTGTGATCTCATCCAATGGGTTATCATGGGCATGTTCAACTTGATCTCCAGGACAAAAACAAAGGAAAACACTTTAATATTATTCAAGAAACTGAACATAATTGCACAACAAAAGGGGATTACGTTCTCTATAAAAAAAAAATAGTAATAGTAATACTATAGTAATAAAATAATAACTTATTCTAACACTAACCGGTCAGAGAAGTGTTGCTCAGGGATTGGCTGATCAACAGAGGTGTTTCATCAGAGTGGGCAGCTCTGTGCTTTCGGTTCTTTTGGCGAGTATCCCGATTGGCCATCACCATTTGAGAATCAGCCCTCTTCTTTTGCTGCTTTTTCATCAAAAGGGCACGCTGGGGCAGAATGAATATTAGATTTCATTCAAACTGTCAATTCTGTCCCCACACAAGAAAATGGTGCTTCTTATCTCTTTCTGTGGAGCTCGTCAGTGGTATCCTGAATTAGTTTTTCTCGCTTCCTTAATGTGCATTTTGTAATTTTCTCACTTTGATGTTTCCTCTTTCAGTCCTGTTTTTTCCTCATACTTGTTTACAGTATTGTTGGTTGGATGTTGAGTGCAGCCAGGGCATTTAATTTGTCATTTGAAGGTACTGTTGCTTCTTTGAATGCATATGATAACAACTAAACTGTTATCTTGGGTAATCTAGATCTATATCTGTAATGAACATTAACTTGTACTAATTTATACAAAATCAAATAGCTAATTTAACTACTCACAACTGCAGATAATGAAACAACTGATAATGAATGCTACATTTTAAACACAGGGTTTCATGCATCATTGTTTCTGTTAACTGCTATTATTAATAGTCATTGTTTTAATTTAAGATGAGTAATATTAGGTCTCTACAGCTACTCTTGGTATTAGTACATCTACTAGTGATTATCTGCTGATCTTTTGAGTATAAGGTATTTATATAGCACTCCACCGGATATAAACCAGTAGCTCACATACTTTTGGAGTATAAACAAGACTGTGACTTAAAGTTGAGCAGTAGCTCTACACAGCAGGTGGCTTTGACACATATAGCCATTTCTTTATAAAGCTCTGCTTCAGTTTTAACCACTTGTTGGCTAGAACTAATTAAACAAGGAATATGCTTCAGTCTTTGGTAGATTGTCAACATGGACTAGGATAATTATATATATCCTACATATGTTTTTTTAAATAAAGAAACACAGCTAAAAATCTACTCTATCAATTCAAACGACATTTGATTGTAAGTAATTTACATTGAGTGCATTATAATTCTTGCATCACTTTAAACAAAACATATCTGGGAAATACTTGTATATATCCTTGTTTCTTTACCTGATTGTCCAGCTTCTGTTGTCGTATATCTGGGTCCTCCATGTCTCAGCAAAGTCTCTCTGCTAATTACAAAGTTATCAGAAGGTAATTAAGGATATCTATAAACAACAGTTGAAATTCAGCATCAAAGTTCAATGTGAGAAAGGGTTCTGAGTCAACAGGAAAAAACACATATCGCAATTAAAAATGGAAGCGGGTGTTTGATTGTGCCACCCAGCTCCATCTGACAGTCTGTCCACCTGCATGTAGCAGAAGGCAAAGTGGATTAAAAGGGGATAATGTTCTTAAACTGCACTGCACAGCTCAGCCAGTGTGGACAAGCAGTCTCCGGGGCAAGGCAAGCTTCCCCTGGCTGCTTTATGGAGATGCTAAGGCCTGTATGTGTTACACCTGAAACATGAGACAAGGCAAACATGAAGGTGGTGCTTTGCTCTTGTCTCTCCATTTACTACAAGTCAGCAGTCTGCATTACTTACCCAGGCGTAAACAGTCAAACACGGAAGCCACAGCAGCCAAGACAAATTGACCCAAAGCTTCCGAGTCTCATCCAGGATCCCTCACTTAGCTGTGCCGTTGCACAACACATAACCTAGTGTACCATTAAAATGGCAAAAACGTGCCAGAGGACACACACTAAAACGGCTAGACGATGCCTATTAGCGGGACACTCGGGGCAGGTTTATCCCGTTGTCATGGTTACAACAACCATCTGTGTCTTTAATCAAAACATAACTTTTATTAGGCTACTAGTTCATCTTTTCATTGCGTTTTAGTACACTGCTTTTTTATTTTACCTCACACACAATTTAATTACCACTTCTAAACAATTGTTACTTAATTGGTATATTGATATATTTTGTCGTTTTATTATAATATTTTATGGTAGGCCTAGGATATTTATTTGACATGTAGTCTATTTGTGATTAGTGTGTTTTTAATAGCCCTTGAAAGAGCTCTGACTACCTAGTTGCAGAATAGGGATAGCAATTGTCTGGTTATGGTAATAGTTGTGTCTAATAGTAACAGTAAGAGGAGTGGTATGATTTACCAGTTCATTTAAACAGACAATTTTAAATGCTAATGAAAAAAAAGCATTTTTTGCACTATATTTTATTATATTGCCTAAAGGTTAGTTAATTGTGCATTTTGTGTGTAGTTTCAGCATTTTCCCCTGTGTTTGAGATCTTTCAACAGAATTATAATAAAGAAAATAATTTTATAGGCTAAGAAATGCTGAGTTATCATAAATAGGCCTACTGGACATTTTAAATCTTTTTTTCTTTTTCTTTTTATCAGGGTTTTTATTTATATAACATATCTATAAAATATGCAGGGATTTTTACATATGCATTATATATGTTTTATTTCATATATTTTAAAACTATTTTTCATATGTTGTGGTTCCCTGTTTATTTTCATCTTTTTAAATGAATTTTATGTGGGTGCTTTATTTCATTAGGGTGTAATACATGCTACATGCTTAACCGGAAAAAGAAAAGAAAAGAAGGATAATGTTGCTAGGATACAGCGAGGTAGTCAAAACAGGAAATGGTCCAACTTCATCGAAGCCTGTTTTGGTCAATGCAAGGTTTCGCATAAAAATACTTTTACATGGTAAAAATGTATTACTGATATCTTTCTTTAAGTACAAAGTATATTTGGAGAAGCGTATTGTGTGTATGTTGTTTTATGACAGAGTCGAACCAATTCGGCGAAAGAACTAAAGAATGGACACGAAAATAAAGGTAAACTCTAACTATTCATCGTTTGCTGGATGCAACTATTCTTTAGTATTGACTTGTAATGCATTGCATATAATGTAAGCATCGGTTTTCTCTGCAGGTACCACAGGCCGTCAAAGCTAAAGTAATGTTATGGTGAGCGCTTTGTCTACAATCCAGATTGTGTTTATTTTGATTGATTGGTGCTTTTTTTGCACCTTGCATGACTAAATGTAGTGTCTAACCTTGAGTCTATTCCCTGGGTATTTTTCAGGACGGATGTAAGCTACCATGACATGGAGGAGATCGACAATATGCAGTCCATTCCTGATCTGGAGAGGTTTCTGCCCCATGTTTATTATCACGAATACACACACACATACACACACACACAAACACACAGCACTGACTTCATTTTTCTGTCACATTTCTCCTCTGTGACAGTGTTTTGTGCAGTGTGCTTGGAGTTGACCTTCCTGAACCAAAAAGAGGAGTTCTGCTGGAGTTGTATGTCCAGACTGTGCTTTTTAGCAGAGAGTGCAGCTTCAAAAAGGAACAAACTTCTGCTCTGTTGTCCATCATCAAGTCCATCCATGAGGCTAACATAGGTAAGCAAAATCAAATTGTTATCACTACTTTGTAATAGTACCTAGTAATAGTAGGAGAGATTGAATTGGCTTTCTACATGAATAATTTGTGAAATCACAAAAGTATGAGCTACCTCTTCAGCTGACACTTATGTGACAGAGAATATTTACAGTACAGACTCATATTCTCTGTCAAGTCCATAACCATGCGGGATGTGTTGAAACTTCTTTCTTGCAGAAACGCCACTCAACAACATCGAACAGTGTTTCATATACTGCAAGGAGCTTATCCTCTGTCACTCAGTCAGGGTATGTAAAACAATTAGAAGCATTTTCCTTTCACAATATAATTTATATTTCCATTGTTGTAAAATTTCTGCTTTTCATCCTGATGTCTTTGTGTCTGCCAACTATAGCGACCTCCCTTTAGTGTCGACCTCTTCAGCTCTAAGGAGGTGAACTGTATCTTTGAGTACATCCATAACAGCTATATGAGACACTACAAACTCTACAAATACATCTTTACTCCACAGGTAAAAGTAGGAAATGTGTTATTCTACACAAATTGTTTCAAGCAAGTTCTGCTATGCTTCTTTGTTTTAAAAGTAGAATCATGTGTTTTTCACCGTTTTTAACAGGTGAAACTTGATTTGTCTTTGACGTACTCTGGGATCCCAGACCATGAGGATTCTTCTGCTTCAGGTAGTGTTAACAGTTTTTTGTAGCACAAAAGTTCTATGGTGGCATGGAAAAGGTCTAAAAAGGTTTTAAAACCTTTTTTATTCTACCTGTAAAAAGTAAGTGCATTTTAAAAAATTAAAGAAACAGGCTGAAGGAAGTTCTATGAATGTAAATAGGCAGAGTAAGGGACAACAGTAAATTTAAATGAGACATTGAACCTTTCATTTCATTATGAAAATGAGATGTTTGTTCAAGTTTATGTTGGTTTACCCAGAGAAAAGAATATTCTTATATTTATATTATATCTCATATTTTAAAGGTCCTTTGATCAGATTTATTAATACTTTTATGTACTTTTTTGCATTTTGAAAATGTGATGGAAGAAGTAGCAGAGGTTTTACCAAAGAAAGATGGTTCTCCTGAGACACAGGAAACATCCATCACAGAAGAGGACACCTCAGCTGGTAGGATCACAAATCATAGCAGGATTGAGTGTAACAGTGCAGAAATAACTTTCATAGCCAAATACAGCCGAGCCTGTTTTGTAACTGTTTCCTATCCTCACTTTTAGGTCCCACATCAGAACTGAAGGCACTGATAGAGAAAGAAGTCAAAGAGCAGATGATGCTTGTGTCTGGACACCTAGATCAGCGAATGAAAGATATTGCAGATCAGCACAACAGGGCATTAGACTCTCCACAGCTCAACCACAAGGCCAGAAAATAATGAATGAATGAAAGTTTCCTTATACCTTTCCATTCAAACAGCCAATATGATGATTTCCATTAAACACTAGCACAAAATAAGATAATTCAAACTGAAACATTTATTCTATGGTCAATGAAACCTTTTTATTCATATACAGTACAATGTATTTCTGCATTTGTACAATTACTGTACATTTCTCAGGCAGGCACTTTCAGGAAAGTGCCACTTATTAAACTGAAGAATGAACTGAGTAGGGAATGGTGTTGGTTAGTTTAGGTAGGATATTCAGTCAAAGATGGTCTTCACAGTTAGTGTAAGTGGCCTCCCTATTAAGGAATGTCTGCATGCATCATAGGTAAATAGTTTTCTACCAAAAACACTTCAGATACTGTAATAGAATGTTTCACACATGTCCCCTGGTAGTTATTTGTAACACTGGAATATCTGTAAATCTGTGTTTCAATACAATATATTATATAATTATCTACTAAATAATTAATCACAGTACTTAAATGTCCACTTCAGCCTCAGTGTTTAGAAATGCATCCTCTCCTCAGTTGTATACGACTATCAACAGATAAAATCCTAAATGTACATAATGTACCTACAGTTTATGTGATGGCTTTTATCAAATGATTATACGTGTCCTCTACTGCAAATATGATGACCCGAAGACGGGTTTCAGATGGACACAAACTCAGAGCAAAAGGCAGATAAGGAGTATTAAGTTGTGCATGCTTATCTTGAACTTACAGAGCCATGGTGCACATTAAGGCATACAATCGTCCCGGTCCCTGAATTCCTCATCTTAAAATTAAACACAGTAACTCGACGAGACAAAAACAGACATTACAGCACATGCAAATGGTTAAATAAAAATCAAGGTGGTTAGGAATGAGGTTGACATATTATGTTTCAAAGTCCTCCAGGCCCAGCAGCATGATCTTAGCTGTGTTCTGAAAGAGGGCGGCTCGGTTCTGCTGCTCTCCTTTCTTCACCCAGTGGCCGTAGATACGGAAGGCGCAGCCATCGATGAGTTTGCGGACGCCACGAAGGGAGTAAGGATCTCTAGCCAGCACCTCCCGAGTCAACGGGCGAACTTTGCGGTAACGGCTGTACATCCTGATACACGCCAGAACGCTGACTATCAACACCTGAGGAGGCAAGAAGGGAAAACAGATGAGAATGTCAAGCTTTTTTGCTTTTTCCCGTACTGCTGAACAGCCACTTTTTTCAAGGGATAGCATTTTAAATCATCTGCTTAATACAAGCCAGGTCAATACTGTGACTCACTCTAAATGTCTTTCTGGGGCTGAAGAGCCGCACATCCTCCTTCTGGTACTGTCTGAAGAAGGGATGCGCTAAGGCTTGCTCAGCAGTGAGACGGACAGCTGGGTCCACCACCAGCAGTCTGGATATCTGAGTATCACAAGCAAAAAGATCGGCAAAATAAACATTTTAGAGGTACAGATATTGGAATATAACGTGTTCTTAGGACTGAAAATACCAACAGCCTGCGAATATTAGGACTTCTGCAGATACATTATTGAATAACCTTAAAAATTCTGTTTCTGCTGAGGAGATTTTATCTGACCAACAACCTTCTCTGGTCAACATAATATCAGCTTACCAAATCTTTCACAGTGTCAGACCTGTCGTCCCACTCGGGGGAACTGAACTGATAGCGCCCCTCCATGATCATCCTCAGCATCAGCATCTGTTTGCGATGCCAGAACGGTGGTGATCCGGCCAGTAACGTGAAGAGGATCACTCCACAGGCCCAGCTTAACAACAGACACATCAACACACGTAAGTAAAAAATTGGAAATATTAGTGAGGTCAACACCTAAGATTATGCTTTGCAGTTTTACTAAGTTAAATATTGCATCATTGAGAAAAGGAAAGACTTACAGATCTACCTCCTGACCATAGCCTGGGTGCATTTCATCCATGGAACATTTCAGTATTTCAGGGGCCAAATAACCAGGCGTCCCACAAAGCTCTAATTAAAAGACAACAAATATATTGTAACCTCTGTCTGTACAAATGACTGCTATATGATTCGCATAACTGTTTTGACACCAAACTACACTCATACTGCAGTACCTCTCAGTTTCTCTCCAGGCTGTAGCTGCACTGAGAAACCAAAATCAGAAAGTTTGATGTGTCCCTGATCATCCAGGAGAATGTTCTCAGGTTTCAGATCACGATGGACGATGTTGAGGGAGTGGAGGTACTGCACTGCTTCCAGCAGAGCTCGCATCATACTCCTATAGACCAACATGTTTTACAAAATACTTTTAGTTTTACATTACCACTGACCATGTTACAAAGCATGTCACTTAATCTTTTTATGGTGCCCACTGGTTTCAGTTCATTTTCACAGTACACACTGTGGTATCTTCAGTTTTTTCTTGTCAGAGTAACGTTAGTGTATTGCAATACAGGCGAAAGGGGACTGCTTGTTTTCATCTCTGGCAGGCTAGTGAAACTGTTAGATGCAAGTAGCTATTGGAATAAACTCATATGGTTTGATCTCTGACAACATAACTTAGCTCTTTAAGTCTTTCAAATCATACACGTAATATGTTTCAATAGCTTGAAAGGATGGAAAAACACTTTCATAAAACTGTAAAATTATCGTTTTGGAAATATTCACCAGTAAAGGAAATAATACACAATTGGTGGACAGGTATTATGACCTTGCAGAAACATTATAATAAAACACAAAACTGTGTTAAAGTGATGACAAATTCAATTAACTGATGCAGTGTGTTGATGCTGGAGCTCACCTGGTTTCCTTCTCACTCAGAGTAACCTTTTCTGTGAGGTAGTCAAAAAGCTCTCCTCGCCTCATGCTGAAAAGGAAAACAAGAGCGTTCTAATATCTGACAATGATTTCATGAAGGTTAACATTAATATTTCAGTGGGAGAATCAAAAGGACCATGATACTTTTGCTATATGATTTTGTACTCACAGGTCAAACACCAAAAATATGAAGGTTGTGGATTCATAGGAATCAATGAGAGTAACTAAAGGAAATCAAAAGACACGTAAAAATGGTTTCAATCCTATCAAATATTCAAGACCAGAAATCTAAGTGTCTTGTGGTCCAAAAAAGACTTCCAACATACTGATGGAGGAGTGTCCCTTCACCATGTTGAGGACTTGGATCTCCTTCAGTGTGGAGGTTTTCACCTCCTCCAGCTGCTGGACTGTCATCTTCTCCGCTGTGATCTCAATAATCTTCACTGCCAGCTCCTGGCCCGTGTGTCTGTGCACACACCTGCGTACCACACTGCTCACACCCCTGAGACACCATGGACACAGAGTACAGCATTGACTTTTTATCATCCCTACAGAAAACTGAGAAAACGTACATTTCTGGTTACTTTGCTGGACTCACCTGCCAATTACCTCTTTGGGGTCATATTTCTGGTAGAACTCCTTAGCTCCCACCCAGTCCGGCAGTTCATCTCCAACAACAATGTCTTTGGTCATGGTGATAGCTTATGAATTTATAACAACAAACTCTTAGTCACATGTCTCAAGTTGTAACAGTGCTGCATGATTTGTAAGAGGAACTGCTAAAGTAACTCGTCTCAAGGAAGTGTTGAGTTTTGTCTTCATCTTAAAACTAGTTAGTTGAGCATTCTTGTTATTTGCTACATTTGTCTCCTCTACTGTTATTTGCAAATGTGCCCTTGATCCATCATGACAGTTAGCTAGCTGTGTCTCTGCCTTGGCCTTGCAGCTGCTGCAGGTTCACTGACCGAAGAGGAAGCTACTCACCATGTATGCAATGAAGCGACAAGAAGGGAGACGGCGAACAAGGAATCAGTATAATACCGCCGTCTTCGTTCAATCAAACTATCGTGAAGCCATGACTGCGTGCGATTCAGCGGTGACAATACCAAAGATAGCTACCGATGATGTTAGCATCTATTAGCTAGGTCACTGTTTACATTCTGGTCGCATTCGTCGAAACGTTCTGTTACTACAGAGTGCGCCAGTACTGCCCCCTTGAGGCCGGAGTGAAGTTTGCATGATGTTTTATTTATTTATGTATTTATTTATGTATTTATTTATTTATTTTAAATAACAATATTTTCAGGGCTATTTTCCAAGTATCTTTACGTTAGTACATTGTAAGGTAAGATACCAAAGTAATGTAGTTAATCTCATGTTTGCTTTATTATTTTTGATGAAAAAATACTCTGCGGAAGTACATCGTCGTCATTTCCTGTAGCTTCCCTGTATGCCCTGAGATACATTTTCAATCGCTTCTTGTGAAGGTTTGTAACGATAATATTAGTCAGAAAACATCTTATAAATGTTTGTGCGGGTAGAGTTTCTTTACACAATGTCTTACGTGTGCAATGATGCTCGGTGAATAAAAATACCGACCACCAGCCATTAAATATGCCCGACCTGGTCTCGGAGAATTAACCGTTAGCATTAGCTTAGCTAGCATTAGCAAGATACGCTAATGTCCGTTAATCGATGCAAAAATGCCAAATTCAAAATGGTTGGTAGCTTTTTAGTCAGTGGCTTATGCAGCAACAGTGAGAATAACCGTACAGGAACAAACGTTTTCATATAAACATCAGAAGAGAAGTATTTTGAGCTGGCTAAAATCGGTGGTCCTGCGCTTGTGAATAAGAGTAATGCCGTTGATAGCTGTCACTAAATGAATGAGTTCTCCAAAATGATCTGAAGTTACTTAAAGTAATGATTTAATGTCGTTTTTGATCTCTTGCAGGGGAAGGAAAGATGTCAGGTGCTGGGGGAGGAAAGCGTCCCTCAGGAGGGGACAGCCCCCCTGGCCCACCTGAGAAGAAAAGCAAAAAAGAGGAGAAGACCACCACAACCCTCATAGAGCCCATTCGCATAGCTGGAGTCTCTTCTACGGTCAGTCACTTGGTGTTTACTTCAAGTCATAATTTTCTATCCATTTACTACTACTTCCACCAAGGTGACATAAATGTAGCTCATTTAAACTTTTTTTTGCCAAACCTCTGTGTCTGTATTTGTTCTGTGCAGGAGGAAATGGACATGAAGGTGCTTCAGTTCAAGAATAAGAAGCTATGTGAGCGCTTGGAGCAGAGACAGGCAATGGAGGATGAGTTACGAGAGAAAATTGAGAAGCTGGAGAAGAGACAAGCCACTGATGACACCACCCTGCTGATTGTCAACCGCTACTGGTCGCAGGTGCTTTCAACACTTTTGATTACGTTGTTGGAGCAATATTAATCCCCTTCTTTTTTGCTGAATCCTGTTTTCAGAAATGTCCATGTAAACATAAGATTCGGTGTAAATCACTCTGTGTAGTCAGAGTAAACCAGTTCGTTAGATTAGTCTGATTCGCACAACACATGTAAATGGTTCCATAATCCAACTATGGACAGTAGTGTGCATTTTATATTGGTTGCAAAATACGATACCACTCAGCAGGGTTTTTCACTATGCGAAGTCAGTCTGGAAGTACCACTGAAATTGTAATCAAAAGATCTTTCAAATGCAAGACTGAATTTTTCAAATAAACCCATGGTAATGCTTTTGTTACAAGACTAACATGCCTTTCAATCCTTGTGTTTTTTAATTTGCAGCTGGAAGAGAACGTGCACATTCTACGCAAACGTATTGAGCCAGAAACTCCAGTGAAATCTACCCCTACCCCACCCTCGGCCCCTCTCCCTGATCCCACACCAATGGAGGAAGATGGTGTCAATCTGGCTTCACCAACCTCTGCTGTTCCTCCACCTCCTCTTCCAGAGGCCCAGAATGAAGGCGAGCAGGCAGAGCAGCAGCAGGAGGAGCATCAGGAGGAGCATCAGGAGGAGCAGCAGCAGCCCCCTCCTCCTGCTGGGTCAGAAGAGCTGATAACACCGACAGAGCCACCACAGGACTCAACAACAGGTAAGCAAGCTTTTTCCTGATTAAACTGAACTAAGGAAAGTCTCCATCCCTGACGTTTTTATTAACTGTTATAATTTTACCATATAATCTGTAATCTGCCTTTATTTTATACTAATATCATATGAATAGGAGTGTAATAATTCTGAAATGAGACTGAAACTGCAATACAATCCTCCCCCCACCCAAGTTGTCTGCCAGCTGCAGATATACTGTGACTATTTTGGTCTAGTTATGATCAAGTGATCACAGCTATGGTAAAAGTTAGGCTACTTAAATTAGCTCAAGATGGATAATAACCCTGAGATTTCAGATCCCCAGGGCACAGCAGTGTTGGTACATTGGATTGGGGGTGGTGATGGTGGACTTCCTGAAGTCAATAATGAGCTCTTTCGTTGTCTTGGTCTTGATGGTGAGGTTGTTAGTGGAGCACAAAGACACAAGATGCTGGACCTCCTCCCTTTAGGCTGCCTCGTTGTTGTTACTGATGCTGATCCGGCCGACAGCTGTGGTGTCATCCACAAAGTGATTGTGTGGAAGGCAGAGCTATAATTCACAAAAAGCATCCTGATGTATGAGTCTTTATTTTCCATGTGTATCTTTAAAGAAGGCAACTGCTTTAGCTCTCCAAGATTTCAGGTTTTATGAGGGCACATACAGTTTCAATTTTTCTGCATAAAGACTGAGGTTTAATGATTTGACCTTATTATTACCTGCTGTACTGATTCTAAAAAACCTTGTACATATGTTCAGATGCGTCACCGCCCCCTCCTCCACTAAGTGAGAATGCCAAGGGTTTCTTGGCCACGTTGGAGCACAGCAGCGAGGAGGAACTCGCCCTGCACCTCCAGGACCGCATGCAGTTCAGCAAGGAGGCCATCGCCTGCTTGGTCTGCGTCTTTGACAGGCTACACACCCGCATCGACAACATGTGCAAGCAGGTTCAGACTGCAGGTAACTGTGGAGACATGCTTGTTAGTGATACATCTTTATATGATTAGCCATTGGCACACATACATAGGAATAAGAAACATTTTACATCCTACATTAGAAGTAACTAATTACTTGCTACTAATTAAGTTTAAAATGTAATTATTGATTTCTTGGTGTACGTAAATGTGAGAAGGGTTTTCTTGACACCCATCAGCTCGACTTTAATTGGACACTGTTAACTGGATCCTCTTTAACAGCATGTGATGATGATAGCCAGTCTGATGTCATCAGTGTAAGCCACACTCTGTTGGAGGAGAACAGTCGACTGCGGGACCTGGCCACTCTCCTGCAGGGCCGACACCACAAGATGTCTATGGAGGTACAGTGTCCTTGGCATTGTTTGCGGGTGTCAGATCGTATGGTGAATATCTGTGCATGTGTGTGGGTATGAAAGTGTGTGTCAGACAAATGGATAGGGAATGTGAATGAGGGAAATTGTACACGTATGTAGCCACTGATTTTGATGTGTACTTGTCACTGATGCTCTTGTTATTTCTTGCTGTCTTGCAGTACAATGAGTTGGTGGACAAGGTGACCAGCTCTGAAACCAAGGTGTCTGAGATGGAGACGACAGTAGAGGACCTGCAGTGGGACATCGAGAAACTTCGCAATAGGGAACAAAAGCTCAACAAACACTTGGCAGAGGCTATGGAGCAGGTGCGTTTGTATGATGTTGTCTGTGTTTGTGAGCTTTGTTATCTGTTCATGCAGCTCATGCTGCTGTTTCTCTCTTAAACACAAGCTGACAGTGTTAAGGTCCTAAGCATCAAAGCGTGTCAAGCCAGCTGCTCTTATTGATGCGAATCCTGCTGTCGATGCATTTATTGATGTGTACTGTTTCTACCAGCTATCTGAACATGAAGTAAATAAGCACAGCCTGAATGATGTCATAGAATCACAGCACACCTACACCTACATAGGATGCAAATCTGTTGTGTGCTCTTGTGTTGTTTTTCTGTACTGTTTTTTCATTTTCCCATATCCATGTCTCCAGCTTAAGTCTGGATACAGCAGCACCGGCAGCTCAGGTGGGCTACCTGGAGGACAGATTACACTGAATATTCAGAAGGTGAGCATTCCTAAAAAGCACCCTATTCCAATTAATTTTGTGGAACATATACCTGTTTTTTGCATGTAACTGCTCAGATGCAAGTTTGCAAAACAGTGTTTTTATACCATGCCCATTTCTCCTATAACACATTGTCTTTGTTTTCCTCTCAGTTTGAAAGTCTCAATGCAGAGTTGGAGCACAACCAGGAGTTAGCAAATAGCCGCATGGCAGAGTTGGAGAAACTGCAGGTGGAGCTCCAGGAGGCTGTGAGGGAGAGCGAGAAGCTCAAGGTAAAGATAAAGTATTTTGATGGTAGGACAGAAACATCTATAAACAACTACATCGGGAGGTCAAGAACCCCATTTCATTTGCCTGAGACAAGTATTTTTGTTTCATCTATGAATGTCATAGCATGGGTCAATGTAATGTGGTAACAGATTCCCATTGTTCAACCTTTGCCATCATCTCAAACTACATCCTGATTTTTTTTTAGATGGACTTGCGCAATATTCCAGAAGAGGTTGTGAAGGAGACTCTAGAGTACAAATGTCTGCAGTCACAGTTCTCCCTGCTGTACAACGAGTCTCTTGGGGTCAAAACCCAGCTGGATGAGGCACGGGCACTCCTACTCACTGCAAAGAACGCCCACCTCCGACAAATTGAGCACATGGAGGTAACTCTTTAATTGTGTAAAGTTGTTCCCATGGAGATAAAAAAAAAGAAGCTTTATACATTAGAGAAAACATTTTTTTCTCCTCGTATGTGTGTATTATTGCCACTGCTTGGCGACATGATCAGTGTTTGGTGTTTTCAACTGTTCAGAGTGATGAGCTATCCCTTCAGAAGAAGCTGCGGACTGATGTCATCCAGCTGGAAGATACCTTGGCCCAGGTGCGCAAAGAGTATGAGATGCTGCGCATCGAGTTTGAGCAGAATTTGGCAGCCAATGAGCAAGCAGGTACCTTTTCAAAAACACCCTCACATCAATCAAGACGTCTCTGAAGAGGGAAGGGAAATAATGCCACAGTGT